CAAGCAGCTGGAAGGCCAGTATTCAGATGCCATGGAATTGGCCAGGAGTGTGCTCATCAGGAGCAGCAGAGCGAGCCTGGCAGCGTCGACCAGGCAGACTCCCAGTCCCAAGCAATCGCCACTGAGAGGGGCAACGCCGTTACTAGCGTCAGTACGAGAGGAAAGCAGAGAAATTCTAGATCTGCGTGCGGCGCTCCAAGATGCACCGTTTCTTGGTCGCCAGCACGATGCGCGGGTGATGTTGCCCAGGGCTGCAGACTATGGAGAACGGGTGAAAGCAGAGCCGGACAGTCGTGTCGTAATGTTCAGTGGTCAGCGTGTGGGGGAACCTGCTGAACCCTTCCCGACCGTTGCCATGGCAACCGCGTCAGCACACGCGCCACCGCAAACGGATATGATCAACAGCAATGCATGCACCGCTTTATCTGCAGCAGCTGCAGAGTACCAGCCACGTAGTTCAGTGCTGCCAGCGTCATTTGCAACTATGACCACGGGCAGCAACGCTCCCGCTATAAATCAGGAACAAGGCTTCCTGATCCACGATCCTGCTGATCAAACACCTAGTATGATGTATGCAACGTATGGCAACAATAGTGCTAGGCCGCAGCAGGCATACATGTACCAACAACAGCAACCGCAGTGGAGTGCGAGCAATAGTGCAGTCATGTACAACTCACCTGTGTCTACTGGACCGTCGCACACCATCTCTGCCGGAGCGTCACAGTACGGTGTGAGACCCAGCGCTGGCATGCAAGCACCCCGGACCACAGTATTCGCCCCAGTTCCGACATATGTCGGAGGCACCGCAGCTCGACCTGCGCCACGGACTGCTCCAGCGGCAGCTGCACAGATCAACATCGCCAGCAAGCTGAAGCGGATCGAAATTGCCGTGTTCACCGGAGAGAAGCGAAAATACGAGCGCTGGAAATCCGCTTTCAGCGTTTGTGTGGACCAGCAGCCGCTCTCCGCTGAATTCAAGCTGCTGCAGCTCCGACAGTACGTGGCGGGTGAGGCACTGGATGCCATCGAGAGTCTCGGCTACTCGGCAGCAGCATACGATGCTGCTCTGCGGCGGCTGGAGCGACGCTTCGGTGGGAGTCGCCGGCGCCTTGCGGTTAGGATGGAAGAGCTGGAACGATCTCCACCTATTCGAGCCGGTAGAGCCCAGGACCTGGAGCGCTTTACCGATGTGCTCGACATGGCAGTGGTGACGTTAAAGGATGCCGGTATGCACACCGAGCTAGGTACCGGCATTCTCTACCAGCGGATCCAGCAGAAGCTGCCGGTGAACTTGTTGGCCCAGTATCGCCGCTGGATAGTACACCACCAAAAGGACGAATCGGTCGAGGTGCTGCTGGAGTGGCTGAATGCCGAGGCAGAAGTTCTTGCTGCCGCCACGGAAACTATCGAAGGCATCAGCCAGCAGCATCACGTCAGAAACCAATTGTCAACCAGCGGGACAAGTCGAAATCAGCCGACTCGGACGGCAACTGCTCACGACGCTGTGCAACCGCGCACGACCACGTTCGTGACAGCTACAAACACCGCTGGCAACGTGCCGACCGCAAGGTCCACATGCCAATGCTGCAATGGCGGCGGGCACCCGATCTGGCGTTGCCCAGAGTTTGAGAAACAAACTGTAAGCCAGCGCTGGGCAGCAGCGAAGCGAAGCAAGTCATGCTATAGATGCCTTGCGACTGGACATAGCGGCAAGGATTGCCCACGGGACCGGGAGTGCGGTATCGACGGGTGCACGCAGCATCACCATCGCCTGCTGCACAGTGAGCCCCGTCAACCGCTTCCAGCGTCGTCAACCCACGCCTCCGGAGAGACTGGAGCCATGCAGCCGGAGAACTTCAGTGCTGTCTCCCTCGGAAACAGCACGAAGGGAGAGGAGAATAGAGTACGGACGGTGACGTCGATTCGGACAGTTCCCGTTCAGCTATCCAACGGCAAGCGGTCGCTAACTGTTAACGCGCTGCTGGACGACGCCAGCACGCGCTCGTACATAGCGAGCAATGTTACGGCAGAACTCGGCCTGATTGGATCAAGCATGTCGCTGACCATCAGCAAGCTGAATGGACAGCAAGAGACCATTCACACTGTACCAGTATCGTGCACTCTGCGAAGTGTTGACGGAGCCACATCGACGACGCTCCATGCGTGCACAATCGAGCAGCCAACAGGCAACATGGAAGTTGTAGACTGGCACCACCTGGGAAAGCAGTACGCACATCTAGCCAACGTTGAGTTTCCGCCCCTACCGTCGAAACGCCACATTGACGTGCTTATCGGTGCCGACTATCCGGAGCTTCACATGGCGTATGAAGAGCGCTCGGGTAACAGCCATGAGCCCGTGGCGCGTCGGACGGCATTAGGTTGGACCTGCATCGGCCCAGTCAACCAACCAACGGACGAGTCCATCGAGCTGACTGCGGTGACCGTCGACCAATGCCACAGCGAGCCGAATCGTCTAGAGCCAAGCCGCTATTCCGACTGGGTACGAATGTGCCGTGTTCATGCTTGGTGTGTGCGATTCGCTACGAATTGCTCAGTACCACCCGCACAGCGAGAGTTTGCTGAATTATCGCCACAAGCGATCCGAGACTCTGAGGAGTTCTACATCAAGCGAGCGCAGCAACAGTCGCTACCAGAGTATGCTGCAGTTAAGGCAGGCAAGCCGATCCCTGCAACCAGCAAGCTAGTCTCGCTCAAGCCGATGATTGACGACGCCGGCCTGCTACGCGTCGGAGGTCGACTACAGCATGCAGACTTCTTGACTGCAGAACAACGCAATCCGATCGTCCTACCACGAGGAGATCATGTGACACAGCTGATTGTCAAGGCATGTCACGAACGAGGATATCACGCGTTCGGTGTCAGCCATACGCTAGCCGAACTCTCGTCGCGCTACTGGATCGTCGCTGGCCGCGAAGAGGTGCGAGCTTGGGAAGCCAAGTGTGCGAGGTGCGCCCGGAACCGTACGAAGCCGGCAATGCAGGTGATGGCGCCACTACCTAAGGTCCGAGTCAGCCTGCCGCTACGCGCATTCGGCCGAGTCTCCGTAGACTACGCTGGACCGTTTATGACGAAGCAGGGTCGCGGCAAGACACAACACAAGCGGTACCTGTGCTTGTTCACCTGCTTGCAGACGAGAGCAGTGCATCTCGAGCTGTCATACGCGTTGACAACGGACTCGTTCCTGCAGGCGTACGTACGCTTCACCAATCGACGGGGAGTACCGATCGACGTCATCTCCGACAATGGCACGAATTTCGTCGGCGCCACCAATGAGCTTGCTCAGCTAGTCAAGCAGCTTGATGCAGAGGCGATTCAGCGGCAGACAGCGGATCAGCAGACTAGCTGGCGTTTCAACCCTCCAGCAGCACCACATTTCGGCGGAGTGCATGAGGCGTTAGTAAAATCGGCAAAGCGTGCTATCTCGGCGATTCTGAAGAACGCAGAGGTCACAGACGAGGAGCTATTGTCTGCTATCGTCGGCGCGGAGGCGCTCATGAACTCACGGCCACTGTCCTACGTGTCGGCAGATGGTCGTGACCCGACTCCGCTAACGCCCAATCATTTCATGTATGGCCAAATCGGTACTCGGTTCGCACCTGCAGGAGTGGACGAGAGCGAGTTCAACCCTCGGCAACGCTGGCGTGTAGTGCAAGAACTCGTGCTGCACTTTTGGCGGAGATGGATGCAGGAAGTCGTGCCAGAGCTGAACCGGCGACTCAAGTGGAGGAAGGCCGAGACAGATCTCAAGGTCGACGACATCGTTCTAGTGACATCCCAAGACAACCCACGGGGCACTTGGCCAATGGGTCGCGTCACCGAAGTGCACCCTGGTCCAGACGGACACGTGCGAGTTGTGAAGGTCAAGGTGGGCGACAAGACCTACACCCGCCCAATCGTGCGTCTTTGTAAGCTGTTCTGTGAGTAGCTCCTTGTTTGCCTATTTCAGAACAATAATCAATTTCGAATTTTTTGGTCACTGTGAATTTCGGCACAGTGAGAAGGGAGAGAAATGTTTAGAAGAGTATCTCTTTGTCGTTGTTACTATAATCGAGTGGCACATTCGCACTACAATTCTACGAGTGCTAGTTTGAAATTACGTTACGAATTGTTACGTTGTACAGCAGGTGCGAACAATTAATATTTACATACTCACCGGTTTTCGTTTCGGAGTCCCGCGCTGTGACTCAGCTAATTTCTATTTCGTTTGCCTTGTATTGTCTGACTAGGGGCGCTGTCACCCCGTCGGGTGCAAGCACCCTTGGACAGAAGCACTTCACTTCACGACAAGTGTTCATTTTCGTTTTCCTCTTCTGCTTCTGTTGCACAGTTTGAACTTTGAATGTGTGCTTTTTTTCGTACTCTGCTCTCGATCGAACCATGCGCGGGTCGATCTCCATAATTTTATCTTCCGTTGCCATGACTGGCATTAGTACGCGTTCTGTACTCACTCGCTGCTTGGCACGCTTGCAGCGCGTCTTTTTTCTGTTGCAACCCAGTGCCTGCGTGCACGGTACGGGATTTGCGAAGCCACATCAGCGTTGGTGTGTCGTTGTGCTTCGTTGTTGTTTTGTTCTTTTGCTGAGTGTGGTCGTTAAACCTGAGCAAGAACGGGTCGTTGACAAGGCGTGGTTTCGATGTGCATGCCCTCCTGTCAACTCCAAACTACTGCACAACAGGTCGAATATTTTCTTCCGCCAATTCCATCGTAGGGCAGCACACTACTTTACGATGGTATTGATTTATTTGAATTCGGTATCTCAACAGTACATTGTACAACTTGGGAAGATCCGAATGACATAGATACATAAACATAAAAGTGGAGTAGGTGCTACAGCTGATCATTTTATCGCAGGTTGATGATTATCACTGTGTGTCAGCCTGGCCCCAAATTCCACTTGTGAAAAAAACCCATCCTTGAATATGGGCGTGGGGATGCCCGTGATTCATGGTGACTCTGTCGTGTTTTCCTTTGCTTTCAGAACTTGTCTCCCGGCAAGTCGTACAATTATCAAATCAGCTCCGCACCTGGCGTGGTTGCCAGTGACGTCTTCTCTTTCTCCGTTCCCGAGCTGCTGGATGAGGTACTGGACTGTAGCTTTTCATGTGTATAGTGGGTTGCTTCAGTGTAAAGTACACTGGATGTAAAGTACTCTGCTTCAGTGTAAAGTACACTGGATGTAACACCCTCTTCAGTGTAAAGTACACTGGATGTAACATACTCTTCTTGCTGGATTGGATATAAAGTACTTTTTTTAGGATCCTGCCGCTATCCTTTTCCAGTTACTAGTGCTTGACCTTGGAGTATGCAATACCTTGGCTGTATAGTCACAGATTTCACTGCAGTTTCACAGTGTACATGGTAAAGCTTATAGCCTGAGAAGGAAAGGCATAGCAAATTAGCAGTCAAGTGCAGAGCAGTGATCACTGACCTTGTATTGCTATGTTCTTATAGCACACCCATGTATACACTCCGACTCACATGGTCACGGCTATCTGGGGTGGGGGTTAGGGTATATTATATTGGCTGACCTTTTAATAGCAGTCTGGATTTTTAACATGCCTTTGAACACAGTAGTACAACAACAGGCAGCTTTCTCGCCTTTGTTGTTGTCTATGCAGGCGTACCCAATGCAAGTTGTGATGTTTGGTGACATGGGTAAAGTCGGTGGTAGCGCCACCTTGCCCCGTCTGAAGGATGAAGCAAAGGCCGGGGACAACGTGGCCATGTTTCATGTTGGTGATTTTGCCTACGACTTCCAGGATGATGGAGGAAAGGTGTGTGTTACACTATGTGAATGTTTGTCAGTCAATTCTGAACTGATATTGCAGCAATTTGATTCAAATAATAATGTATTATGCAGCGAAGTTATCAGTCACATTGCGAGTGGTGATGGTTAAAGGGGCACTCCGGGAATATTTTCGGTGGTGTGTTCTCTTCATGGGGGCCTTATATGGCCCCCAAGGAATGGGGAATCGCGAAAACTAGGCCCAAAAAGTCGATATATGAAGCTAGGGAGGGCCAAGTTTGTCTCCTCTTTTGATGGTTTTGATGACGTCACGTGTGATTAGTATTCAAATTCTCTGCATTTGAAGATCTTAGTTGTTTGAATTTTCTGGTGATGAAGAACGATGTTTGGTCAACATTCCCAAGCTTCACAACTGCGACCATACTCTAAGGAACCTGAAGGACCTCCTGAGGTGCCACTGGTAGAAGCGCAGCCTGATGACGGCCAGGAAATTGGAGCGGACGACTTCACTGGTCGACAAGGAAATAACGATTGGTGTTCCTGCCAGAAATGTGGGGTGATGCAGAGGGCAGTCGATTACCTTCGCTGTCGAGAGAGCGCTGCAGCTGTTAGCATTGACAGCCCTTTGACGTGCGTTACACATCACCCCGACTTCGTGTCAGCTTGTCTAAAAAAACTGTTCTGACCATATGCCTCACGACATATAGAGAATTTCGGGATCCTCGTACGCGGACCAGTGAAGTCGTCCGCTCCAATCTCCTGGCCCTCATCAGGCTGCGCTTCTACCAGGGGCACCTCAGAGGGTCCTTCAGGTTCCTTAGAGTAGGTCCGCAGTTGTGAAGCTTGGGAATGTCGACCAAACATCGTTCTTCATCACCAGAAAATTCAAACAACTAAGATCTTCAAATGCAGAGAATTTGAATACTAATCACACGTGACGTCATCAAAACCATCAAAAGAGGAGACAAACTTGGCCCTCCCTGGCTTCATATATCGACTTTTTGGGTCTAGTTTTCGCGATTCCCCATTCCTTGGGGGCCATACAAGGCACCCATGAAGAGAACACACCACCGAAAATATTCCCGGAGTGCCCCTTTAAAGGGGAAGTTAAGCCAAAAATCAAATTTTCACCAGTTGTAGTCTTCGGGGTGCTGAGTCGAATGGTCTTGGTCCGAGGAAGCTGAGATGCTCCCTTCCTCCTATATTCCCAATCGAACTCGCGCACTTCCACCGAAACTGGGTGACTGCGCCCTACTAGATGGGGATTTGTATGCAAAATGTCACTAAAAGCGCCATTTCGTTCTTATAAAAGCACGGATGACCGAGATTGGCCCATATGTTGTAGTCTATTGGACGCTGAGTCGACTGGTTTTGGTCCGAAAAGGCTGCGATGGAGCGTTCCTCCTTTATTCCCAATCGAACATGGTTGAACAAGCGGTCATGTGCTCCTGCGTACACCAGTCACCTGGTCACCGTGCCTGCAGGGTACAACTTACAGCCTGTTTGGCCTTTTTTGGGTGCAGTCCTGTCACTCGAGTTGAACTGGAGTTGAACCTTGGTGTGAAGTTGTCGCCTGCTGGCGCGGTGACCAGGTGACTTAAGCACGCAGGAGCACGTGACCGCTTGTTCAACGATGTTCGATTGGGAATAAAGGAGGAACGCTGCATCGCAGCATTCTCGGACCAAAACCAGTCGACTCAGCGTCCAAAAGACTGCAACATATGCGCCAATCGCGGTCTTCCGGGCTTTTGTAAGAACGAAATGGCACTTTTAGTGACATTTTGCATACAAATCCCCATCTAGTAGGGCGCAGTCACCCAGTTTCGGTGGAAGTGCGCGAGTTCGATTGGGAATAAAGGAAGAAGGGAGCGCCTCAGCTTCCTCGGACCAAGACCATTCGACTCAGCACCCCGAAGACTACAACTGGTGAAAATTTGATTTTTGGCTTAACTTCCCCTTTAAAGGGGAAGTATACCCTAAAATCAAATTTTCACCAGTTGTCTTCGGGGTGCTGAGTCGAATGGTCTTGGTCCGAGGAAGCTGAGACGCTCCCTTCCTCCTTTATTCCCAATCGAACTCGCGTACTTCCACCGAAACTGGGTGACTGCACCCTACTAGATGGGGATTTGTATGCAAAATATCACTAAAAGCGCCATTTCGTTCTTATAAAAGCACGGATGACCGTGATTGGCCCATATGTTGTAGTCTTTTGGACGCTGAGTCGACTGGTTTTGGTCCGAAAAGGCTGCGATGGAGCGTTCCTCCTTTATTCCCAATCGAACATGGTTGAACAAGCGGTCACGTGCTCCTGCGTACACCAGTCACCTGGTCACCGTGCCTGCAGGGTCCAATGACTAGCCTGTTTGACCTTTTTTGGGTGCAGTCCTGTCACTCGAGTTGAACTGGAGTTGAACCTTGGTGTGAAAGTTGTCGCCTGCTGGCGTGGTGACCAGGTGATTTGGGTACCCAGGAGCACGTGACCGCTTGTTCAACCATGTTCGATTGGGAATAAAGGAGTAACGCTGCATCGCAGCCTTTTCGGACCAAAACCAGTCGACTCAGCGTCCAAAAGACTACAACATATGGGCCAATCGCGGTCATCCGTGCTTTTATAAGAACGACATAGCACTTTTAGTGAGATTTTGCATACAAATCCCCATCTAGTGAGGGCGCAGTCACCCAGTTTCGGTGGAAGTGCGCGGGTTTGATTGGGAAAAAAAGAAGGAAGGGAGCGTCGCAGCTTCCTCGGACCGAGACCATTCGACTCAGCACCCAGAAGACTACAACTGGTGAAAATTTGATTTTAGGGCATACTTCCCCTTTAAAAGAGTCTGTCTGCCTCACATAATGGCTATAGTGGAGCATGCACCCCTTGAATAAAATTGATCCTATATATTCACGCTTAGGAGCTGCATCTGCGCCTTGATCCTAGAGGGTGGTGGCGTTCCTACGGATGCGGAAAACTCGGCTCTTAGCCGAGTCCCATGCGAACCGTGAATTTTTAATTTTTTTATTCACTGCAAATATTTGTCTAGATACTGTGATGCAATCATGTCTTTTTATTTAAAAAGTTGACCGTCAGGTGGTTGTGCACTGAAAACTGGTCTTCAGGATGGAGAGATGCCGGGCCCTTGTACAGGCTCAAGTGCTTGCTAGAATGATGGGTTGCCGCATGTTAGGACCAGTCAGAGTATAATGTTACAACTTAGGATGTCTCTTTTAGTGAAGTGCTCATTAACGGCAGCTTTTGCTGTTTGCTGTTGTACCCATCATTCTAGCTTGTCTTGGGATACACGGTGTAATTTGGTTTGCTTTGGGTGAGGCATGTAGCTCCATGGATCCTGAGGCACTAATGCAATGTAGTCTCCTTCCACTGGGGGCACGGAATAGGAGATCGTTGTCACGTTTACTTGTGAATCATGGTGTGGACGCCGATAGTGTGGCAGTGACGTCTGCCTGTTTCTGCGTCCATTCAGATCATAGATGTAATGGCATAATATGTTCCTCCCCCACCCTCCCTCTCTCTCTCTCTCTCTCTCTCTCTCTCTCTCTCTCTCTCTTTCTCTCTCTCTCTCTCTCTCTCTCTCTCTCTCTCTCTCTCTCTTTCTCTCTCTGGTATTGCACTATTTAAACAGCGAGGTGATGACTTCATGAACAGGCTGCAGGATGTTGCTGCCAACATTCCTTACATGACCTGCCCGGGAAATCATGGTAAGATGAGGGGGAACTTCATGCTTGCTGGAATTTTTATAGTTCCAAATCCCTGCTATTAAAGGACAAAAAAATACGGCTCGTGTCAGACTCAGCCAGACTAAAATGTAAGGAACTAACTCGCTGCGCGAATTTGAGTTGTGACTATCTGCCCAAAACAAATCCAGTTATGATATGAAGCTGCAGGAAGCAGTCAGACAGATTCTTAATCTCTCGGAACCCTGCTTGGAAGCATGAGAAACTTTCCAGTTTCACCTCTTTCCCTGCTTGTGATGAATATTCCCTGCTTGTGTCCGGATTTCTGCTTGATACGTGTACTAAATTATAGCAGTTACACAATGTTCTGTGTTCTTCCAGAGATAGCGTATAACTTTAGCCACTACCGCAATCGCTTTGCAATGCCATCTGACGATGCATCTCCAGCCAATGATCACTTGTGGTGGAGTTTGGACATTGGACCAGTGCACTTCTTGAGGTACGCACCGCATTGCTCATATAAATGCGTCCACGCAGTCCCTATGGACTCTGACCATACAGCCAACCTTGCGAATAGTACCCTCGGTCGGCCATGAGAAAAGTGTCGTTATTCGTGAGGTTAAAAGTATGCAGTTGAAATGGCTTCTTGGTCTGAAGATACACTGTAATGTTGTTATTGGCAAGGCACTATTATAATAATAACCTCGGATATTTATCCGAGGTTGTTTTCGCGAGATTGACTGTACATAACGTTATACACTCAAACTCCTCTTATCACATGATGCCTGCATCTCATCTCTTGCTGATAGTAATAGGAGCTGTCTGCAACACCGGCCAATGTGTTTAGAATACATTTGTATCGTTGTATTAGGATACGAGTTGCAGGTATTGGTGAATCATGATGGTGGTAGCACAGAACGTGTGCACGCCACAGCATGTGACGCAAAGTCTACCAGTTGGTGCGAATGTCTCGTTTGAGCCCAGGGGAGTGTGGATAAGGGGAAACGGAGTGTGGTTGCATGGAAGGATATAATTATTGTGTCCCGTCTAACCTCGTAAGCTTGCCCCTAATCACCTGGTTTGATTGTAAATGATGTCACGGTTTGTTTCATTTATGTGGGCTTGCATTTGGATCCTTAAATCTTCCAATATGCTGACTGTGATCCTTTCAGCTATGACACTGAGGTATACTTTGCTCGCGAAGACCTGATCCAGGCTCAGCTGGACTTCATCAATGCCGACTTGACCCGTGCTGCGGATCCTGCTCAGAGGAAGAAGGTGCCGTGGATTGTTGCGTTTGGTCATCGTCCAATGTACTGCTCTAACATTGACAATGATGACTGTACCACACCAAAGTCCAGAGTCAGAGCTGGGTAAGTACGTGCTTGGTTATGCGGCACATGGCGAGTTCCCAATCATCTAAGTGCGCGTGGGTTTTTAGGCCTGAAACGAACCCCAATACCGTAAAAGTCCGTAAATAAGTGACCTGCCCGAAAGAAATACCCCCTTCATTCTTTTGGCTTTGTCTGTTGAAGTCAAGTCAAGCCCGATAAACATACTGCCCGAAATAAGTACCGGTACGGTGCGCACATGTAGCACGTAGCATGTACATCGACATGAAAATGACTTCTCCACTACACACAAGTCAGGTCCGAAAGTTAGTTCGCGCCCGAAAGTCAGTACCCGCCCGAAAGTTAGTATGGGTGTGGTCACTAAATTCGAAAGTAAATACGTACTTATTTACGGACTTTTACGGTAGAGGTGAACGAAACATATTGACGAGCTGTACGCTTCGTTTGACGGACTCACGAACTATTCTTAACAAATAAAGCCACAACAAATGTCCACACAAGCACTCCATCACATTTGTAAAACAACCAAGAATTGGACAATCTGTAATCCCTTTCTTTTTTGAATAGCTGCTGTAATCCGTAATGGGGACCTGGGGCAAGGGTGGCTGGTGGAGCTCTGCAGAACATAATTATATGTACATTGTTATTGGCAGTGCAAGCATGGGACTGTATGTACCTGTGCATGCGTCGACGGACGAACATCCGACATCTTGAAGTAGCGAATCGAATTCTCTTCAACTCCCATATGGAGCGAACCTAGTCGAACGTTCTAAAATTCGTTTCATCCCTAGTTTTTTTTTAAACTAACTACCGGTGTTAGGAAAGTACTCATGGCTTATGATATGTATGTACCCCATGAAATCTAGGATCAATTGGTAATCACTTGGTAGGATAGCGATGATGTAGATCAGGGAAATTGCGGCATATGTACGGTGGGATGAATCAGAGTTGTGCACTGCTTGGCTGTGGACTCTTTGCATGAGTCATTGACTCAGGTTGTGGAGAAAACATGTACTGTAAGACATGTTATTATAACGAGTCGCAAATTTAACGATTGTCCAAAATTCATAGGTTAACGAGAAGATATGTTAACGATCTTGCAGTATTCTGCCATATCCACACACAGCATGTATGAAGCAGTACGGCCTCAACGGATCTTATTATAACGAAGAAATGTCATCCGTTAAAACGTTAGATTTGCTTCCTCGTTATATATACATGTCTTACAGTACATGAGAACTACTGTACAGGGTTCCCGTGATCAGTCAGCTCAGGTCACTTCTACTGCATGTGCAGCTGTATCAGTAAGGCTGCCAATCTTCGTCAGTCTACTCATCCGGTCTGCTCTGATCATGTGTTTCCAGAGTGCTCCAGTGCTGGATATAGATGTTGCCGTTCACCATGACCTCTGTGTTTGTATTCTCCAGACTAGAAGCAGTCCTGTACAAGTACGGAGTTGATTTCATCGTTGAAGGCCATGAGCATTCCTACGAGAGACTGTACCCAGTGTTCAATGAGACCGTCACACAGAAGAACTACACCAATCCCAAAGCACCCGTTCACATGATATCGGGTCAGGCCGGGTGTAACGAGGACAGCGGGATATGCGTCAATCCGATTAAAGGAGAGAAAGGTAAACGGTGTTGTGATGGCGTATCGGCATGATGGAATTTACTTTGTAGGGAAAGAAGCGTAGACTGCGAAATGATGGTCAAATACAATAATCGTTGTGTATGCAAGTTGTTATGTTTCTACTACACAGTTTGCTATCATAGTATGTACATGTATTGTGCATGCTCGCATTTGATTGTTGTTGTTGTCTCACCCAAGCAAGAAACCTACTTGGACTTATGAGTTCGTTTGTAAGGGCATACCAGATGCAACTAGAGAATGTAGATCAGTCCGTAAGGGGCATGGCACAGAAAGAAGAATATCCGCTTTTCCTTGCTTGACATACATCAGTCAGAATGTGGTGGACATCACGCAACTGCATTGGAACTGCATTGACACACATCAGGTTTATCAAACCTGGGCCTCTGTCAGGTCCTGGCCCCTGCCCCATCTGGCGATCCTATAGGAGAACTTTTGCAGTGCATGATTGTAATTAAAACAGCCTAGGTGGACGGTTATTTTCTGATAACTTACTATGAAAAGAAAACCTCTAGTGGGGGCAATACTTTGCTAACTTGGGCCAATATTTTCTAACGCCGGTTTGCAGGGAAATGATTTGGGATGTGGAGCCATGGCTGGTGAAGGGAGTGCTCGATTTTGAAAGTCATCAAAGGCAAACGACTGAGGACTTCTACTAGTAAAATGAAATAAACCCAAAGCTTATTCAATAGCAATTGGAATCACATGGTAGCAACTAGCAACCTATATGACTAGTATGCCCATACCTCGTTTATCCGGGCGGTCCGCGACCGGGCACTGCGCGGAACTTCGAAACCGGTCTGTAACTCTGAATCACATACATTTTGATGGGGAAAGGCCAGAGATGTGGCATGTGATCTATTTTCACTAAAAGTAACAAAAGAGTACCAATATCTCCACCCAAAACTCGCCCAAAGGGTGCTCAGTAGGCCAAAGTGCCCGTAACCGTCGGTGTCCGAAAAACTGAGGTATGAGTGTAGTGGAAACAGCTGCTAGTCACTTGGTGTTGTCTACAGGGATTGTTTTGTAGTTGAGTGAAACACGTGGTTGTTGTTGTTGTTGATGTTGTTGTTGTTGTTTTTGTCGTCGTCGTTGTCGTTGTTGTTATCTGTGTATGTCTGCGGTGCAGGTGACTGGTCAGCATTTCGTTCCTGGCAACAAGGCCAGTATGGCTATGGTCGACTGAAGTTCCTGAACGCCACACACGCACAGTGGTCCCAGGTGTATGACGTTGCCAAGCTGGGCGAAGACACCGTCATCATAGAGCAGCAGAACCATGGGCCGTTCAATTGAAGATGTCCGACAGTCACGGATAGTCTGACCCAGTGTATGCCACCATGGAGCAGCCCTGCATGCCATGGAGCAATTTTCCCCTGTCATGCCATCGACCAGTTCTGAATACGTTGAAGCAACCCTGCAGCCCTGCACAGGGTCTTGACTGCTACTTACTCGTACGTCTCAGCTCTGCTACATATACATGTACACTACGGTGGACAATTGAATTTTATCTCATCCTACTTTATCTCTGAAATGGAATAGCGACAATTATTTTTGTTAACATGGAATTGGGATTACGACCGGAAAGTAGAGAAATATGCACACTCCCGTGTTCCGGCAGTTAGGGATGGCATTACCGAGGGGCCTGAAATATTACTGAATTGAAGTATGTATTCCACAGGCGCTAGTTCAGTTGAACGGATGGCCGTATAACTTTACAAGACAGTTGTTGACAGTTGGACCGTGCCCTGTTATCTGGTGTTAGTGTAGTACATGTACCGTCAGGCTAGCATAACTATCATGGTGCGCCGAGCTCGAGACTCACATGGGGCGGGGGTGGCAGGAGAAGGGTACTCACAATGGAAGACTTTACTAGTATTGTGGAGTCAGGTACATCCCTACCTCCCATTCAAGTTCTTACCATCCATTTCTATCATCATGATGTGAGTTCCTGACCTTCCTGTGTTCCTGTTTCTCATGGCACAATTGTATGCGAGTGTTGGAACGTTATTTGACACTCAGTTCCATAACGTGAGATGTGCGTGATACTAGCAATCAATTCCACTTTAGCCATCTTGTGGTTTCGATCAAGTCACAAAGTTTCGCTGCCCGGGTTAAAAAATTCATTTTTATTTTTTATTTATGTAATGCTTACTCAGTATAGCAATGGCTTTGCAATGCCTGGCAGCCACCCTGTCAAGGAATGGCCGTTTCTTGGTTCTTGATCACTGAATGTCTCTGCAATCTGCAATGTAGCTAGCCTAGCTATAATTATACACAAGTCTGACTGTGTATCGTAGTGGAGGAAATAGCCTGCCTCCATGCGGCAATCCGGCAGCACTAACAGAAGTCGAATTAACCGCTGTAACTGAAGAGCTTACAAAGTTACAGCTACAGAGGTTATGCAAGTGATGAAATGTAATGGTGGTGAGTCAAAATTATATTATAAATTTATAATACATGATGATGATAAACGGTGTACGGCGCCGGGATCCGAATCGGTGTACCGGAGAAAATAAGCCACCAGTCTAGGCACAGGTACATGTTACCATTGTATGACTCTTGTCTGAGTCTTGATTGTAGTCTAGCAGCAGCAGGGGGGGGTGGGCGAATGCACTAACTTATTGGGAGCCGCCCCGAGCCCCGCAAAGGCCCCCAGTCACTCCTTATTCAGCTCTTCGAGCAGAAATCTCAAGCCAAATGGTCCTTGCGTACATAAAGAATTGGCAAAATTTCAGGTACGCAAACTCGACCTCACGTACACAAAGCGGTGGAACGACAAGCAAAAAGGAGCCCCAGAGGGCGGCCCATCCCCCTCGCCGACCGTGGGGGTCCATCTCTCTCCAAAAAGTGTTGCGGCGCCTTAAAAAATCTGTTTAGGCAGGTATTATGCTTTCAACGGTGAGTGTAATGGTGGTTGATGACACACCCTGTTGGTAAACTCGGAGGACTTCGCCTGCGGGTAGGTTGACGTCTCGGAACCCACTGTAGGCTTCAATGCACAAGGTCCCTGTTACCGTGACGTCGTGCAAGATTCGAAGGATCACATCATTTGAGGTGTTCGTCACCCCGAATCCACCCCGCGGCGCCAGCGCTGCAAATGCATTCCCCCTCCCCCCCCCCCCCCCCCCTGCTGCTAGTCTTGAAGAACGCAATGAAACGATCACTGACTGAGTCCCTGGCCCAACAAGTGGATAAGTAAAATAGTTACAGTCAGTATGCCCTACACGACTCACAACTTACTTGTAAACTGTAGCTTTTTCTGGTTTTCATAGTTCAGTATCCTGACCGGTTTCGTACACTACACTCAGTGTAGATCTAGATCTTCACTTCAGCTGGCACTTGGCAGTCAGTTCAGAGCTTGTACTTGTAAAGTAACTTTTTTAGTTAGTTGTAGAGGTGAAAGTGAAACTGCAGGTCGTCCCCCGACCCCGACCCCATCATGTCAATACAATGCATGAGCCATGCACTGATTCATGGTGATATGAGTTCATGAACGTCATGACTCATGAGTTACTAGTATACTATTCCTCTGTCATGTCGTCATCATAATTATAGCATGATGTGCAAGTCAGGGAGTCGTAAAATACCGGTATTTTACGACTCCCTGGTATTTTACGACTCCCTGGTGCAAGTAGTTCTTCCGATTCAAATCAAAAATTGAAAAAATAATATTGTGAAGTATTAAAATAAGTGTCACTCCCATTGATTCTGTCATGCTTCTGTGAACAAACACCAAGAATGGCGAGGACGAATGTGGTCAGGGTTGCTGGACTTCTCTTGTTATCTACACTGAGTCTTCTCGCTGTTGATTGTCACGAGCGACATGGCATCCGCGATGACCACGCCAGTGTTGCTGAATCGGAGGTGTCAGCAGACGCTGCTGAGCAAATTCACATCTCATTCGGCCGTAGCACTAGCGAGATAGTGGTGGTGTGGTCCTCCAGGAACAGCAGTAAAACTAGCAGTGTTCAGTATGGCAGCAGCAGTAGTAGCAGTAGCTCTCCACTTACTGAGAGGCTGAACGTGTCGGTTGCTGCTGAGTGCTGGCAGTTCACTGAAGGCAATCCTGATGGCATCCAGTGGCTTTATCGAGCCAGGCTTCAGGTAGGCTACTATCCAGAAACAACAATCATGCTTCAAGTCATACCAAGAGTACATACTAGTAATCCCCCCCCCCCCCCCCCCAGAGTGTGCAACGCCAGATCCAGCTCTGCATAGGGTCTTGGTCGAGCGTAATTGGATCTTTGCATCATAATACCGTACAGACCTGAGGGAAGCTAGGGAATTGCAGGGACTCTCGGATCAAAAACAATGGTGCCCTGCCTCGAGACTGGCCTTGCGCTGATGTGGAGCGTACGCATGACATCAGAAGATCCGACTACGCTCGACCAAGACCTTATTCAGAGCTGGATCAAGGGTTGCACACTCTGGGGGGTTATGTACTGATCTTGGTCATACTTTATGTCAAGGAGTCGTACAAGCCAGGGAGTATTACTAGTTCAGTACTCATTGTACAAACCCGGTTTGTACGACTCCGGGGCGGGGGGCAGGGGCACTGATAAGCCAAAGGAATGGGCCCAAATAGCCGATATTACACTGCTTCAAAAATCACATGATAAACTTATTGGTGTGGCCCTGGCCGCACCTGCCGTACTGGTTTCGACGCCCGGCCTGCCGCAGTTACAAACTCACTACAGTAGAGTCGCGCGCCCAAGAACGTGGAGCTCAAGAATGCCCAGCCTAAAGTTGAGAACGGCGGTGTTGGTTTTCTGCTGCATTGAAATACAGCATCTTTTCTACATGGAGAAGCTTAACCCTTTCACTACCCATTATTTTCGCAATTGAGTCAATTCACAGTCTACAAAAATACTTCGCCGTGCGCCAAATATGCACCAAGGAGTGAAAGCGATAGTTGCAGTCGATAGCCAAGGTCTTTCTGAAGACGTAGAGCCCTCATTTGTAATAATCCGACAATATTTGAGCGTGTGACGAAATATTTAGTGATTGCCTATTGCATCGATCCACGTGGATCGATATTTGAATGGCTGGTAGTGAGAGGGTTAAAGGCGTGTATACGAACACACTACAGTCGACGAAACAGTTCTGTCTGCAGATTGAACACGATACAGTGTATAGAAATAGCCGAGTAATATAAACGAAACGAAATGGTATAACAGTATAGTAAAGATTATACGAACACCTTTCGCATGTTGTTGACTGATTGAATGCGAAATTTATGAAAGGTGAAACACGGTTGCACAACAGTAAGCGCTAATTGCACTGCAAGTAACTACACACAGCGTTTTCACTATGCTCACTTCGAGACATGGACAAACTGCATGGAGTAGCACGCATTGCACAAATTACCAGGTCCTTGCTCATCCATGCTTTGGCACATGTGGTGATATCGACACGCACACTTCTTACATGGCCGCAGCACAGGTGGTGCTGGTTTCCGGCAGGCAATGCACACTGGGTCACCAGTGCTGGCACTCGGATCCGCTGCACTGCTGCACGCATCCAGACTGACAACCTGTATTGCCACTGGAGAGGCTGCTGGGAGACTGTGAACTAACACGTGTGGCGATAGATCTGCTGGTTCATCATCTGCATCTTCCTCAATCTCGCAGATGGCAGCGGAAAGCTCTTCTTCCATTAGCACTATTTCATTCACGTCATCTTCGCTTTCTTCGCCACCGCTTCCAGCGTCTTCTTGGCAGAAAGAGTAGCAGGTTGAGCCTTGAGACTTGATCTCACCATCGGCGCTTCCATCGGCAGTCATCAAGCACCCGGCGCGGTGGCCAATCATCTCGAAGTCAAACGAGGAAGTGACTTCGCTCTACTAGTATGCCTCGCCAAGCCACTTGGTAATAAGCACACGGCGTTCCCATGCTGGGATGCCCTTGCTCCACCTTTCCAAGTTTTCGTCAACCTGGAGCCATTCCTCTCATTGTCGTTTCAGCACATCCTTGGTCTTCTTTCCAACACCAGCGTCGATAGGCTGAATCAAGCCGGTGCAGTCGGCCTTTAGGAAGTGCACCTTGGCGTTGGCAGCAGACTTGAACGTAGCAGCCACTTCAGGACTGGTCTGGGTATTGAGGTTGTCAAGAAAGACAACATTCTCCTCGTCCTTCTCCACGAATCGCGGGAATACATCTTTCGCATACCAGGTGCAGAATTCTCTGTCCGCCCATGCCTTAGGCTGGAAGGACACTATCACCCGGGGATCACACTCTGCCCGTTCTTTCTCCGTGATGCGAAGACCTTTCCCTCGGAAAATTATCACAGGCTTTGGCTGCACTGCATCATTGTCCAAACGGACGCAAAGCTGCAGGGTGGCCTCACGCTTGTCGTCCCCTTGCTTTGATGCGCGCATCCAGATGTGCTCTGAGCCTGTTGTGTCATATATTCTGTCCGTGGAGTCCTGCAGAGTCAGGGGCACCTGGTCGATGTTGTATCTGTTGTGAGGCAGCCAGCGACCCCACTTGGTGCTTCGCTGCACACCTCGCCTGACACGTCGACGGAGACGTGCATGCCACTTTCTCACACCCGGCAGCCTTTCTTCAATGGAGCAAAACTTCTTGTTACTTCGTGCCCGAAGTGACAACTTATGACGATTCAAGAATGCGTTGAACCAGCCACGAGAGGCACAGAACCCTTCCACAGCACTGTCCCCAAGCTGCTCCTTGATCAGCTTCCGCATTGTGGTCGTAATCCAGAGGCCTGATATACGCTTTCCCTTGGCTCTCTCAGCCTTGAGGAGTTTATACAAAATCGTCTTCCTGCTGCGCGTACGTCGCCTTGGCTCCAGAATGGAAAGTTGTCCGCTTTCGATGGCTTTCGATTTGAGCACTCCAACTAGCAGCTTCCGGGATTTCGGGGTTGCCCATTTCGTCACCATAGCGTGCGCAATTCCAAACTCGTCTGCTGCTGTCATTACAGGTGACGAGCTGCCAGCGGCCTTCAGCACGTCCAGACGCTCAATGACACGCTGCTTGAAGGCAAGCGGGTAGCGTTTCCTCTTTGACGTGCCCTTTCGCCTCTTCTTATCTGGTTGACCATCTGAACCATCTACCAATGAAGGGAAATAAGCAGCAAAGACACCTACTGAGTCAAATGACTGCCACTGTCAGTTCTCAACCAAAACAATTTTTGTCAAATTGAAAAATCTCACCTGTTAGTGTTGCTCACTAGCCATTAGTGTCTAGAGTTGTTTGTCCACGAAATTTGCAATATGCCAATACGGTACCAGCAAGAGTAGGTAAGTTGGCATAGAACAACAGCTATGCAAAGCCATGTTCATCTCCTCTTCACTTTGGAAGGCAGTACAAGCACCCTTCATACCTCGACATTGCCTTGGAGTGGAAGCAAATTCACCATGAGTTTTCCAATTCGCTACAATCGATCTCGGGGTGATGATCGTGTCTTCTTCATCACCACTGCAGCCTGGATAGCCTTCGGGAAGACATGTGTCACTCTCCTGCTCAACAGATTCCTACATCTAGATTTGGTTACCGTCAGGGAACGAAACAGAGCTGCAAAACACCAAGTACAGTCGTCCCTCTCTAATCCGGCACCTTTTGCTACGGCGTTTTCTGCTGGATTAACGAGGGTGCTGGATTAAGAAATCCTGCCCTCTGACCTGGCCCTACCCAATTGCATGCATTTATCATACGTCAAAACGCAGGGTTTTTCCGTGTCGACCCAAGTATTTGGTGCACGGCTTTATATTCTCAACTTTTCTCCAGGAATATACACAGTGATAAAGTGATAAAGTAAAACAGAGAACATGTTCACATGTACTCTTGACACACACGCACACACGCACACACCTGAAAATTGGCAGGACACTACTCCTTGCTAAAATAAGAAAGTATGGTTGACTGCTTAGCCGTTGTTTCCTTGACAACATTGACCCTCTTGAGAAGGCCACGCAAGCAGTCGACATCATGCAGGTCGAACGTTGTAGTTAGTTGTAGAACGTCAGTACCGTCGGTCAGTGTCGTGCCATGTTATCGCATGAGCTGATTGTTTAGTAACTGGTGGTGTTAGTGGACAGTATAGCGTAACTTGTAGTTCCTTGGTCTTTCTCTTTGTACAAATTGAGTTAGGGTTCGGAAAAGTCCTAACAACCAACCGAACTGAACTTTCCCGCACGAGGTCGAGTACAGTTGTCAACTGAACTGAACTCTGAAGTGGCCCCGCGCGCGCGGCACTGACCAGACTGGCCTAGCCTGGCCTCAGTGGCCTGGCAAGGAGTGCACCTGTACGGTACGCGATTTACGACTGCCGGATTATGAAATCAAACTACGTGCAGTTTGAGCGATTCGTTTCAAAAAGTCACTGCCGGAGGCGGAATTCAAGTGCCGGATTAAGATGTAGGAATTGAACGAAAAAAATCGGTTTCGTCAGAAAGTGCGCCGGTTGGCAAGGGTTCCGGATAAACAAGTACCGGATTAGAGAGGGATGACTGTAATTGTTTTCTTCCATTCAATTACACTGCTGAGCATGCACAGCATGGTGACAGCTAAGCAGTACGCACGTCATCAAGCCCAATTTCCAAATATGGAAGGTGTTATTTATGAAATTTGACATGGTTCCTCTTCTCTGATCGGCTCGAGACATAGGTCATCGGAATCAGTGCCCGATTCTCCTTCGGATACTAGTAAGCCATACTTATTTTTGGCGTTCAGTTTCCCTTTAAGTTGTGACTGATCAGGCCATCTGTTGTTCTGACTAGTGTGTGTATATATATATATATATATATACTCAATCTGCGGACAGCATGCTGTTTCGTTCTTTTTGAACTCATCAGCGCAGCACAGAGGAAATGAGGCCGAACCTGATAGCAATGGAAATAAAAATTTCCAATCAGGCCCGAACGTACCTTGCCAGAGTGCTCAAACTGACAAGTCAGTGAGCTCTGCATAACGCAAACAGCAAAGGCACTACCCCACGCAAGAGTGCTCAACTGCTACAAGAGCAGGAGCGAAATACTCAATCTGCGGACAGCATGCTGTTTCGTTCTTTTTGAACTCATCAGCGCAGCACAGAGGAAATGAGGCCGAACCTGATAGCAATGTATATATATAATTATACAGTCAACGTTGCGTATAACGACACTCGGCGGGGCATCAGAAAAGTGTCCTTATTCGCAAAGTGTCCTTATACCCGAAGTCTCACCATATGTATACAGGTAGAATGGACTTTGCTCTGGGCATGAAAATTCGGTCATTATTCGCGAACTGTCGTTGTATCCGCAGTCGTTATTAGCGAACTGTCGTTGTATCCGCAGTCGTTATTAGCGAACTGTCGTTGTATCCGCAGTCGTTATTAGCGAACTGTCGTTGTATCCGCAGTCGTTATTAGCGAACTGTCGTTGTATCCGCAGTCGTTATTAGCCAAGTTGACTGTACACAGTGCGTTGCTAGTGCATCGCTGTGCCGCCGCGACGTCGCCAAAGCATCTCAACTGATGATGTAATCGCATAACCTCCGATATGACAGATACCTGGAAATTTGGTGCGACTATTATAAACAGTATAATGACGGATTCAACATAATATGCAACATCTATCCAAGAACAAGTTTCCTCGCTATGGTGTTTTGATTCTTGTCAATGTGGGCCAAGAGCGTAGTGTGGAGTGTTTCGAATCGTTTTCTAATTGCCAAGTTCGTCGCAACTTCTAGGTGATTCAACGACACGTGCTTGAAGTAGAATCGGGGAAATACTGTATTGCAGTCCATTCCTTGGAAAGTGGCACCATCACTTTGTTGGTGTCTCCCACATACATGTAGTTGTAGATTTCGTGAAAACAACAGCACATCCTGCATTGTGTGACCCGTGCAATAATTCCTTGCCACAGTTGAGGCCAGAAAAGTCCAGGGACAGGGAATTAGAAATTCAGCCAGTTTTTACAAAATTAGGACAGGTACGCCATGGCAAAATTTATGGAGAAGCAAATTTGAATCCCAGATTTTTTCAAGTTTAAAGTGGGGTTTGAGCCTCAATTCGCCCAAAATTGGGCTTACAAAAGCCAGCATGACTTTTTTGGATGAATGGACTGTAGAGCATTTTGTGATGTTTTCCTGTGTTTTCAGAACCTGTCTCCAGGCAAGTCATATAATTATCAAATCAGCTCCGCACCAGGCGTGGTAGCCAGCGATGTCTTCTCTTTTTCCGTTCCCAAACTGCTGGATGAGGTACATGTGCTGAACTGCGTGTCACCATACAGTATTAGCTATTGAAATTGGGCCACCTGATGAATAAACCTGTGGCGTGTTTGAGTGCTCAGAGTATGTATGTGTGATGCTAGAGCCGTGTAGCGCCTGGTGTTATTTTATTTGAGGTTGTATTCCCCTGATCAATGCTTTACTATCCCCACTGTGTTGGTCAGTGAAGCGGTGGGTGACTTCGGTGACTTTATAGCATTTGCACAGAGAAGTTCGCATCTGTTTTCTTAGCTTTTCGCACCTTTCCTTCCCTTTTTACAGTTGGGGCCCCTCCCTAAGGGCGGGGGGGGGGGAGGGTCCTAATAACCCCCTGCCTGTTGCTGGTAATGGTCTTGGCACCTGTGCCTGTGGGGTGTGGTGGCCAACTCGCCACTGAGTGGACATTCACCCCAGGTCATCGACCAGCGTAGTCAACATCCTAAGCGGATAGGTTACGCACACAGCATAGCTCACCTTGTTCACACACAAGAATAATCAATAAAGCTAGATTTGGTTTGATCAATTCCAGGTATAATTACCATATTCAAGTGGAATCTGGTCCGAACAACCACCCGGTTCCATCAACCACCTGGCCTCTACAACGACTTTGCTTTGACACCCACCCCTGGCGTTCAAAGACCATGCAATGATAAGCCAATCTCATGGGTTAAAAACATGATAAACCAGTCTCATAGGTGGTCACTAAAACTAGGGTCCACCTGTACAAATTTTCAATCACGGTCCTGTTGCTTGCCTGTCTCTGTTCTTGTCCATGCAGGCGTATCCAATGCAGGTGGTGATGTTTGGTGATATGGGTAAAGTCGGTGGCAGCGCCACCCTGCCCCGTCTGAAGGAAGAAGTGAAGGCCAGGGACAATGTGGCTATGATCCATGTTGGTGATTTTGCCTACGACCTTCAGGACGATGGAGGAAAGGTATGCGTATTTTGTAGGGCCGAAACGATTGCCCATTTTGCCTTAACGATTAACCAATAACACTAACGATCGATTTATTGGTTTTTCCGATTTTCCGAACAAGTTCTATACGTGTCATGTTGGACATCAGTATACAGCAAAAACAATTAAATTTGTTCAACTATATGTAGGACTCAGTGACCAGTCAAGGCCCCGTGACCAATCACGGTCCCCGTGACCAGTCAAACAGTCACAAAACCCCCATGACCAGTCACAAATTAGTTTACCAGTCACAATGCCCCATGACCAGTCACAAATCACCATACATTTACATGTGTAAAGTACACAGTTCGTGACTGCTCGCAGGGTGCTTCGTACTGCAGGATTTGTTGTGGAAACTATAATTCCCTATGAGCGGTCACAGAATGCAGTTGTGACCACTATAATTCAATACGAACAGTTACGTGCGGAATGTACAGTTGTGACCACTCTTTCTCTGTGAGTAGTCACTGGCAGAATATAGGTATTTCTGTATTACAAGAGAGATTGGAGGCTTTGTCACAACTCTGAGTTTCACGTATTACTACGATCGTCAGGCAACTGATGGCTCCTAAACGGGCAGCCTGAACATAAGAGGGAGCAAGGTGGGAAATTCTGAGGGGTATCATAGTGCAAGAGTCAGGTGCAGGCGTGAAGTTGCCAAGTCTTCAGACTTGGGGCTATGCAGCAACAGTTCCAGCGTGAATGACATAGTATAGAGCTGGGGACCACACATGCCCACACCATTACACACACATACACCCACACTCTCTCCCTTTTCTCACATACACTCACACGCGCACACACACACTCATTCTCTAAATCTCTCTCTCTCACACATACAGTCAACTTTGCGAATAACGACATTCGGCGGGGCATAAGAAAAGTGTCCTTATTCGCGAAGTGTCCTTATATCCGAAGTCCCATTTGAATGTATGTGAACCCATATTTTGTATAGTATGACATGCATATCGAAATGAAGCTCTTTTCATGCTCTACGTCAATTTGTACTTTATTTTCGTATTGCGATTGAAAGGAACAATAAAGTCAATATCCAAGGGAAATAAATTGAAAAATTAACCTTTTGGAGCCATCTACAAGTACCGGGACATGTTCATGTACATGTATGAAGATTAATGTGCAATCATGTACAACTACATGTACATGTACAATAGGCGTGCTGATCATTCAAACTATTTTGAAGAAAAGAAAAAAGAAAAAGCCCCCCCCCCCCCCCCCCAGGCTGTATCTTCTTGTATGTGTGCCTTATCCATCGCCACGGGTTCTGGTACTTCTGCATGACAGGTACTTGAAATAGCTGTCAAAAAGCCAGAAAGTCGTTATTCAAGCAGTGAATATGACCTCGGGGCACAAAAATCATGTCGCTATTCGCGAATTGTCGTTATTCAGATAGTCGTTATATCCGAAGTTAAATGTATACAGTCAGATGGGACTTTGCTCTGGGCATAGAAATTCTGTCGTTATTCGCGAATTGTCGTTATATCCGAAGTCGTTATTAGCGAAGTTGACTGTACGCACATATGTCATTCATTCTCTACATCACACACACACACACCTGGCCTGGTGTACAGCTGCCAAATGCTTAGCCACGCCGCCCCGAGACAGGGGGAGAGTAGAAGAGAGAGTTTGAGACACACACACACATCCACACACACACACACACACACCTGGCCTGGTGTACAGCTGCCAAATGCTTGGCCACGCCGCCCCCGAGACAGGGGGGGGGGGGAGTAGAAGAGAGAGTTTGAGACACACACACACATCCACACCTTTGACCTTTGACGCCCATCGCCGGAGGCGATGATAGCAATGCTACGGCAGAAGCCATAGCAACTTGTGCTGGGATTACACCATTCAACAGCTTGCAAGGCTGAAGAATTGACCGTCACTATTCAGCCTGGTCTACACCATACAGCTATTTGGAGTGACATTTTCTGGCCACATCCACACACACACACACACACACACACACACACATCCACACACACACACACACATCCACACACACACACACATCCACGCACGCACACACAAACACACACACATTCTCTAAACCTCTCACACACACACATTCTCTCTCTCTCTCTCTCTCTCACACACACTCTCTCTTTCACACGCATGCACACACACACACACACACACACACACACTCACACATGCGCGCGCACACTTACTCTCTCACACACACACACACACACAAATAGGCAGCGGGACTACCAGCTAGATTCACGTGACCTTGCGGACAAAGTTACGGAGGTAGAACTTGTTTTCACGACGACACTTGGACACAAGTACTTCTGTATTATTATTTTATCTCTTTTCAACCAATCCACAAGCCAAGAAGAGATGCGTAGACTAAAGAACCGTACTCTTGGTGATACTGATCGCAAACATGATTAATTCCTCCAGGCCATTGAGCACCCAATTCTAAACCTTATCTAAGCAAAGCAGCATGCCAGTTCAAGAACATCTCGTCAGACATACATATCGATACATGTCTGGTGCACTCTCACTAACAAGCAGGCATCGCAGGCTACATTCGCACCAGCAATCAAAAGAAGTTGAAGTGAGTGAATATTTCTATAAAATTAATAATTGGAAGACAAATGAAGGTGTGGAGGACCGCCCAAAAACACTGACAAGGAGACAGTAAACGGTACACAGTACTCGTATGCGTGTACTTATACACGTTATAGCAGCACAACGAGAAGGACCATGATGCATAATGTTGCATCAATAAATTTTACAGAGTTATTTTGGGAGTAGAAATGAAGATGTGTTCGAACTTCGAAGCAGTAAACTGCGTAAGCACTACGTTGAGCCAGAATATTGAAATACAGTTTCCTGCAGTCAAAACAAGACACTCACACTTCCCTGGTCTAGTTCGCCATTCTTATCGATAAACATGACTTGATTTAATTTCTTACGATGGTCCTTGAGAATGGATCAATGATGTCTTGAATAGATGTCTTCCTGAACGACTTCAACTGAGAGGCAGTTTCAGTTTCAACAAGCTGGACATTGTTTTTCTGTGGAGTCTTCCACAAGAAAGACAGAGCCACACACACGAAGGTGCTTGATGTACTCAGTACCTTCTTGGAAATGAACATATTTTCATTTCCATCTTCATTATATTTTCGTCTCTGCATCGTCGACGATGTCCACTTCTGACTCCGTAATCTTGTCACCCATCCTCTCCAAAAACACAAATCGAGTGCTGCTTGCATGCTGGATCAGTGGAAGTCAGTCTCTGCTCTAGCAAGATCGGCATGCAAATATTACATGACTGAAAATATTCCGAAATAGCTTTTCTGAACGACGAAGTTTGTTCTTCAAATATGATGAATAGCACAACCTACTAGCCAGAACATCCTCTCAAAAGAGATTCTATCTGAAGCCTGCAAGATTTTCGACCACCTTTCGTTTTGGAGAGGAGCCCACACACACCAGACTCGAGCTACAAGTAAACTACGCGGAGATCGAGAGTTGATCGAAATCTTTCTTGCTCACTTCTGAAACCTGTGAAGGAAAAAAGTATGCTGAACGCGTGAATGCCTACAGTTGAGTCGTAATATTTTGACGTGGATCCTGTGACCGTTCACAGAGAAAGTCGCGGCTGTTTCTGACTGGTCATCGGGATTCAAACTGGTGTGTGACTTTATGACTGCTCTTCGGGGATTTGTGACTGTTTGATTGGTCACGGGGATCGTGATCGGTCATCGAGACGTGACTGCTCACTGAGTCCTACATATATACAGGTACGTATGGGTGAAAGATACACACAGGCCCCAAAAAGACCAACATGAAATTTGCAACGTGATATGAGCAGTGTTCCTCTGCCATTAAACATCAACGATCAGTCGTCTGTCATCTACAATGGATAAGGGTCGACTGGAATCGACAATCCAGTCGATGATCGACTCCGTCAACATGCCTGAGCGCCTGCTGTCGCACGTTCGCAAGTTATCTGTGCCGAAGAACGACGTGACGGGCTTCATTCCAGCACTGTTCGTCGCACTGTCACTGCGCTCAACATTGCTGGTAGTCGCCGTTGCTGTCGACTGGGTTGCTGATCCTTTCCCTACCGCAGCGGCGTACTGGTCTTTATGAGCAGAAATCAGGTGCTGGAACAAGTTGGTTGTGCCGCTTTGACGGACGAACTCGCGGCTGCACGAATTGCATCTCGCTACGCTATCAGCTTCTTCGAAATATGCCCACGCTGGCGATCTCTTGGTCAGACTAACTTTCGCTTTTCCAGGCGGCAGCATTGTCCCTGCTCTCCTCGCCAAGAAAATCAAAACTAACTAAGTTTTTGACAAGAACTGAACAAATTAGAAGGACGGCAGCCACACTCGCAGTTTCGCTACAACCTAACAGCAATGAAGCTTTCCGGTTGTTACATTTTCCGGCTACGCTGACTAGTGCAGTGAATTATGTAGTGACTATGTACGACTACCCAAAAAGGATCAAGCGCGCAATGATTGTACGGACCTACGGCTTCATGCACGTCTACTTCGACGTTCATGTACTTGTGCGCATGACGCGCGTGCATGATGCCATGCATGGTCTGCATGCACTGACGTCATGACCGCTCTCGCACTGTACAGTCATAATCGTTATCGATCATAACGATTATCGATTTCATCCATAACGAGTGATATACGAGTAATCGGTATAATCGTTTCGGCCCTAGTATTTTGCAAGCTCAGCTGGCTGAACCATGAATGGCTCACATTCGAACTCTGTCGTAGTCAGTCTTGCATCCAATCCTGTTGAGTTATGGCGTCAGGGTTCTGGTGCATAGCACATGCTGTTTGCATTGAATCGAGTCAGCTTTCATCTCTGTGCGCACAGTTGTGACGAATGTGTTGTATCTACAAAAATACTTCAGTGTTTTACGCTTTGTCTTCTGTCCAACGTGCTTTCCCAACAGCGAGGTGACGACTTCATGAACAGGCTGCAGGATGTTTCTGCCAACATTCCGTACATGACCTGCCCAGGCAACCATGGTAAGGTGCGGGGAATGGCATGCATGCACATGATGCATGCACATGATGCATGCAACCATTTCATTATCTATCATCATTCATCAAGCCAGGACATAAGATTCTATTTCCGTTGCGGAAAGCGAAAAATACAGGAAATGCTTGACATCACGGCTTCTCCTAGAGGTATTGACCCTCCATTGCTAGTATTGTCCTCTACCTTGATGGTCCAAATCTCCGTTTCCAATGTGCTTACTCCTAGAGATCGCATTTAACTTCAGCCACTACCGCAATCGCTTTGCAATGCCCTCCGCCGATGAATCTCCAGCCAACGATCAATTGTGGTGGAGTTTGGATATCGGCCCTGTGCACTTCTTGAGGTATGTTACTGTACGTCTCCACTTATCACCACATGTCTTCTTGACTTTAACTTTACTTGTGTTTCTGCATGCTTCTTTCGCTTGGACTCAGCTTGTGGATTATCGTAGTGACCAGGCTCAATGCGGTCGAGATACCGTGAAATGCGAGAGCAGGAATTGGGCTTGAAAGTGATACGTCAGAAGTCAAAATCTAACGGCAAATGGACCCAATCACTTCCGGTGGATGTGTCACTATGCTGCGAAGGAAAACCACCCACACGTGTATGGACCCACACAAAAACTGGACCCAAGTGGATCCAAAGGTCGTTATTTGTCGTTAGGTTTTGACTTCTGACGTCCTCACTTTCGAGCCCTATTGCCATGGTGTTATATTGTAGCATAGATGTTCCATTGCCGTGTTTTTTTGCACCTTCTTGCTTTTCAGCTATGACACTGAGGTCTACTTTGCTCGCGAAGACCTGATCCAAGCTCAGCTGGACTTCATCAATGCCGACTTGGCCCGTGCTGCGGATCCTGCCCAGAGGAAGAAGGTGCCATGGATCGTTGCGTTTGGTCATCGTCCTATGTACTGCTCTAACATTGACAATGATGACTGTGCCACACCAAAGTCCAAAGTCAGAGCTGGGTAAGCGGTCCGACTGTGCGAGAAGTTGTCACCGCTATTCCGTGTGTTAGTTCAGTGAATGCACAGTCTTAGAGTTCTTTTTTGGGTGTACCCCCACACGATGAAATCTACACGGCTCATGTACATGCTAGATCAGCCAGAATTAAGAGGGGTCAGGTCATTTTCGCTTAGTTGGTCCGGTTACGGTTGGCTGGACCAGTTATGGTCGGTCGGATCAGTTACAGTCGGCCGGATCAGTTACTGTTGACTGGACCGGATCAATGCAGTTTCAGTTTATTCTGCTTCTTTCCATTGCCTGGACATGCTTGATGGAAAGCACTGTAGGCACTGTGTTTGCAGATACTGCACATTTGGTCATAACTTCCCAGAAATCAGACCAAACAGCACAGGGGACGCAGCCATGACACCTAGTCCGTATCGGTTCTTGGGCAGTCTCGCAGCGCCGGTGCCTTATCTTGGGCGTAGGGGCTCTTTGGTCCCAACTGTACACCCTCGGTTTTTCATGCCCCTGACAGAGACTGTCAGTCATACGCTGTCCTATTTATCTTATCTGTTGGCGTAGATTGGAAGCAACATTCTACAAGTACGGAGTTGATTTCATCGTTGAAGGCCATGAGCATTCCTACGAGAGACTGTACCCAGTGTTCAATGAGACCGTCACACAGAAGAACTACATCGATCCCAAAGCACCCGTTCACATTATATCGGGGCAGGCCGGCTGTAATGAAGCCGGAGGGCTTTGCGTCAATCCGATACTGGGAAAGAAAGGTGAGAAATACTTTGGCCGAAGTTTTTTTTGGCTGTGCTATTCAAGCAAAAGTATACCTCTGAGAGAGCAGTGTCCCTTGTGTGTTTGTGTCAACAGGTGTGTGAGTGTGTAGGTGTGGGTGTTTGGGTACGGGCGGGCGTTCAGGCAGGCAAACTGGAAATGATTATTTTCAGTTTGTCTTCAACCTTCTAAAAAGAATCGCCTTTTCATTACCATAGGCCAATGTCAAAACATAGCTGCTAGTGCAGCGTGTACCTAACTTTTACAGTACTTTGAAGTAGCTTGTACTGTTTGGTTGCATGCAGGTGAACTACCCGTAGAGTCCATAGAAACCTGTACGCACACATCAGTGTTGAGCTGAGAACAGCAAACATGTTGCCTGGGGAGGGAGGGGGGGGGGGGGGGGGGGGGGGGGGATAACCTCAAGTGGAGCTTTACGTCCACCCTAGATTCTTTCACACGTTTTCCAGCTTTGCTTTCCGCGGGGGGGGGGTGTTCTGCCCCCCCCCCCCCCCCCCCCCCCCCGGTATAGTGGCACAAGGCAATGCCTCTAGTACATATGCAATGCCTCTAGTACATGTGCAATGCCTCTAGTGCATGCCTCTAGTGCATATGCAATGCCTCTAGTACATGTGTAATGCCTCTAGTACATGTGTAATGCCTCTAGTACATGTGTAATGCCTCTAGTACATGTGTAATGCCTCTAGTACATGTGCAATGCCTCTAGTACATGTGCAATGCCTCTAGTACATGTGTAATGCCTCTAGTACATGTGTAATGCCTCTAGTACATGTGTAATGCCTCTAGTACATGTGTAATGCCTCTAGTACATGTGTAATGCCTCTAGTACATGTGTAATGCCTCTAGTACATGTGTAATGCCTCTAGTACATGTGCAATGCCTCTAGTACATGTGTAATGCCTCTAGTACATGTGCAATGCCTCTAGTGCATGCCTCTAGTGCATGCCTCTAGTGCATGTGTAAGACGTTGTCCTCGTTTGGCGCAGGACCCATTGAACACCACATGCTTTCTTTGTTTTGTGCTTGCATAGGTGACTGGTCAGCATTTCGTTCCTGGCTTCCCGGCCAGTATGGCTATGGTCGGCTAAAGTTCCTGAATGCCACGCACGCACAGTGGTCTCAAATGTATGACATCGTCAAGTTGACCGAAGACACCGTGATCATCGAGCAGCAGGATCACGGACCGTTCAGATGAGCAATCATGTTAGTGTCCAGCAGGGGCCCAGGGGATCTTCAGGCTGGCTCCAGGGGATCTTCAGGCTGGCTCCAGGGGATCTTCAGGCTGGCTCCAGGTATATCATGAATACTATTACTAGTACTGCATTGCCACCTGGCCGTCATTATTCAGGTTGCTCTAGTGCGTGCACACACACACACACACACGTGTGTGTGTGTGCTTGCTGTGCACAAGTGCATGACACCCGCCCCGGCATCACCGCCCATACCCCAGCGCATACCAATCACAAGCCATCCGTGTTGCAACCAGCACTGCGCTACCTGTGATCGCTGTTTTAAATCTGCTCCTGGCTTTCGGCGACACAATTGCAATCGTGGACGGCGTCGTGGCGGAGCGGCTTCCTAGTGGCAGTGCTGACTTCTCTCAAACTCTCTCTTCTACTCTCCCCTGTCTCGGGGGCGGCGTGGCCAAGCATTTGGCAGCTGTACACCAGGCCAGGTGTGTGTGTGTGTGTGTGTGTGTGTGTGTGTGTGTGTGTGTGTGTGTGTGTGTGTGTGTGTGTGTGTGTGTGTGTGTGTGTTATTAGGCTGTGGGATGTGTGCTGTGTGCTCAGTGATGTATTATTTATTTTGGACATTGTGTCCACATTGTGTCCTTGTGACTCTTTGAGCTTTCCTACTACATTGTATGATATTCCTTCTCATTTCAAACTTTGTTCCCACAAAACTCATAGGATCTAGGAATGACATTGATTTGTGCACAATGGACTCTTTAGGTTTTTATTAGCGTTTGGTACAAACGAGATATTGCTGATAGCCTTGTACTGTGAGAATAATTCCTGAACGGCGCCGATAATAATACTGTAGACAAAGTGTCTGAAGTCCTTGCTGCAAATAGTGCTCAATACCCTAACGAGGGCAGAGCGTACTACACAAGGCAGAACAACAGAGACCAAAGCTTTCTCGTTACTCCGAGTTTCGTGTTCGAAAACACTCGTCTGATGAGTGCTTTTGAACACGAAACTCGGAGTAACGAGAACGTTTTTGGTCTCTGTTGTTCTGTCTTGTGTTTCTGTCTTGTGTAATTAAACTGTATGTTATTGTTGTTGATGCACTTGATTGACTATTTGGGGAAAAAAACCCATGAACGCTCAGTCTCTCATTGGCAAACTGGTTTTAACATTTTCATGGCGTGGAACACCGATTGTCCACAGCTGTCGCCGTAAAGCTCAATGGTTTCCTGTGCATATGGGCCCCAGAGCCACACCCCATCCACATGGTTCAAACTTCAAAGCGTACGTGATGTCCGGACATACACATGGAACAACTTGAAATGCACGGAAAACACCCAGGGTACCGTAAAGCGTGAAATTTTCGCGGCGTTTTTAGTTCGCGTTTTCAGAATCCGGACAGGTTTGCGAGGTTTTAATTTTGCGATTGCAGAATGGCATTCTTGCTAAACCTGTGGCATTCTTGCTAACCCTTTCATGGATCTCCTTTTCGCGCTGTCTGAATTTCGCGATTTCCACGCGGTTGCGAATTTCGCAGAAATTAGACCATGGCAATAATTTCACGGTTTACAGTAGTCAGACTCAGTTGTTACTGTACTCTTTCTATGCAAACACTGTATGTTGCGAGACTGTGGAACAACCTGTTCAATAATGTTATCAATGTACTTAACAATGGCGTCCATGAGGGACCGTATATCCGAGTAAAAAATAGACTGGAAGAGGAGGTCTTTAAAAAAGAAGTGTTTTAGTTTTAATCCGATTGCTCATTTGGCCTGTTCTGTCTGTTTTGTAAAATTGTGTTCTTGATTGAAAGCGAATGAAAGAGGTGCAGAGAAAAAAAGAAAAAAAGTTTGGAGGATATGGGGTTCGAACCCATGGCCTCTCGCATGCAAAGCGAGCGCTCTACCACTGAGCTAAACCCCCAGTCACGTATATCTACGGCGAAAATGTGGATCATACAGATCGAGACCAGGTCTGAGTTCCCCCTACATGTTTTTCGCCATGCATATGGCGCCAAACAGGATTTGGCACGCGTGATACACGCTCAGACCAAAACAAAATCGATGAATGGGTATCCGCTTTTTCTATCTCCATTAATTTTCTCGTCTTACCTTAGGCCGAAACATTACTGTCATTAGCTTAGAAACACCTTTCGTGACTGGCCGGGAGAATGCCTCGCAAACGCAAGGTAAAATTTCAAGTATTAGTTGGAGCAGAGCGTGCCGAATCAAGCTTGAATGAGTGTTCAAAATTTGATTGCTCTGCGCGTACTCCGTTTGTTTGGATGTAACTGCATACACAGGGAGAGGAGGCAGGTGATTCACAGCCAGCCAAGCGAGTGAAAACCAGTGATCCTCCCGCCGAGGTCAGCCTGTACTCTTGTCTGTGGGGTAGACTATAGCCAACATGTGTGTTGAGCTTGTGTTTAAAATACCTGGTTGTGCGTTGTATTAATTTTTGTAGTTGTGTGTGTGTGGGGGGGGGGGGGGGGGGGGGAGGGGCAAAATATTAATGGCCCAGCTCAAAAATAAAGAGGGTATCAATGAATCGCACAATTTTACACGGAGGGTTGGCTTACACATCGCCAGTACGCACCGGGGCCGTGAGTGCCTATTGCGGCCTCTCCCCATCCATGTGGCTTGCGGTTATGTCGTTATCTTATGAGCACCACTCCTGTGCGTATCAAAATTGTACGGTAGCAGCGAGGAGCCGATATTCACTTTTAATAGGCCCCGGATTTCACCTACATCAACTGTGATTATGGGTCAATGCACGTCAAGAGTCCCTCGCCAAGAGTATATGCTACTGTGATTATTGGTCAATGCGCTACGTGCTGCTTGTATTACATAGCCTGCCTGCACGACACCCTGTACTCGTGTACTTACACTCACAATATCTCGTATCAGCTCAACCGTTTTTGTTGGGTTCGCTCGAGTACCAGCACAATCTCTATGCGCGTGGACTAATAGATGATAATATGCCAAATAACGTGCAACTAGGCTTGAGAGGGCATCGCACACAAGTTGCATACAAATTATACTACAATGTGTACACGGTAGGCCCTGAATTCTGCAGGAGCACAAGTCACAGGTAACCGTACAACTTTGAACTTTGTATGCAACTACTCTGCAATGCCCTCTCAAGTCTAGTTGCACGTTATTTGGCATATCATCTATTATCTTGGAGGAATGAACTGCAGTTCCTTACGAAAGTTGGTTTCAAGCCGCAGGGAAAGTGTGGTACAGTGGGCATGTAGTTGATTTCCCTCCGTGCACGGATAATCAGAGGTACTGCATAGCAGGAAAATTTCGGACGGAATTTATTTTCGTACAATTTCGTACATGGCCTCTTTTGGACTAAAATAAATTCTGCACTAAAATGTGTTCATGTGAAATTATGTACACTACACAATAGTATACATGCGTACTGCTTGCGAACACGTGCATTTAGCATGCAACACTGTGCGAAAATAAAATCCGTACGAAAGGTCGAAATTCAGCTTTGTCCGAAAATTTCCTGCTATGCAGTAGCTGCATGATGTAATGAAGGCGGCAACCCCGCACATCAGGCCCGCAGAAAGGAGATCATAGTTGCATACTGTTGGCTGTGGACTAATGTTGTTGTGCTAGTTCTAGGTACAGGTGGAATCATTCCCTTTTCGCACACGCACAGTGCGTACTTCATTCGAGTCGTTCAAGATTGCGATGCCTTTGGCGATTTGCATGCATGAAAGATCTCCGAATTCTTCGAGCCCTATTCCTAAATTATGCCAGTTTCTTCGACTTCCAGGATAAAATAATTCTCCAACTACCTAGAGACAATTCGAAAGCACCCTTAGTGTATTGACTTGGATTCCTCCACATAGCAGCACTCCAAGTCTAACGATGATCCTGTCCACTGTTTGCTTGGTGTGTGTGTGTGTGTGTGTGTGTGTGTGTGTGCGCGCATGTGTGTGTGTGTGTGCGTGCATGTGTGTGTGTGCGCATGTGTGTGTGTGTGTGTGTGTGTGTGTGTGTGTGTGTATGTGTGTGTGTGTGGCAGGACGAGTCCACTGAGTTAGCTGCTGCCACCGCCTCTGGCAGCGACAAAATGGCCTGCACTCGGCTTGCAGCTAATGGCAAGTAAGTGCCATGATGTTGACATTGATTGAGGGTGGTGCTGGTGTTGATGCTGGTGCTGGTGGTTGGGATTCATGGCAAGTGGTGTGAACACCTGGTGTAATGTTTGACTATTATCTATAGAAAGGCAGAGACTACCACTATATTGCACCCCAACATGCTCACACACTCAGACTCAGACATGCCCATCGCGGAAGCGATGATAGCGAACAGCTATGTTAGACATAGCAACTTGTGCTGGGATTACACCATTCAACAGCTTGCAAGGCTGATGAATTGACTGCCACTAGTTTTAGCCTGGTATCCACCACAGCTGATTGAAGTGGCTTTTTCTGGCCAGTGAATCCCTACTTTTCATTTTTCATTGTTTTCCATTTTTCCATTCTTTTTTGACACACACACACACGCCACACCACATACTCCGACGTACGCTGGCTGTTGGTAACCACCCAGGAGAGTGAAAGAAGAGCTAGGAGAACGAGAAAGAGAAGAAAGACGTGTGGAAACGTAATCGTCGGGAATTGAACCTGCAACCTCTCGATTGGAAATCGACTGCGCATACCACTGCACCATATGGGACACACACACGCACACACACACACACACACACACACACACACACACACACACACACACACACACACACACACACACACAAGCCCCCCCCCCCCCCCCACACACACACACATCACACACACGCACTGTCCTGTCCTGTCCTGAACATTGCCGTTTCCGGTTACATGTCCCCTCGTGTGAGGGGCCGACAGACATGGAGAGTTGGGTTGAGGTGCTGTGTCGCATCAACGTCCTAGCGAGATTTCCTAGCCATTTCATTGATCCATTGGCTGCAGTGGGCTCTGCAGCAAGGTAGGGCGAGCCGCTGGCGGGTGTCACACGATGGTCCAGCAGCGGTGGCTTGGCCGTGCACTGGAGTAGCAGATGGGGGCATATCCAGGCATTTGTGGACGGCCAGTCCGCCAGGGCTGCGAAACCAGCGAAGACATGCGGTGCATTGCCTGCTGCCAGCCTGGTCTGCTACGGGTTTGCGACGCTCTTCAGTGCACTTGTGGCGTGGCAGGCCGCTCTTCGAAAAGGATCTGTTACAGATACTGCACTGACTCCGTTCACGAGAGGCCGGCTGTGGTGGTGAAGCAGTTCTGAATGCTGTGCGCCACTCTCCCCGCTGCTGCGCGGTGTCGAACCAATCTTCTTCCAGATGGAGGTGACGGATGTCAGTTCGGACGGCATCACGCCAACGCTTTCGGGGACCACATGCAGGGCGTGTAGGTAGCAGTGACCCGAATAACAGCTGGCGAGGGGTGCGGTCGTCGTCCATCCTGGTAACGTGGCCAAGCCACTCCATCCGCCGTCCAAGCAGGCGAGTTGGGATATCGTCCTGCTTGGTGTCATTCCAGATCGCCAGGACTTGGGTGTTCGTTATTCGGTCACTCCAGACTGCCTGTCGGGTAATTCCAAGAATCGACCGAATGCAGCGGAAGTGAAAAGTAGATAGGGCGGTGATGTCCTGCTGCAGAGGTACCCAACATTCGGAGCAGTACAGCAGCAGTGACAGTACGCACGCTTCATAAACCACACGCTTCGTAGCAATGGACAGGTTAGCGTCCATGAAGACCGAGCGACGGAGTACACCAAAAGCCCGTGATGGCCCTTCAATGCGCGACTTGATGTCTTGGGAGGAGCGGCCAGTAGTGTGTACCAATGAACCAAGATAGCGGAACTCCTCGACACTCTCGACAGTGTTCCCTGCCACTAGTAGGGGAAGCCGGTCGGCGGGTTTGATAGCATAGCCAACTGGCATGACCTTCGTTTTGGCGAGGTTCACCTTGAGACCAAAGACGGCAGCTATGTCCATAAAGATGGTCAAAACCTGTTGCGCGCCCGTGTACGACGTGGCAATCAAGGCTGAGTCGTCAGCAAATTGGCAATCGTTGTGCATCTTGATGACGTCGGTCGCTTTCCGTCGAAACAGCAGTTTACCACCTGTGTTTGTAGCAACAGGAAGACCAATATCAGGGACGTTCTCGATCGCCCTGTACCACAGTTGAAAGGCAGCCCACATGTAGATGTTAAATTATGTTGGCGCCATGCAGCAGCCCTGCCGAAGACCATTGTTAACCTCGATTGGCTCGACCTGGATATTGGGTAGAACAAGTGCGAGTGAAACGATTTGATGATGGTAATAAGATGGTCGGGGACCCCAGCCCTGCTGAGTACTAGCCATAGGCACGAGCGATTTACGGAATCGTAGGCCTTGCGTAGATCCACAAACACAAGGAATCCTTTGCAGGGGTGTTCGTATAGCTTTTCGGTGATCTGCCGTACAGTGAAGACCATATCGGTGCAGGAGCGACCTCTGCGAAATCCACATTGCGTGTCGGGCAAGAGGTTTTCGGCTAGTGTCTGTAGCATGCGCTGGATTAGTGAAGCAACAGCCTTCCCGACGACATCCAGCAGTGCGATCCCGCGACAGTTGTCGCACAAGGCAAGGTTTCCCTTCTTGGGGTTGGGGAGCAGGTTGCAATCTCGCCAGTCCTGGGGAACCTCGCCGGTCCTCCACACCGCCTGGACAATGTCCATCAGCTGAAGCATGCACTCATCTCCTCCAGCCCTCACCATCTCAGGCAATATTTCCGAGGCCCCAGCAGCACCGCCGCCACGCAGGCGTCCCACAGATCTCCTAATCTCCTCGAGACTCGGCACCTCGGCAAGCTGATCATCAATAGTCTGCTGCTGCAGTTCATTCACAGTTTCAATATCAATTTCACTCCGGATGTTTAGAACGCCAGTGAAATGGCATCGGAAGCGCTGGCCATGTTCCTCCGCCGATGTACATAGGTTTCCATTTTCGTCCTGCACAGCAACAGCCGGACTTGGTACGAGGCTGCGTCGTGCAGACTGCATAGCCTTGATACCATTCCACACTCGTGCTGAGTTGAACCGACCTTCGTCGATCTTACTCGCTTGCTCAGAGAACCAGTTGTCCTTGGCTTTACGTACTGCAAGACAGGCCCTGCTTCGGGCATTCTTGTATTGCTGGTGATCTTCATCCCATGTCCCATTTGACACCCATGTTGCATAGTATTCATTGCGGTCGTCGAGCAGCGGTTGAAGCACACACACACACACGCACGCACGCACGCACGCACGCACAGGATTTCACCCAAAAGCGAAATGGCATGCAGTATTTTCTAGGATGTTTATAGCCGCACCCGTATAAACCCTCCTCTCTTAGAGCAAAGAGTCATACTAAAGTTTGCAACTTTCTTTGCATTGAAAATTCTGTCTGAAATGCATGTGCAGGGTTCAAGTCGTAGGGCAAATTTCTGGTCAACTTGACAAGTTTTAGTGGCAAAAGTGTGGCTTACACTCTGTAATGGAGTTTTAGTACAGTGCTGCTCAATGAAATCCAGTCACGTCACTCAAGTTTGCGCCTTACACCATTTCGCAGCCTGGTGTTCGCGGGTCTAGGGCTGCTTAACGCCCGACGTGTACTTGAGTGACGCGACTGGATTTCATTGAGCAACACTGTACATGTGCCGTAGCACTGCAGCCGGGTGCCCACGGCATGTCCTGTTACAGTTTGGAAATGATGCTATGCTCCGTCTGTGTGCACACTTTTGTCAGTGTTGTCGTGTCAGTAGACCTGAAAACGCTGTGCGCTGCATTCAAGTATACAGGCGTCATACGACATTTTGGCACGAGTGGGCCCCGTATCGGCGCTGTTGTTTTGAAATTCAACATTATTCTGTTGTGTATATTTGCATGTAGATCGCATGCGTTGAAAGTGGTATCCTGGAACATCAATGGAATACGCGCATGGGCAAAGGTAAGGTGTGTGTTTGTTGTAGATGAGCTGCTCTTGTGTGCTCAACAAGCCTATAACTACCAACAGTGCGCGTCTTCTTTGAAGTTCTTTTCCTCTCCGTATTTTCACCACATCTTATTTAAAGTTATTTTGTTCACTACAATGTATTGTCTGTGTGTCCAGTGAGCTAGATCTAGTGTGTTTACGCGTGAAGAGAACGTGAGCGTGAGTTTGTGTGCTATTTGCGTGCAGAAAAATCCTCAGGCTTATCTGAAGAAGGAGAACCCGGATGTACTGTGCCTGCAGGAGACGAAGTGCTCGGAGGCTGACTTACCCGACGTATGTAGCATGCCACTGCCAACCTTGCCATAGTTGTTGTTTGTTTGCTGTTGTTGTTTGTTTGCTGCTGTTGGTGTTTGTTTGCTGTTGGTGTTTGTTTGCTGTTGGTGTGTTCTTTGCTGTTGGTGTTTTTTTGCTGTTGTTGTTTCATGTTTACACTGCTGGTTTTTTTGCTGGCTCTGGTCGAGTGCAAGGCTTTGTTGTGCATGTGCGTGTGTGTGTGCATGGTATGGCTGGGGTGTGACTGGCCTATTACAAGCACTATGATTGCCTGTACTGCTGACTTTGGAGTCTTGTAGGCTGAAGGGAAGTTGTAGCACTATATAGACCTCTTTACAATGTGCTCCATCCGTACCATGCACCATGTATACGCCCGTCGCAAAAGAAGCACGCGAATCTGCAAATGCACTGGATGTGCACCACCCACAGATTGTCTCTTATAGCAACGATAGCGGACAAGATCTGAATGAGACAGATCAAGACTAGCGCCAGATAACACAATCCACACAACCTGCGAAGCCATGTGAATCGACCACCAATGCACACCTGGTCTACACCACACGGAGTACATCGGCATAGAACGGCCAAGACAGTTACCTGTCTGTAGCACACACACACACACACACACACCTGGTCCTGGTAAACACTGCCATTGCAGTCACGTGTCCCCTTACGGGGCCGACAATATAGAACGACGAGCGGGACCACGTTCGAGAGAGCCATCTCCAGCAGCTATGGATCTGGCTTATCATCGGAAATGATTCCTCTCACGGCTGCCGCTAGAACTGGTCCATCACTCTCCACAACAGAGCGAACATTCCATGAGCCAACGCTCAGAGTCACACACACACACACACACACACACACACACACACACACACACACACACACACACACACACACACACACACACACACACACACACACACACACACACACACACACACACCCGCACACACACCTGCCCCCCCCCCCCACACACACACACGCCCACACACACGCCCACACACACACACACACACACACACACACACTCGCTCGTTCGCTTATTTTCAACTGACTCTATTTTCTTGTATTGCCATGCACAGCTTGGGCTAAGTGGCTACCACCAATATTGGAGCTCAGCAGAGCAGAAGGGTTATGCTGGAACTGGGTAAGAATTACACCAGGACGTACCCCCGGTATCTGAATACTGCCTTAGTCATAGTAGTAAAAGAGTGACTTAGCTTGATGAAATTTATGTTCACCACCACCACCACCACCACCACCACCACCACCACCACCACCACCACCACCACCACCACCACCACCACCACCGTCTTGCGCTGCAATTCATTTATTATGTATATATTATGGCATGGTTGGGAGGGCAATAATGGATTTTCAGTGCCCTCCAAGTGAGCCCGAGGGCTCACTTGGAGGGCACTGGGAATCCATTATTGCCTCACCAACCATGCGGCATGCCATAATGGATTTATCACTTTCAGCCTAACATTACTGAATACGCTAACCTGAAAGAATCAAAACTAAAGGAGAAAGTCGACCTCGTGTGCAGCAACACTTGAAAGGAAAGAAAGGAAAGAAAAAGAAAAGCTGGGATCGCCACTTTCGAACACGTGTTCACATGTACGCTGCACTGTACACAGTCACCGTGTTCAAATCCCGTACTGGCCGTAGATTTCACGCGTCCGGTGTCACTGTCAGGGTTACCACGGACGACGGGCTTTGGACGCGGGCGTTGGACTGATTTATTGCCCGCTCATACAGATCAGTGATTGGCCCGATCCAAGGAAACAGTCACGTGACATGTGATAAAAATTTATAATTACCTCTCCAAAGTTTCGCCCTTGGGCCTGTGGGATAATGAGATAACAAACCGGGAGTTTTAGACGGTTTCGCGACCTTAGACCACGAAATTCCAGAGGAGAAAAAGTATTGTTATTGTGGAAGGAGTTCTTGAGTAACTGCTAGGAAAAACCTCAGGACTGAGAGAGAAAACCAAAAAAGGAGAGAAGACGATGACAACCGTAAAAGGGATGATGCACTACGGTACAACGTTACCGTAAAATGCGTAGTACAGTGCATTTCAAAACTATAGACGCGTAGGGTTTTTGAAATATTTCAAATTTGGCTGGAACTTTTTGCGAATAGTTTTCGGAATATTGCTCAGGATCGCTCCACAATTACTCTCGTATAGTTTCTAAAGGATTGGATAACAGACGCCCAATTTGGAAAAATTTATGCACAAAGTGATCACAGATTTTATGTGGTATAGATGCTGGCATAACGGTTTTTGCCTAGGTACGCGTCTATAGTTTTGAAATGGACTGTAGTACCAGCGGTTGACACTTTGGGCAACTCGTTAGTACGGCTTTCAATTCAAATAAAGCAGTGATAAATATAATGACAAAATCAGTGGAGAACAATAAATTTGATTGCCGATGTCATGTGACTGAGTGGGGACGCCACATTACTCCCCCACCAGTGAGCAAGTCATACAGCAAAAGCTGAGCAGTGAATGGGCCAAACACTAAAGAGGAAACATATTTTTAAAAAAAACAAAGAAACAGGAAGAAACACGCGAAAGCGGGCAAAAGAAATAGACCAAGGCAAGCAATGAGGCGGACATCACACAAATGCGGGCTTGAGGCGGTCAATGGAGACCGTGTCTGAGCGACCATTGATCTTATCGGGCGATCCAATGCAACAGGAAAGCCCGGGCCACTGTTGGAGTCCTGCTGTCCGGTATTGGCAGTGCGTCTGGCCACCGAGTGTAGCGGTCAATACACGTAAGCGAATATGTGCAACCGGAGCATGATGGTAGAGGGCCAACTAGATCAATGTGGACAACCGAGAACCGTTCGCCAGGAGTCAAGAAACGGGAAGGGCTAGATTTGGTGTGACGGTGAACTTTGGCTTGCTGACAAGCTAAACAACGGCGGGTTAAGTCGCGGACATCCTTGCGTATACCAGGCCAGAAATAGCTAGCAGTGAGGAGACGTACTGACGAGCGAGTACCAGGGTGAGCAAGGTTGTGCAATTGGTTGAAAACAGCTTCGCGGAGAGATGCAGGTACATACGGACGGAAAGAACTGGTAAAGATGTCACCATGCAGATACGTATTAGGGCTGACGTAGCGACACGACCATTGAATGAAAGTGCCGGGAGATGGGGCAGATCGGAGCTTGACCAAGTCTGGGTCAGATTGTTGAGGATTAGCGAGGGCAGCAAGGTCGGTAGCAGGCACCACTGTACACACGTCGGAGGGCCGAGATAATGCATCTGCAACAGGGTTGGCAGCACCACTGACATGTCGGATGTCGGTGGTAAATTCAGAGATGAAGGCCAAATGACGTGATTCCCTCGGGCTGTAGTTTGAGAAATTTGAGGAGAAAGAGAAACAGAGTGGCTTGTGGTCAGTGAATACATGAAAACCACGACCCTCTAGCTGCTGCCAGACATGCTTGATGGCCAAAAGAAATAGCTAACAATTCCCGGCCGAATGTACTGTAACGGGTCTCCGCTGGTTTCAGGACTTTGGAAAAGTAGGCCAGTGGCTGTTGATCGCTACCCACACTGTGGTGTAATACAGCACCAATGGCATAATCGGAGGCATCCACCATGAGCCTTAGCTCTGCGTCCGGCAGTGGATAATGTAGCTGAGTGGTGGCAGCCAAGGCAGACTTGGCCTCGGCATATGCATGCATAGCGTTGGCATCGAACACCACAGGTGTGGTAAAACACTTCACTTTCTACTGTACAATCATGCACACACTGTCGCGGACAGCTGGCCAGCAGCTGCCGCGACAACTTCAAGATGGGAGAGAGACCTGGTTTGTTGTTACTTCTTTCACCACATAAAGAACACTGCTTGGAGAGAGAAAACTACCGAGAGAAGGACACGAAGCACTACAAGAGAGCACTCCGAAAAAGGATTCGCTCGCATGGCAGCGTATGCATGCTCTGCCAGCGTACTGTGTGCAAAATGTGAAACCAAAAATAGATTATCATGATTTTGCTGCGTGCAAAAGCCAACCAGTTTGGGAAGTGCATCGTAGCGATCCCGCGATCGCGTATCGACGCTAAGATGGCGGCTGCACTGGAGCGCTGACAGTGCGTGCATGCAAAAAAGGAAAATAAATAAATCAGAAAAATGCAGTTCAAATAAGGGTGCGTTTGGTTGGTACGATCTAGAACAGGATCGAACAGCTGGTGCACATAGTGCAGCCTCATGCCAACCAAACGGTACTGTAAGACATGTATATATAACGAGGAAGCAAATCTAACGTTTTAACGGATGACATTTCTTCGTTATAATAAGATCCGTTGAGGCCGTACTGCTTCATATATGCTGTGTGTGGATATGGCAGAATACTGCAAGATCGTTAACATATCTTCTCGTTAACCTATGAATTTTGGACAATCGTTAAATTTGCGACTCGTTATAATAACATGTCTTACAGTACTCAAGAAACAGAGCATATTTTTGTGAAAAATATGCCAAGCTTGGTGCATTCTTCAAAATTTGTATGGGTCACCATGGTCACTGTGTACGGTACGACAAGTCCAACCCAAAAGCGTATGCACGTGATCATTTGGGACCAAAATCGATGTTCCCGCCAGGTTTCACTGTGAAAAAGTGAAACTGCTCGGTCTGCGCCGGCCTCAAGGCCGGAGCAAGCAGAACATGTTCTGGCCGACCCAGAACAGGTGCAGTCCCAACCAAACGCGCTGTTCTGGTGAATCCTGTTCTAGATCGTACCAACCAAACGCGCCCTAAATCGACCGTTCGATCGAAGAGATAATAATTAATAATTCCACACATGCAATTCATTTCAGAACAAGATTATAGAGCGAAGCAAGTCATGTGTCAAGCTACCTTACTACAAATACTTACTATACCTAGAACTTAGCTATGGGCAGTGGACCTGGACCCTATCGCTCCTGGGATATACCTTAGGTAAGAGTGCGACGTAAAGACAAATTGTAAATACTGTAAATTCAAATTGCACTCGTAGCATGTATTCAAATATTGGCAGTCGACTAATCCGGCATTCGCACATATTGCGACAACAGGAGACAACTTGCCCTTTGGACGACCTTGGAGGAGAATGGTCAAAGGTAACAGCAGGGTAGCGCACTGAGGAATAAACCGGGAGTTTTAGACGGTTTCGCTACCTCAGACCACGAAATTCCAGAGGAGAAAAAGTATTGTTATTCTGGAAGGAGTTCTTGAGTAACTGCTAGGAAACACCTCAGGACTGAGAGAGAAAACCAAAAAAGGAGAGAAGACAATGACAACCGTAAAAGGGATGATGCACTACGGTACAACGTTACTGTAAAATGCGTAGTACTGTAGTGCCAGCGGTTGACACTGTGGGCAACTCGTTAGTACGGCTTTCAATTCAAATGAGGCAGTGATAAATATATTGAGAAAATCAGTGGAAAACGAGAGAGCTTGGAAGCTCAGGGCCCTACGCTATGCTTTTTTTGCCTAGCTCATCATGCATGTTATTAGAACTGATGGAAATGTTTTTCCATTGATTGGCTATAGTGTTTTACGTCGACCATGACGGCTACAATGCCCAACCATACCACAACGAACTGATCGGCTACATCATTGTATTGCAAAAAGTATCCATCAGTTCGAATAACATGCATGATGAGCCAGGCAAAAAAGCACAGTGTAGGGCCCTGAGCGAAATAAATAAACTTTCTCTTGTCATTCAAGGGTATTACGACACCGTCTGCCACCTTGATGACCTAGGCAAAAAAAGGATAGGGAAGTTGTAAATTTTTCATTTCTCCTATTTTATTTCAAAACAATAACCTAGGATTCCAACCCGCACTATCGCTATGCATGCATTCCCCCGATACACTTCGCATACATACTCATTCTTCCAAGTTGCTTCACGTTATGATCTTGCATTTGAAAAGCCTATTTGAATATTGTGGCCATGGCCAGCTGTCTTTGATGGTACGGTACGGGACAGGTACGGGATAGCACCGGCATGCCGATGGCACAAACAAACAAACACGAAATTATAGCTGTGTGGACCCTGGCTAGCGCCAGACGATACTGAAGTATCGTCTTTTGCATAGCTACGGGAATAAATTTGATTGCCGGTGTCATGTGACTGAGTGGGGACGCCACATTACTCCCCCACCAGGAAGTGCCAAGTATACTCTGGTGGTGGTGACAGTGGCGGTGATCTTAGCTAAGAGATGATTCATGTCCATTACTGTATCGTGAAAACTGGTCCTGTATCACTTACTTGTTTGTTGTTTTGCAGTGTCAGCGTCCTATGCTCCGCTGCACATGCTCTTTCTCTGTTACATGGTCTATGCCCCCCCCCCCCCCCCGTGCTCTTAGAATCTCGATGTTACTGTATTGCCATCCTAGACGCTATTTCTCTGGTCCACACATGTTTGTGTGTGTGTGTGTGTGTGTGTGTGTGTGTGTGTGCGCGCGCACGCGTACGCATATGCGCGTGTGTATGTGTATTTGTTTCTGTATATTCTAGGCTTCTGAGCAAGACAAAGCCGTTGAATGTTACCTATGGCATCGGTATGTGAAGTGACTAGAAGTAGGCATTTGTATTGCTATCATGCCATGAGTACATGAGTACATGAGACCTAGAGCGTGCAGCTGGAGACCTATTTTCTGCATGGCTGTCTGTCATGGCGAAATTCCTGGATTACTCATACTTATACTTGTAGTCGAGGCAGGCAAGTGGTGGGAAGTCCCATAGTACATACACCTGAGCTGCAGTTGCGAAGCACCAGGAGATCTGTTTGAATCCTGTTTGTATACACTGCATCACTATAACGATGTAATCCAGTCGCCGTGACACCAAGCCATTCAAGCTGCACACTCCGGGTTTCATGTACTCTTGATTTAATATGCTTACAAGTTAGAGAGGATCTCAGATTCTCCAGGTAATTGTCCACAGATCTTGTTCTGATATTTGTTTTATGGAACGGAAAGGTGGCATAGAGCCCGAAAGAGGTGGCAAATTGCCCGTACATGTATATGCATATTGGAGTACATTCACGATCTCTGGCATCACCTGGCTGACCTCTACAGAAATTGCTCGTCGGTCACATGCCGAGTCACATGCAGGGTTGTGTTTAATGGCCTGCCTGCAGTGCCTGCAGTACCTGGGCAAGTGTCACATGGTCTGGCCCTTGTATTCTGACTACAGTACTGGTGACCATGGTAACTCACCACACGCTGTCATGTGACTTGTGACATGCAACAGTGCTAGTGCCCGAGGCCGGCGATCATGCATGCTGTGTGTCATGCGACCGGAGTAAATATCCTCTTTAGACAGTTTAGTTTAAAACTGATTTTTACAGCTTCACGTTTCACTGGGACCAAGCTGCTTGTAATCGAATATGAATGTTGTGTCAACCAACCCCGGCATCGATAGTTTGCATTTGTTGTCCGTCCAGGTTGATCGCACGCTTGTCATAATTATTCCATTTTCCCTCTTACCTTCATTGTTTTGGGGGGGGGGGGGGCAATGAAGTTGACTTCTTGCTGCAAGAAATGCACAGGATTGTTGTGTCGCTGACGCATACCCCTAGCCACACCTCAGTCACTCACGCACACCCCCATCCACAGCCACTCCAGCACACCCCCAGTCACTCACGCATGCCCCCAGTCACTAAAGCCCACACCCAGCCACTCTCTCTCTCTCTCTCTCTCACACACACACACACACACACACACACACACACACACACACACACACACACACACACACACACACACACGCAGTCACTCACGCACACACCCAACCACTTACGCACACACCCAGCCACGATATACCACAATACGGCACAAGGCTGTGTGATTGGCATCTATTGGGTCCTGACCAGAATCGGAACTCCGTTTTTACATGTATACCAAAGTATGACCCATGGATATGGTGATGAATTGTGTTCTAACCCAACACCACTGGTGATAAATATCGTATAGACTTTAAAACAATAATACATGTAAGAGGATGGAAAAAAGTGCTATAACTCCGAGTTTCACGCACTAAGTGATCATCAGAAAACAGACTATGGTATGGACTTTATATTGAGTGGTGGACCAGTGCCTCTGAGTGCTGCCACTCCTTGCACTGCACTGCTCTACATGTAGTGATGGTGTCACCCTGCATAGCCACTGGTGCACTGGTGCGTGCAGTACCATCACAGTTTTGTGCTGGCGTGACCTTCGCCTTACAGTATGCCACCCTTCGCGTGCCTGCGTGCCTGTCACTATCACATCATTCTGTGACAGTCAACATGTACAGTGTGAGCTATGGCATGCCAGGCTGGACTAGTGTGACCTTGTCAACGCTTCAACTCCTCACATCTCTTTACTACTTTGGACTAGTGTGACCTTCTCAATTCTATACACTTCTCACATCTCTTTACTACTGTGGACTAGTGTGACCTTGTCAACACTATACCCTTCTCACATCTCTTTACTACTGTGGACGAATGCTCCTGCTCTTCATTTCTTGGTGCTGCAGTTTGTTTTTATTCGTTCTACCCTCATTGTTGAAATATTTCCCTTCTTTGTGGATGTCCAGGCGAGGAAAAGCATGACAAGGAGGGTCGAGTCATCACGGCGGAGTATGAGGACCTGTACGTTGTGACTTCCTGTAAGTCGGTATCTGTCCTGCAGCAGTCCTAGTGTCTATGTACATAATGTTTAGTTTGTATACGAGTACGTCGTACAATTCACAAACAGCAACAGTGCAGCCGTCTTATGAGTGTTACACGAAACTCTGAGTAATGTCAAGGAAGGACCTGGTTGCACTGTTGATGTGTAATCTTTGTATTACTGGCTCTGTCTACTGGACATAGAGCCCTATACGCAGTCTGCGGACCTTAGACGCCTGTACGTATATATGTATGTGCAAAACTCTAGACTTCATTGCGATCGGTTCGGCCATTGACTCTGGCCATTGACTCTGAGCTCCGCTCGAGGCGACCTGATAAGGTCGACGGCTAGCTGTCTGCAGATTGAGTATAATGTATGTGCATGTAATATGTATGTGTGCGTATTTGTGTGTGTGTGTGTGTGTGTGTGTGTGTGTGTGTGTGTGTGTGTGTGTGTGTGTGTGTGTACTGTAAAACCGGGGATTTCCGGTCGTGTAATACTTTTGGTATTTCCCAAAAGCAAAGGTTCAGTAGCGCGAAAATTTTGGTAAACCAGTTTTCCAGATCCGAAAATGCTTTTTGCACACTGTGTGGCATGGCATTGTTGAATTTTAGGTAAAAATTACCTGTACCGAAGTTACCGTATGTGTGTGTTCGGAAAGAGCCGGGTTGAATGCTGCAATGTGTTTCTACTTTCCAATCAAGCTGCAGATGATCACTTCTCCTGAATTATCTGAATACCTTTTCTTTTCTTTTTTTCGATAAACGAACCATTCATACTCTCTCAGCTCACGGTGGAACAAGAGCTTGGTCCATGCTTTTCACTTCTCCAGCCAAGACTACATTTCAATAAGACTTTTGCACCATCGTACGTTCCGTACATTCCAGTTTGGTGCCCATTGTGGCAGGACAGAGGGCCGACAGCTTTGCAGATTTCATGGCCATCCTGCTTCTGTGTCACGATAACCTCAAAAGTGATCAGATAACAGCCGACATAGTGCTTGTCAACGTGCTTAGGGACTTTTTACTTTGGGGATATACCGTAACGTTTAATACATGAATTGTAAAATCTGATCTGTTCTGGTGTCATACTCGTTTTCTCACATGCATGTGTTTACATGTGTTGACGTGTGTGTGTGTGTGTGCGTGTGTGTGCGTGTGCGTATGTGCTTACGTGTGTGTATGTGTGTGTGTGTGTGTGTGTGTGTGTTTATTTGCTTGTCCTGTAGATGTACCGAATGCAGGAAGAGGGCTTGTGCGGTAAGCTGAAAGGAACGTGGCTGGTGTGTGTATCTCACAGTACGCTTGCCATTCAACTGTTACAAAAAGACTAGTGTTGAAACGATCTCACTGGGTACTCGTTAGCTCGCTCGCCAGAAACTCGGCTCGTTTGTTCGGCCAGCTCGTTTGCACTAACGAACACCGTACACCGTACTCCGTACACATGGCAGTACATGTCGACCGGGGAGTAGAAAAATATTTTACGACTCCCTGGTCGATCGAGAGTCCAGTCCCGCGCAAAGTGAAAATCACTCGCAGTTACAGTGACTGTATGCCTGCACAACACTTGAGTTGTTTCAGTTGTCGTTGCAGCTTTGGTGGACTCTATTGATGTCTTGTTCCTCATCTTCTGACCTGTCGCAGGATATGCTTCGGTCACCTCCATTCGAGTGAAAGTTACGCTCATTCGTTTGGAAATTTTCTCCCGCGATTCAGCGAAGAACAGGGCTACTTGCAATCTTTGCAAAACAGTCTATTCTTACAAAGGCTACTCAACGACGGCGCTGAAAAGACATCTCGACACCAAACAGCAGTCCGAAGTGAAGCAGCAGCAACCGCAAATGCCGGCGGTGATAATTTGCGGTGATAATTTGAACCAGCTGAAAAAATCGAACTTAGAAAAAAATATATTCAAAAATCATAATTTCATTGATGAAACTCGCTAGCTCGCTCGATAGCTTGCTCGTTAGTGGAACTGATCGCTCGTTTGTTATAGATACGCTCGTTTCAACACTAAAAAAGACACTATAGTAACGTATGGATACACTTCGTCTGTATATGGGCCGTTTGTATTGTTACCTCCCAGCGGGCTTTCAAAAGAGGAGATAACGTTAGTGACATCGTCACATACCCCGACGACTGTTGTCTGCAGTTTTATTTGTTCACGTATATTAAAATCCTGCTAAAAGCACTTCTTTCCATCCTGCCGCCATTCGTTGTGACACCTTTCAAAAAGTGAACCCCCACCGCTGAGCATTGACAAATACGTCAGTTTTATTGTGGTGTTGGGGTGGAGAGTTGCTGGCAAGCAACTGGCCGCCAGAGAGTAATAATAATAATAATAATAATAACCCAGATACGCGTACAACATGCACAGCCATGCTATACACGCTTCCGCTGCTGTTCTCTAGCTCTGTCCAATATTATATGTATGTCAATATCCGGCCAGAGAGTAAGTACTCTGAAAAAAGGTTTTATCTTCTATGTTGTTTTGCATGGCCTGTTTGCTTGCTTGCTTGCTCTCTCTCTCTCTCTCTCTCTCTCTCTCTCTCTCTTCTCTCTCTCTCTCTCTCTCTCTCTCTCTCTCTCTCTCTCTCTCTCTCTCTCTCTCTTCTCTCTCTCTCTCTCTCTCTCTCTCTCTCTCTCTCTCTCTCTCTCTGTCTCTCTCTCTGTCTCTCTCTCTCTGTCTCTCTCTCTGTCTCTCTCTCTCTCTCTCTCTCTCTCTCTCTCTCTCTCTCTCTCTCTCTCTCTCTCTCTCTCTCTCTCTCTCTCTCTCTCTCTCTCTCTCTCTCTCTCTCTCTCTCTCTCTCTCTCTCTCTCTCTCTCTCTCTCTCTCTCTCTCTCTCTCTCTCTCTCTCTCTCTCTCTCTCTCTCTCTCTCTCTCTCTCTCTCTCTCTCTCTCTCTCTCTCTCTCTCTCTCCTCTCTCTCCTCTCTCTCTTGCTCACACACACATGCACACGTGCACACACACAGCCTGGACTACCGCGTGAAGGAGTGGGACCCGGCGTTCCGTGCGTACCTGAAGATCTGCACAGCAAGAAGCCGGTGGTGATGTGCGGTGACCTGAATGTCAGCCACCTCGACATTGGTACAGTAAACACTATAAAGTCATAGGAGTGCAGTAACCACTATGACGTCATAGAGTGCAGTAACCACTATGACGTCATAGTAGTACAGTAAAACCTGCCAAGGCGACCACCTGTCCTAGAGGATCACTACAACTAGTACCAGTGGGTGTAATTTCCAGTCAATGACCCTGGGTAAGGTGACCACCTGTACGTGGGGACCACATTTGAAGGTCCCTTGAGCTTAGACAGGTTTCACTGCGCACATTATGAAGTCATCAGACAACAATTGTGCGGCCTGATGTTTACATACTGTAACATAGCATGAAGCTCTGAGTAGGAGTACTTGAAGTGCATATTCCTTAAGCCGAATGGCCGTGTACATGTACCGTAAAGTACCGCCAGAGCGCCCCGTCTCGCGAGAGCGCCCCACCTTGATTTTACAGCCAGAGAAAGGAAAATCGTATGGCAGAGTGCAACGAAGTGTGTACGATGTGAGAATCTTAGTGTACTAAGGTCACACTTGGCAGGTTTTGTGTGGAGCTTGTGTCCTCTTGAAGGTACGGATTGACTGCAAAACGTGCAATATGTGTACAAGGGTTCATGTCGTATGACCTACAGACAGCAGACCACCTCCACAATACGACCAGGAAAGGATGAGATGGTGGGGCGCTCTGGCGGTACTTTACGGTACATGTATGTCACGCAATAGGTCACATTGTTCATTCTGCTGTCTAAGACTAAAGGTGTCAAATGTTTCCGAAGTATTTGTCATTGCAGGGCGGGTGTGACTCCATGTTTTCTGTGGCGTGGTGGTTGTGGTGGCGGCGGTGGTGGATGATCCACGTCCCACAAACTATTTACAGCACTGTTTAATACTCAGTAGCCAGTTGTGTTTCTTTTTGTGTACTTGCCCCTCTGAATGAAGTCTGTGTTCCCCTTTCTGTGTGCTTGTTCGTGTGGATGAAGACTTGGCCAATCCGAAAGGGAACAAGAAGAATGCCGGCTTCACGCCCGAGGAGCGAGATGGCTTCAGCACTCTGATTAGTGAGGACTTCTTCGACACCTATCGTCACCTGTACCCGGATACGACCGCTGCCTACACTTTCTGGTCGGCCATGGGCAATGCACGTGCCAAAAATGTTGGCTGGTATGTCCTCTGCATCCTTGTGTATATGGGGGCAGGGCATAAGTACCTTCAGGGCTCACAGTTGCGTAGAAAAGCGTCGATTAGATGGGGGCGGTGCACGTGCTCCAAAATGCCAGCTTGGCCAATCAGCAGTCAGCATTTCGTCGCATTTTTGCTCGAAGTAGGGGGTGTTTGAAGGAGTTAGCAGCACTTCAGCCAGGTTCTACGAAGCTGGGACTTGGCCCAGGCACAGATGACAGGTGTTCCAAAAGATTTACCGAAACAAATTTTCATTACTCACACGGGTATGCCAGAGCATATGCGTAAACTTCGTGAGATATAGTACAGCATTCGAAAGGAGTATCCAAAAACGTCTCGGTAAATTTCTTTGCCAGGGTCTCCTGAAAATTTTGAGCCATAGATTGTCCAAATCGACCAAGGGGGAGATGCTCTGTACTAATTTTAGTAACCCCGAGTCCCAGCGGCGCGCAACCGCTTGCGCGAAAATGTGTGAAGATCAAACAACAAGAAAAACGCATGCATGCAGCAGAACAGCAACGCGTGCCGTCGAAGAGAAAATCATTGTGCACAGATTGTTCAGTGTTCTCTCCTCAGTTCGCCCGCGGCGTTGGTTGCTGTGCTTTCATTCTCGCTGGAGTTCTTGTGGCAGCGCATTTCGCCATCATGGAGGAACTGGCACCCTGGGAAACCTGGTCTCCATCCGATCACCAGCTCCGTGTGGTATCATCATGTTCTCGGCGTTACCTGCCTGGCGAGCTCTGACTCGTTTGTTTGTCTTCTTACCTGTGGAATCATCACGATCGCTCATTGTAGGATCAGCTCTTGGTCGAACATGGCATGTTGTTTTTACTGGGACTAGCACAGGTTGCGTTTCGCCTTCTCCTCCTAAATATCGCGAACATCGGCTCTAAAACTACGAGAACAGTACAAGTACAACTCTGGTTCTTTCTCTTTTCTGTTCTGTTTCGGATGCGTGGGATGTACACGATCGGTACTCTCCCGGGGTCACGCGACTCACGTGCACCAAACCCGCCCTCGCACGACGCTTTTGTCGATCCTGCATGCCTACTGTGAGCCCTGACCTTGCATGGGAGAGGGGACACTGTTATCTGTGTATGGGGTGGGGGGGGGGGGGGGGGGGGGCACGGGCGTCTGTATTTCGGTGGTTTTTTCACAGCAGGGTGACATTTCCTTTGAAACTGACAGGACTGGCCCTTGCAGTCTGGGACCCCTGCTGGCATCGAGAGAAAAGTCGCACCAGCATGCTGCTGTTGTTGCAGGTGCTGCTACTGTTGATTAATTTTGTTTTTAACTCGGATCTCGGATTTTTAATTTTGTTTTCAAATGTTTCGAAGTTGAACTCGGATGGTGAGCCAATTTAATTATGATAAAAAAAAGAGAAGGACAAAATGTTACGAGTTATGACTAACTGTCCACCAACGTGACCAGATCTTATACCGTCAGCGAATGCGACAAAATGGCTCAGTACTCCTTGCCAGTGTTGTGCTATTTTATCGCACTCGCTGACTGTATAAGATCTGGTTACGTTGGTGGACAGTTTGTCATAACTCGTAACATTTTGTCCTTCTCTTTTTTTTATCAAATGTTTCAATTCTTTATTCTTTATACGATGCTTCAAGGCTGCTAGGAGATTGTTGTTGGTGTTGACTTCTTGTTATCTTTGTACATTTTTTAAATATTATTTCATTTTTATTATCAATAACACTAAGGGTGCGTTTGGTTGGTACGATCTAGAACAGGATCGAACAGCTGGTGCACATGGAGCAGCCTCATGCCAACCAAACGCTACTCCAGAAACAGAGCACATTTTTGTGGAAAAATGTGCCAAACTTGGTGCATTCTTCAAAATGTGTATGGGTCACCATGGTCACTTTGTACGGTACGACGAGTCCAACCCAAAAGCGTATGCACGTGATCATTTGGGACCAAAATCGATGTTCCCGCCAGGTTTCACTGTGAAAAAGTGAAACTGCTCGGTCTGCTCCGGCCTCGAGGCCGGAGCAAGCAGAACATGTTCTGGCCGACCCAGAACAGGTGCAGTCCCAACCAAACGCGCTGTTCTGGTGAATCCTGTTCTAGTTCGTACCAACCAAACGCGCCCTAAGAACAACAGCAGTGAAATTTACAAGTGTGAATTTTAACAATGAAAGCGAGAGCAATAACGAATGTGTGTACTAACACTAAACTTGCAACTGAAAAGTGAACAAAGAAGAGAAAGAAAGAAAATATTATTTTAAAAATGCACTTCTGTTCGTTCTTTTGCATGCAGGAGACTGGATTACTTTGTGCTGTCCGAAGCCCTAAAGGAGCGCCTATGCGACTCAGTTATTCGCCCTGCCGTGCTTGGCAGTGACCACTGTCCTGTAACGCTCTTCCTCTCAGAAAAGTCATGATTATCATGATTTCCTCAGCCGCAAACGTATCCCCTGCTTTGGAACAACCGGCCTTAGCATGCCTCCAATGTATGTGTACAATTTGTACAATGTACTAGGTGCACCATCAACTGTGTGATATAATGTACTAGGTGCACCATCAACTGTGTGATATCGGATAGCAGGGTGTAGCCTGACCGTGGTGCATCTGCTGATGGAGAACATGGTGCCACGTCGCAGTGGTTAAAGTCCACGTACGTACGTCAAATGATTGCAATTCGTTGCTGTTCTCAGCCTAGCCAAGTGATGAATATTTTTTAGTTTTTGTAAAGTGCAGGAAAGCGTGTTGCAGATGTTCGGATGGCGAAAAACATCCAAAAGCAAGTTAGTTCCAGTCAACTGTTACTTTGACGCCAGTGGTGTATTGCAACGTGTACATTAAGGTTGCAAATTGTCATTGCCAATCCACATTCAGTGATCTTGCTGCGCTTGTTCTGCTCATCGGGTGGTATGATAAATTTATAATACCATCAGTTAGTTACCGTCATAATTATGTAGTTCCACTGTTTATTTTTTATTTTATAAAATGTTTTTTTGTGAAAGTTTGTTGCTTGCAGCATTCTAGGTGGCACTTCTATTATTGGTCTACAGTGCATTTCAAAACTATAGACGCGTAGGGTTTTTTAAATATTTCAAATCTGGCTGGAACTTTTTGAGAATAGTTTTCGGAATATTGCTCAGGATCGCTCCACACTCTCATATAGTTTCTAAAGGATTGGATAACAGACGCCCAATTTGGAAAAATTTATGCACAAAGTGATCACAGATTTTATGTGGTATAGATGCTGGCATAACGGTTTCTGCCTAGGTACGCGTCTAGTTTTGAAATGGACTGTAGCACTGACCATTATGTACTTTATTATTATTCATGTGTACATCCGTCCGTGAGTCATGTTTTTACTGAAGAGTGAATAGCTGTTACCTGAAGTTGTGCTTGGGGAGATGTAAAATACGACTCCAAGGTTTTGTTCAAAATGCAATTAATTAAAATCCATACATATACACGCCACCAGCATGCACACCAGCCTCCAGTCCACCCTGCAGCCAATCGGACATGCACACTAGTTCTGTTGGAGGTGCGAAAAGGAGAAACAATGCATGTGAAACACGAGGAACATATCTTCTACAAGTGGTGGGTTGGCAGCGTGATTAGTAATGGATGGGAATAATCATTTCACGGGGTACGGCAGCCTATGTCAGCGGTGCACCAGTACAGATTGTCAAGTTCTCCATGATACCCATGGCACCTACTACTAGTAACACTACCACAGTCAGTACTATTATTCTAGGTTCTAGAATACATGTAGTGCATAGACAGGGTGCATACACACGCAGCAGCAGCACACACACAAAACAAGTTCGAAAGACAATAGAGACGCACAAACAGGGCATGAGGCATGAACACAGCAGCACGCCGCAGCTTCCCTAAATGCTTTGTGCGACAAACGCAGGATAAGTCAAGTCAAGAAAGTTCAAACGCAGCTCACGTCAAAAAGGGTACAATCACTGATAAGGATGTTTCGTCTCCCGTCCATCGCACAACACGGTAAGCGAATGCATAGCCATGCAACATGCCTAGAGTATTAGAACGGCTACTACAGTTCACAGTTCTAGGAAGGCAGCAGAACCGGCCGTCGGTTGTAGACCGGAACGCTCACTTGCGGCTTTGCTTGGCCTCGAATGCAGCAAGATCTGCGGCCGCACGCACACGGTCCTTCTCAGCCTGCTGAGTGTAGGGTGCCTTTGCGCTCGCGCTCATGTCTTGCCACTGGGAACCAAGACTCTTCACAATCTGTGTTACAGCCATACCTGGATTCTGGGCACGGAGCTTAGGTATTTGCTCTTGAGTAAAATATATGTATGAAGATCTGTGACAAAGAAATGCACATAGCAACAATGCAATCACACTTTCTTGTATAGCACGCAGTGAGCATTAAACAGTCACTGTTACACCATGCAGCTAGCCAGGGCGAGTGGTTGCGTAACCATGACGACCCGGACCTTACACCGAGCCCGTTCATACCTGAAGTAGTAGTGTACAGGCAATCTACCCTTGAAACGATAAACCCTATGACGATACTGGTTCTTTACTCCACATGATGTCATCCCATAGCATGTAGTTGCCAATCAAAGGGGGAGGAGGTGAAAGCCAACCACGTAATCATACTTGAAGTACAGTGTAGTACCCTTGTAACATCTTTCTGCAAAACCCCAATCGCTCCGTTGACTTAAGTATACCGCACCTTCCCTCTAGGGTACCTCAACTCAAACGGTGAGGTACCCTAAAATGTGCAAGTGGCTGTAATCGAGTCTGGGAGTACTTAAAAAGAGTTTATGCCTTGCCTCTAGAACAATATTGCTATAGCGATATTATCCCTATATCGGTACAAAATGGGCTGACAAATCGACATCTTTCTATTTTACAATATCTAGCAGAGAATTTGTAGAGCCCACGATCCAGGGAGGTCAAGTTTCGCTTGATACGTCGCTGGGACATGATGAAATGCAGTGGGGGCACCAGTGATGGATGCCTTGCAAATATACATAACGTCAAGAGTACATGAAACCCAGAGTGTGCAGCTCGGAGAGGTTGCTGTCAAAGCGAAATTCCGGGATTACTTCATTTTAGATATGCAATGCGAACAAGCAGGATTCAAGCAGGTCTCTTTCTGCACAACTGCAGCTTAGTTGTGCGCACTACGTCACTTTCCGCCTCAGATTTGAAACAACTATGATGTAATCCCGGAATTTCGCCACGACACACACCCATGCAGAAAAGGTCACAAGCTGCGCACTCTGGGTTTCATGTACTCTTGAAAATGTGCATAGAACATACATGTACATCAGTTCTTGACACTATGGAGAATTGGAGATTGTAAAAATATAACAAAAATCATGCAAGAATGGACTTGGATGGAGAGCCAAGGATGAATTTAGAGAAAAGAAAAAGGACCAAGGAACTACAAGTTACACTATAATGTCCACTAACACCACCAGCTACTAAACAATCAGATCATGCGATAACATTTCCCCTCCTATGTTATCATAATAACTTAGAACCTTCCAAGTCGGAAGGCTGTTGGAGTGCGCATCCGAGATGTGCTAGAGCTGATAGCCAGTTAGTTGTAGAATGTCAGTACCGTCGGTCAGTGTCGTGCAATGTTATCACATGAGCTGATTGTTTAAAGTAGCTGGTGGTGTTGGTGGACATTATAGCATACTTGGCCCTTTTTCTTTTCTCTAAAAATCAGGCAACGGCACATACAGGTGTCTGTATGGAATGAACCAGTTACAATTATGATGACATGTCGTGGTCTGAAACAATTTTTAACCTTTTGAGCCCGGGCCCATTGAAAACCTCTGCCACGCAGAAAAAAAATTAAATTCACTCTATGTGAGCAAACTTGATTTCAAACGATTCTTTCATGTATCCTGAGCACAGAACTTTTTTTGTTTTGGAAATACAACAAAAATTACAAAAGTTATGACTGTTTTCAGAAAGGCAGTTATACGCGAATTTGATATTTTGAAATGTATGCACGCGCATGTAACTCCAGTTCAAACTTACGGAGCGACTCGCATTTTTTTACTGTACTCGTAAATCCTAGGAGTACTCTGTGCAGCGGCACAGCTCGACGCCAAGCCACGGAAGAAGTGCGGAATCGATGTAGTTCCGTACTGACTCGTGACGTTCCAGAACGTCACACGTGTCACAGTGGCAGTGGTCATGACGTGTCAGAACGTCTAAGTGCTCAAAAGGTTAATATCGCATAAAGATAGGTCAACTGTACCTGCAACCTGTGAGAAGTTGCCAATTGAACTATTTGAGAGGTTCTGCTATACATAAGGCATAGAGAAATCACGTAGAGAGCAGGTGTTTGGGTTAGAGTCTACGGCTTCGCGTATTTCAGGTCCAGATTTCTACGCATAGATGAGGTTCTCTACGTTGTGGCACCCGCAAAGAAAATGCGTACAGATCTGCTGGGCATCATTCAAATGCAGGCAGTAAACTGCCAAATATGGATGTGGAAATTCCCAGTACACATTCCACATGATTTCTCTATGTGAGCGCAGAGCAGAACAGGTTTTCTTTACGCTACGAGATCGCGAAGAGAGTTCCCGGGATTCTCCGCGCCGCGTTCCCGTACCGCAGAGCAGGACATCACTAGTATGCAGTGTGTGGCACAGTGCATCAACAAATGCGGTGCCCCTGGTAGAGGAGGGTGTTTCAAATAGGAGATATGTCGCAAACCGGAACGGGCTAAATATTCGCTTTCTCTCTTGGTATTTTGATTAGAATACATAATTATGTCACAGTGAGACTACGATGTGTTTTACCCCGAGCCAAAAGTTCATGGCTCTGCGATGACCAGAAGCACCATACCAAGCAGGTGAGTTTTTGACGTGTTGCTTCGCACTGCGACTTAAGTTTTTACGTCTTTTATTTCGAAAAATCAACTTCTTGTCGCAGGTAAACAGCGGCTCGCCTCTCTCATATAAAGCACCCTATACCAATGAAAACTAATGAAAGCACACACAATGCTTATTGTTTCTCTGTACTGGCCGTCGTGGAGCGATAGCAATTACCTAATTTCAGAAATCAGGGTGAACTTGACGTGGACTCCATTGCACGTTCCTGTTTGGAGCAACCTCTGTGACACCAACATTTTAAACAAAAAATCGGGCAACTTGGAGGCAACGAACCAACGCAAAGGAGTCTCTTCGATCGACTCTGGCATTAGAGCAAACTTCAAGATGCCAGCTACCGCCCACAAACATATTTCGAGTGAACAATCCACACTGATGATCGGTTTGGGTCTACACAATTTTGCTGTCAAACCGTTCCTATTTGAAACATCCTCCTCAACTACTAGGTTCCCACACAGTTTGCGCATTGCGCCAGCAACCAAGGCATTCACGATTGGTTTCAGCTCTCACAGCTGCATGGGCCAGCAATAGCATTATGATGTCACCATCCATGATGCACTGTTACTGTTGCACTGAGGACCCATTGCCATACTTGGTACCCACCTCGCAAGCAATGCACACACATGTAAAATAGTATGTAATTATGTCATCAATGTGATAATACCTTACACTACACGTACTGTTGTGGACTGATTGAAATCCGGTGGAATGACTGGGGCCGGCGCCCTTAGCGCGTACACGCACTATAGTTCCCGCACACACTGCGAAAATGTACCAGCAGTGCTCGCGGCTGCAAGGCCAGCGCCCCGTGGCCGCTTGACTCTCTCGGATTTCAATATCCACAACAGTACAAGCAGTGCAAGTACGGCATTATGTGTAAGCCTGGCTTGATCGTTAGCAGGCATGATGATGATAGCATTATTATGGAATCTCCCCCTCCCCCCCCCCCCCCCCCCTAGGCAGAGGGTCTGAACCAGGGCTGGACCCCACACGGTTGGTTCATAAAAAATTATGGTCGCAAGAGGGCTCTGCCAACCGGTCTCTGGTTGCTGTCAGGAACACTACTTTCAAAGCAGTGTGGCCTCCACCTTGCGAAAAGTATGCTGCTGCCATCATCATACCTACATTGTACAGTGTATTAACACGCCGCATATTATGTACCTTGCTCTCACGGGCTGCGCATTCTCCGCTCGAAATTTGGCAATTTCCACCAGCCACTTCTTTCGGGCCTCTTCATGAGCTCTCTGGTAGGGACCTTTCTCCGCTTCCGAGGTCTGTCGCCACTGTTTAGCCAGCGATGCGAGATAGTCCGTTGGGCTGGCGGCGGCTGGTTTGTTGTAACGATCCTTGACAAACAACGCCATAGCACCAGGCGCTCTCTTCGGTGGGGTTGGACCTTTCTCTGGCTTCGGCTTCGCCGCAGGCTTCTTTGCTGCTGCAGCCTTCTTGGTGGTAGCCGCAGCCATTGATCTTACCACCATGGGCAGCGGGCCCGTGGTAGTTGAGCGGATAGACAACATGGTGATATGCAAGCACTTCTTTCACTCCACCAGATGAATTTCAGGACACTCAGAAAAACCGTTCTCTCTGTTTCTGGCTGGAAACTAAACCAGTACGAGTTACTTGTACTGTACTGTAGTCTCGTGCGCGGGCAACGACAGTTTCATGCTCATGTAGCTAGCTGCACGTGCACAATTTCCCGCCAAATACTCCGGACCATTACTCATTAGTGTGGCATTACCATTGTCATTGATTACCATACACCGGTACCGCGGTCAGTATTTTACGACTCCCTGGTTGAGATGCTTTGAAAGAGGCCCAAGCCTAATACAATGTCATGTACATTTACTAGCGATATTTATCACTATGAGTATGACCGATACTGCATGCAATGTATGCGAGTGGGGTGTCAAACGATCAGGGGCCAGTCAGGGCACCGACCGACGGTCCGTGCACATACGCATTGCATTAGTCCATCGGCCAAATCTCAGAAAGGGCCTCTTTCGGCGAAGGTGATGCACTGAAGCTCCAACTAAACGCCCTTTGGCACACTAGCTCATGAGACCCCATAGAATACGAATCCGTTTGTTGGACGTTGCCAATCCAGTCCAGGATAGTCGAACTGGGTCGAATACCTTCTTCCGATTTTCGTAATTTCGTCCACCATTACATCTTTCTCATCGACTTTTTTTCGCTTGGCGAATGTTCTTGAGCCGCTGAGCAGAATCTACGCGCGCTCGAACACTTGAAATGCCTGCATGTTGACGGTTAGCAAGATTCTAGCGAGCTTGGTGGAAATCTATTATTTATTTTGACATTTTTGGGGGAATCTGAATTAGAACGGTGGAAGCTCATTCGGAGAAGACGGCGTGTCGCCGCTGTCGGATTGTCGCTACTGTGTTTCAGACGTATTTGCTTGAACGTGCTATTGAGGATGGACAGAAGATGAAGAGACGGCTTTCTTGAACACGGACGTTTTGCCTACATTGTAGCTGAAACATCTCATCTGGCGTCTAGAACGCAATTATTATGAGTTGTGAGTGCCAGCTGAGCTGAACACAAGCTGGACACCATTCGTCAGCTGGGAATTTGCATCGAAGCTCTTGATAGCCACGATAAGCATAATTATACAGAGGTAACCCTGTTTGACTCAATACGCATGCAGGTGATACCACTAGTGGCACTACAATGTAAATGGTGCAAAATTGATGCAACAGCGAATATGTACTTCGTACAATCACGAACAATTGTAAGGCAAGTGTTCATGCCTGTCATAGAAGAATTTCAGCCCGGAAGTCTTGTTGTCATGGCCATAAATAATACAGGACTTGAGTTGGCTCTGGACATAAACACACTTGTGGTGAATACGGTCATTATTGCGAGAAAAATATTTAACCATTGTATGTTAACACCTGATGCCGCACTACACGCAATATTTCATGTACATGTATGTGAGACTCGATTGCATCCACAGGGCCGTAGATGCATGTAAGCACACAATGCTGTACAGTATACGTAGTAGTCGACATGTGGTGCCTTCCTGCTGCACATGCACATGCGGCAAGTTGGCAACGGCACATGACCTATCTGCACCGCACAGAAAGGAATATTGCACACATGTACCTGGTCACTCGATAGGCGATGCCGACTGTACTAATCTTATCCATATTACCCGATAGGCTATAGCACACTGCGTAAGATCACTATGCAAAAAAACAAGTGCTTTGGAGCGAATATACACTAAAGCAAAGTAGGTTTCAATGGTACAGCACTAGTCACGATGAGGGGAGTTACGAGGATGGTTAGGCGGTGACACATAGATGATGATTGTTAATGATTCATGCACGGTGGAAAATTACCACCAATGGCGATGATATTGCTTTCACAACAATGACATCAGTAGGAGCAGTGACACAACCTTACTGCTCCAAGTAGGATTTACAAGCGAGTGAAGGGAGAGCAGACTGGTCTAATAGCAGACCGGGTCTAAGCAAGGAAGTAATCGGCATCAGAGGTGAGCTTGCACATCAGAAAACAGATGATGATCACCAAACACAGAGAAGTTGGCTATGTGTATGTTTGTGTCACTGTGTGTGCATGTGTGTGTGTGCGTGCATGTGTGTTTGTGTGTATGCGCGCACATCTGTGTGTGAGAGAGAGGCAGACAGACAGATAGCATATGGTGGGAGGGATCAAGGTCTGACCTCAGAGTTAAATGCTGAAGGTGTGGAATAGCAACAGTGCGAAACACTGGAGCCGAGTAGGAGCGCCAGTGGTTGAGGGCTAGCACAGGAGTAGCAGCAGCTCCAGCCTAGGAAGATCAGCTTCTGGATGAAAATCTCCCGGACACAGTAGGTGCCAAGCTTCACTAGCAGATTGCCGGCAGGGGTGCACGGCGAGCACCCGTACATCCCTCAAGCCACCAGAGCCGCAGTACTTGGACACGATCCAGGTGCTTAACCGCCAACAATGCTGAGAAGGCACTGGAGCCATACAGGAACTTATGATCGAGCATGACCACAGACTTGAAATACAGGGTCCGGCGTTGAATACTGAGACAGCGACGTCTCCTCCACAGAACACCACTCAGCCCCACCATTGCATTATTTTCGCTTTTTCATGATTTTTACAATTGTGTTAGAGCACACAGCACTCGATGCAACATTTACCAGTGACTAAATAACTCCGCGTCTCCGACCATAACTGCAGCGTTCCCGTGAGCCTGTTGCCGTGTTGGATTTCCGTCAGCCTGTTGAGATTATCTTCATCTCGTCACATGTGAGCCTGTGTGTTTCATCCGTATCGTGGCACAATTACACAGACACGATTTCCAACTCAGGCCGGTTCCGTTGCTCGAAGGGTTGGCGGTAAGAATTGCTACGCCGTCTGTGGCTGCATGGGAACTTGGCGAGTCGTCGTCTTTCTCCATAAATCCTGATCGTCACGCGAACAGCAGCCACTATTGCCTAAAAACTACGACACAACAGTATCAAGCTCGCCCCAGCAGAAGGACACGAATGACGAGCGCTAAGACGGAGAAAGAGAGACAGGGTTAGCGAGAGCTGACTAGTACAGGTGCGCTGTCATCTCCTGAGGTGGTGGGCGAAGCAGTGAAGTGAAACGAAGGAAGATAGAAGGCATACGGAGGCACCAAAACCTATTGCCTGTCACATACTAAGTGCCATTTAGGGTTGACAGCTGTCAGCTGACAGCCTCAAAAATTTGAAAATCTGCTCAAAAAACTCTCGATCAGAACTCTGCGCACTCTCAAATGGAGCGCACAGTAAAAAACTCGGCGACGAAGAACGCTTCGTATCGACGCCCTGGACTGAATTCGGCACGTCCAACAAACGGAATAGTGTTCTCTGATATATTCTCTACGTGCTGGGTATGGTCGCGTTTAGTTGGAAGCTCAGTGCATCACCACTTTCGATTTTGAGACTTGGCCGATGGACTACATAGCTGGCTACAGCTCATGTCACACAACATCAGCATTTCCTCACGATGGAGGCATATTATTTTGGCAACTAATCGAAGAGAAAACTCCAAGGAATCCAATGCAGCAAGCGCGATCGTGGCACGATGCTGCGTTCCCGAGCTAGATGCGAAGCCTGCAAGATACGTCACGGCACTTTGCATTTCTACACGCGAGTCAAACGCTCCAGACCAGGGATTTCCCCCTTTTCAAGCGATCTACGATCTCGGCAACAGGCTCAGACGTCTTGGAAGCGCTCCCTGCATCTTCACGAAAAAAATTGGGCGTCCTGGGATAATCATGATAATGGAGATGGAAATGGCGAGCGATTTTCGTGTGACGGCGCAAGTCTAGCGCTGAAGCGATGTCTGTAGCTTGTTGCGCTGGAGCTGTGCTTTATTTGCTATCGGATTTGGGCCCAACGGGTTGCTTGTAGCCAGAGCTTTCCAGAAAGCCCAAGTTTGTGGAAATCGGTCAAAGGAAACAGAAAATATTATCCAAAGTAGGTGAAACAATTGTTGGTATTGCACCCTAAATTGAGGTGCAATTTGTAATGGTCTCCTACTGTCGAGGCTATAACTTTACTTTCCCTGGTCCAAATCAACTCTAGTTTTCTGCATACGATTCCTGGTGCTCCTGGCAATCAGATAGCACCACAAACAAAAAATATGACTTTTTTGTGATAAGGTCTGTTTTCTCATCTGACGGCTCGTCACTACTATCAAATGCGCCACTGAAATCTAAAAGCGCCGCTGAGTAACTCCAGGCTCCTAGCAAGGCCCTCTCGCACATCATTCTTGTGAAGAATACTCCGTCCGCAGTCGACCGCCCAGGGCGGAAGCCAGCCTGGCTTTCAGGCACAAAGGAGTCCACGAATGTAGTGCAGTGCTGTGTGAGAATACGGGTCAGGACCTTTCTGACCACCGACAGAAGCATAACTGGTCGGTAACTTTTGGGGAAGCCGGCTGGCTTATTCGGCTTATATATGGGCACGATCAAACCGCGTCTGAGGTCCTCTGGACAATACTTTGCCAGTTGAACAGCGTTGAAGAATGTTGTTAACCAAGTGGTGATTGAATCTTTACTGTATTATGATTCAGTCCATATTGTGAGAGCCGTGGGCCAATGGCCCCGGTGAGAAGGCAGTCTTGCCTATTCATATGGTGAAGTAAAATGAAGAAACAACAACAACAGTCAGCCACAATCATGGTTGGGATGCTCTGGTGGAATGTGGACTCACGGCACAGCTGCACTTGCACTAGTAGTATTATAATACTACTAGTGCAAGTGCCGCTGTGCCGTGAGTTATCACACGCTTTTAGTTTGACAATAGTGACTATTATACAAGTAGTACACATATTATTGTATAGCGACTCACGCTAGCTGCACAGATTTTTTTACTTTTTGGCCAGTCGGCTACTATCATTTCATCTTGGGGCTGGGGTTAGACAAGGGGAAGTAGCCATGTAGGGCTGGAGTGAGCCAGCCTTTTGGCACCGGGAGTAGCACAGATTATAATAATTATCGCCCATGGCATATTAAAGGGCCTAGGGGCCATCCGTAATTATCGATCTTTTTCAAGAAGAGAAAAAGTTTCGTTCATGGGTGGGTGGGTTGAGGAGTCTCGTTATGAAAAGTATTGATACCTGAAACATCAGTCAATTATAATTCTAGCTGTCAAGTCAATGTATTTTTCGTCCGTGGGTGGGGGAGGATCATAACTAAACTTTTTTTTTCGTTTCGTGAAAATTATCGATAATTCCGGGTGGCCCCTAGCCCTAAAGGCTAAAACAGGGAGTAGTACAATACAATAATGGTATTGTACTACTGCGTGGTGGGGCCGTTATTACACTACGGCACACGTTTCACGTCACGTTTGCTCTCACGGCAGAGCTCGCGGAAACGCCGACCTGCCCTCGAAAGCCCAAGTCTGGATTTGCTCACGGCACGGCTCGCGTTTGGATCGCGTGACCTGAAACCGTCAGAATTAGATCAAACGTGAGCTCTGTGGGTATATAAACCAGTATCCAGAGTTACTCATTGCTGTTTTCTGATGATCGCTTAGTGCGTGAAACTCAGAGTAAAAACACTTTTTCATCCTCTTATTATGGTTAGTACATGCCTATGTATTGGACCTGCAAATATACCACTCAAGAACTGAACATTAACGCATCCAATCAGCAAAACAGGCAAAGTTGCCTTCTAGACAGTAGCACGACGGCATCATATTCATAGACAAACAACATATCATGCAACAGTACCCGAATGATAGCGTGCATCTATCACTGCTCACCCTGCTCACCCTGCATATCGGTGCACAAGAAAGCAGTGGAAACACACAAAAAAAGGACCAATACAAACATGCAGGCACGTGTGTGCACATGCATACACTAACACACAGAAGTGCGCGTGCGCTCGCGGCCTGTGCCACAAAGGGCGAATTGTCATACTTCTTTGTTTGGGAAAATGACACACCAATGATGTGAAGTGTGACAAGACATCACAGACCAAGTAACACGAGAGAGGGGAGAGAGAGAGAGAGAGAGAGAGAGAGAGAGAGAGAGAGAGAGAGAGAGAGAGAGAGAGAGAGAGAGAGAGAGAGAGAGAGAGAGAGAGAGAGAGAGAGAGAGAGAGAGCAGACACAGACACACAGAGAAAGTTGAGCTAGCATTGCTGGAGCTCAAATGTTACAAAAATAGGAGTACAGACAAATCATATGCACAAAGAACAGGTATGGGTATGCTGCTTGCTGCACACACACACTGAACGAAGGAGCACAGCAAGGCTAGAGCTGAAGCAGCAGAAGACGATAGCAGGACACTGTAGCAGGTAAAGCCACTGCAACGACAGCAGTAGAGTGGTTGGCCCAGCTCAGCCTCAGCGTCTAGGAGTGAGAGCATTACGCTAGCTACAAGAACTTAAAAACACATACACTATGGACAAGACAAGACAAAGGAGAAGCCGGGTACTAGCGGCGAAGAATTGACATCATTCCATGGACTAGGCTAGGTATATGTACCAGTTTCAGTAGGGATGGGGATATAAAAAAAATATATATAATGTTCACACTAAAAAGTCAATATAGTGCTGATATAAGGTATTTTTCTGGCAAACAAATACGTCTTCAGCAATCAGAGCATGTTTCAGTCCCAAGCGAGTGAAATCATCTCACACAGCAGACGAGTCGGTGGCATGACGCGTACGCTGAGCAGCCCAGAACGTGCCCAGTGCATCTGTTGAGCAGGCCTCGCAAAGACTGGCCCGATGCAGCAGGGGTCGGGCTGGTATCAGCTGCGCCACATGGCTATGGTGCGGTCTTCACCGCCCGTAATGACAACGTTGCCATCGGGGGAAGCAACAATGCTAGTGACGGCGCCTGAAGGGTAGAGACAGTAATATGCACATACATAAACACACACACACATCACACGGGAATAGGGAAGATTTCACGAAGCATGGCCCATGCAATTTGTGCACAAAGGGCGACGGCGGTAGAGCGAGAGCGGGCATGCATGAAAGAGAAGGTTGTTTCGTGAGTGCGAGGGAGTGTGCATGTGTGCGAGTGAGTGTGCGTGTGCGTGCGTGTGTGCGCGCGCGCGCGCGCGTGTGTGTGTGTGTGTGTGTGTGTGTGTGTGTGTGTGTGTGTGTGTGTGTGTGTGTGTGTGTGTGTGTGTGTGTGTGTGTGTTGTTCGGAAGAACAGTTCCCCGGGCAAACAGTATGTAAGTCGTTAGATTGCTTGTAAGAAGGCAACAGCCTGTTAGGATTGCCCTGATTGAAGTATAACATTTACAACAACATGCACTAGCACTGTGTTTGGATGCAAACATACCTTTGTGGATGTTGAGTACTGCCAGTGGACTGCCTCGGATCAGATCCCAGACGAACAGGCCACCCGACTCACTTCCGGCCAGAATGATGTCACCGTTCCAAGCTGCACACCTGAGCAAAGGACGTACAACCACGATCGTTTGAGGATCACAGCCACATGAAACCTACATGTACGTAGTAGGGAGGTTTAGTCCCACGTAATCCGTGTGTACTTTACGTGTGTGCACCACGTGATACTCAGTGACCCACGGACAGCCGTTTTCTCGATGCACGACATACCGTGTATGGAGGCTCACCGACGTTCCGCCAGAACGTTGGTGAAAATCAGAATGGAGCGGATTGTGGAAAAAAAGCTGTGAGGATGCTCTGCTGAAGAAGTTTTCAAAACACGAAATCAAAATATTCAATGAGCTTCGAAGCTTCATTTTTCCTTTCGCTTTCATGCTTTTGTTTTTTGTCGCATGAACACTTTGCTTTTTCGAAGTCGTTCTTGTTGTTCTTGATTCCGTGCGAGGGCTCGCATGGAAAGGGAAAGGTGGTGATACTTGTCAAGTTGATAAAATAAGTTAGACGTGCTGGAAAATCAAAAAGCTCATTATACCCGCTGGCTCGTCTTGAAAGCCCTCCGAGGCGCAACACATTCAGTGCCGACCAATCCATAATCGACACAAACAGAAACCAAGCTCACTTCGAAGTGCTTTCGTTTCTTCCCGAACCCTTGTCCAAGGTGTTTGTGTCCCGAAATAACGTGTTTATTTTTCCTGCTTTCACAAGTTTCGAATCCGTGCGACTAAACACAACATTGCAAACGTGGGTTCATTGTGAGAACCTTACGTGTATCACCAAGAGTACTTGTACCCGTATCCGTTACGTGTAACTATACCTCCCTAATACTACAACAAGTAGCAGAAGAATTGCACTGTGACTGTGCTTGATGCACAGTGGCAGAGCATACTGGAAAACATCACAGAGCAGTATTCATTGGGACTTGGAACTTCACACTTGATGGAGAGAGAGAGAGAGGGAGAGAGAGAGAGAGAGAGAGAGAGAGAGAGAGAAGACACCCGAAAAGCGGAGAACTCGGGTCTTCTATGTGCTGATGGCAGGGGGTCGGACACGCTACGGCCACGACGGTATTGACCGTACCATTCTTCGCCCCAGGTACCCGTGAATCAATAGAACACACGGATGTTGACTCTAATTAAAAAAAATGTCAGCGGAGCTACCCCAACCCCACAAGTAAATCGTGCTTCAGACGGCTGATTGTACCACCCTAAAATACCCCCCCCCCCACGCCCCTGGCTTATGGGTAAAATACCCTCTGACGCCCCTGGCTTATGGGTAAAATACCCTCTGACGCCCCTGGCTTATGGGTAAAATACCCTCTGACGCCCCTGGCTTATGGGTATGTAGTTATTCAGCTACATGTATAATTTATGTAGGTACAAGGAAGGGGTGCTGGAAGCGATATACCCGATGAATGATTGAGGGATCGAGAACTCGAGAGTACCAAGATTGTCTTGGTCAAACATTTTGCAGATTTGTGAATTTGTCGCTGCGCGCACCTGATCTATAGCCGACATAGAACAGGATGTGAGTCATGAGCAATGGGCCAATGGCCTCCTTGCACACGTGTTATTTCATAGCTAGACATAGTGCTGGGATATAACAGGATGTGAGTCATGAGCAGTGGCCTCCTTGCACATGTGATTTATTCGAGCTAGACATAGTGCTGGGATATCAATGGATGCCGAGTAATCATGGCAATGCAAGAACACATGAAACTGACATCGACACACTAGAGTATGGCTTGTGCACCGGCCAAGGACCAACCGGTAGATTGTCACCTACTTGAGGTTTTCTTTCGTGTCCTTTGCGTAGATTTCGGTGGCCGTGTTCACATCGATAACTCTCATGTAGTTATCTGCGCTGCACGACAGAAGCCGTTGGCCGTCTGCGGACCGAGAAGACAAATTCAAAACGGGCAAAAATAACTAATCAGAGTCATGAGAGAGAGAGAGAGAGAGAGAGAGAGAGAGAGAGAGAGAGAGAGAGAGAGAGAGAGAGAGAGAGAGAGAGAGAGAGAGAGAGAGAGCGAGAGAAAGAGAGAGAGAGAAAAAAGAGAGAGAGAGAGAGAGAGAGAGAGAGAGAGAGAGAGAGAGCGAGAGAGAGAGGGAGAGAGGGAGAGAGCGAGAGAGGGAGAGAGCGAGAGAGAGAGAGAGAGAGAGAGAGAGAGAGAGAGAGAGAGAGAGAGAGAGAGAGAGAGAGAGAGAGAGAGAGAGAGAGAGAGAGAGAGAGAGAGAGAGAGAGAGAGAGAGTAGCAGCAGCACAGTGTGCTTCAGGAGTGCACAGGCCAGGGCTAACACAATCACAGTACAGGCCAGGGCTAACACAATCACAGTACAGGCCAAGGCTAACACAATCACAGACAGTACAGGCCAGGGCCATCAGCCTAACACAATCACAGTCTTGGGGCTTATCAGACTGACCGCCAGTACTTAGCTACCCATGTCCAGTGTCATGACCATTGCGCAAGGTATGAATGCATGCACATCACCTGTGAATAGTTTCCAAGGGACCTTGGGAGAAATTCCCAAATCCACAACTAGCCCTACAGCAAGAGGACGGCTATTGCTGGTACAAGCACCGGTAACACACCACGCCAAAGTTACCTGCAGTGACTATGCCAAGAGTACAGTAAACTACGTGTGAAGAGGACTACTCTGACTACTCTGATAAGGCAACCGCTTGTCTCCGAGGACTACTACAACCCGGACCATGAGTAGAGGACTGAAAGCTCTATTTTCTTGTCATTTGAAGCACCCACCCCTCCCCCCCCCCCTGCCCCCACCCCCATCCCCGGTCACCCACACACCCATGCACACATGTTGGGTAACTAACCTGGACTGAACTTGACGCAGTTGACAGTGTCCATGTGGACTAGAGAGCACAACGGAGATAGGGGAAAGCATTTTGACTTCAGAAATCACTTTCACCGTAGCATGGCTTTTTTACAGGACCACCATACCACCACCACATGTAGTGGAGGGCCAACAATTAGCATTCATTCGCTTCTGGAGAATCTAAAAAAACACTACAGGTTGAAACTGAAAAGGTGTACACTGGAAAAGGCTAACATTTCAGTGAAGTCCCCCACGGAATGAGCACAAGAGGGTGAAGCAGTGTGTGAAGAGCTGAGATACAAGCACACATTGTTACCGTCTGTACTCGGTTAGTGCCATCACAATGCCTGAAGAGTCACGGCATAGTAGAGCGGTCGTAATGCGGGTGTGCCAACTTAACCTTACTTTACTCTTTACCCTCTCTTGCAGTGATGCTGCTAGGAATGATAGGCGTAGTCTCTTGCAGTGATGCTGCTGGGAATGATAGGCTTACTCTCTTGCAGTGATGCTGCTAGGAATGATAGGCTTACTCTCTTGCAGTGATGCTGCTAGGAATGATAGGCTTACTCTCTTGCAGTGATGCTGCTAGGAATGATAGGCTTCGCATTACAACAACAACGGCAGCACACAAAAGTCACTCACGTGGAAGCTGATGTAGTAATGCGTTGTCGTTTTCCAGATCCCAGATGTTCATAGCTCCTGAGCAACACAATACAGAGTACACCACAGAATGCAGTGCAGGTAAAGTCTGGTTTAAGCGACCATTCAACATATGGAACCGGCCCTTTATATAATAGCGGTTCTTGAGCATTGCATTAGGCCTCTGAAACCAGAGTCACCACCGGACCATCGAGCCAATTATCGTTGACCAAGAATGCGATAGGCTACCCGGTATACCAGTACATTTTGAAGTAATGTCATCAATAAGTGCAATTCCCAAACAACATTACTTAGTGGAATGGTGCAGTGCAGTGCAGTGCAGTGCAGTGCTGGACAATGAACGTAGCCTAAGCTGGCTGTAGGGTAAGGGAGTCTGGAACCAGACAACTAATGGTTCTTACCGTCGGTCATGCCAGACACGACTAGTGTCGTCGAGGGGTTGATGTCAACACAGCTCACCTGCAGACACAACAACAACAACAACAACAACACCAACAACAACAACACCAACAACAACAACAACAACAACAACAACAACAACAACAACGATTTGAAACAACAACAACACTACCTCTTATTGGCCACAGGCTATCGTGAGCATAAAGGTTCGAAATAACATACAATGCAGGAACAGTTGCCCTTTCATGAAGGCAGTCCCAGAGGCTAGAAGACACTACAACGTGTGATAGTATTAGTAGGGAGTTCAGTTCCGGTCACTGAAAAGCGAAAAATGCAGTCACAGCTCGCCTGTACAAAATGAATGGGCGCCTGGTGGCTGCAGTTTGAGATGCAGTTCGAGGCCCCAGTATCTTCCCCCGCGGCCTCTTCGGCCTTGTCGATGCTATTTTTAGGTAGCTGAGGTCATTACCTTTCCAATGGTGCCACACATGCCATGCTTCCCAAAATAATGCCTCCGCGCTTGGCGCGGATGCACTTCGAAGTACTAATTTCGACCAGATCCGAACTCGGCCCCGCGAGGAACACCCGATCTTCGTGTTCAGCGGCCTCGAATTAGCCTAAACCAAGAGGATTCTAGAACATCTAGGCTCGCGCTTTATCGCGGTAGAAGGAAAATGATCACAGAAACCAGCCCACGGCGATTTCCTGGTGGTAGACGAAAAAAATCGAGCGAACTGCGCGCACGCTGTAGAAGCAGTGACGGTGAAAACGTGTGACTTGTGCAAGTAGGCGCGCACGGCATCCGTGCATACTGCATGCATGCACACATCCTGTATCGCCATGTACGCACCAGATAGTGCAGCGCTGGACGGAAACCACACGGCTCACATACATACTTGCATTTACTTCTGTGACTATTTTCTCTCCCGTTTTCCGATCTTCAATCGACTATAACTTTAGATTGCCTTGGAATTTTGGGTTCAAATTTTCACAGGTTGTTTCTCACATCTTCCCGGTTTAGAAAAACTAGCGTTTTACGTGAAATTCGCGAATTAGGTTTTTCGATTGAAGTCCCTAGTATTAGTAATTTTGTACTTGCACGGAAGTCAACGAAACAGAATCTCCAGAAGAAAGCCAGTTGTATCGGCCTTAGAGACCAAGCAATAACAGAGGTGCCGCTACTGCTGCAGCACTCTCCACAGTCTCACCTGAGTATCATGGTCCAGTTCCGCCTAGACACCGAACAAGACCAGCAGAAGAAACAAACCAGCAAAGCATTTGTTAGTATTGTTTTTTTCCAGAGTGTTAGCAGCGCCGGGGTCCAAGCCGCAGAACCCTGTAAATGGGATCACCGGGATCACCGACTGGAGGAACCTCACATCGAGTGATGCGTCATTGCTGCAAGAATGTACATGTATAATGGTTTCATAGCTGAAATGGCGCATGTTCTTGCGGATCGTGCGACTTGTTGTGGTGTGTGATGGGGATTCGCACGCACCCCTCACTCGTGTACTCTGTGTCCTGAACCTGAGTCCTGACCCATGGTACTTTAACGTAGATTCTATCGTACTCTCCAATATGGTGCATAGCCCACGGTGAGTCGCTGTGATCGGGTACGGTTCTGTGTCTTTGTGGGTCTATTACTCCCGTACCTTTGTGGGTCTCTTACCCCTGTACCTTTGAGGGTCTCTTGCCCCGCACCTTTGTGGGCCTGCTACCCCCGTACCTTTGTGGGTCTCTTACCCTGCACCTTTGAGGGTCTCTTACCCTGTGCCTTTGTGAGTCTCTTACCCTGTACCTTTGTGGGTCTCTTACCCCTGTACCTCTGTGGGTCTCTTACCCCCGCACCTTTGTGGGTCTCTTACCCCCGTGCCTTTGTGGGCCTCTTACCCTGTACCTCTGTGGGTCTCTTACCCCTGTACCTTTTTTTGTGAGTCTCTTACCCTGTACCTTTGTGGGTCTCTTACCCCTGTACCTCTGTGGGTCTCTTACCCCTGTACCTCTGTGGGTCTCTTACCCCTGTACCTCTGTGGGTCTCTTACCCCTGTACCTTTTTATGTGAGTCTCTTACCCCTGTACCTTTGTGGGTCTCTTACCCCTGTACCTTTGTCGTGGCTGTTTTTTTCGCGATTTTCGCTCACCTAAAATGGCGTCGCTGAAGGGGGAAAAATTCTCGATTTTCATGAATTGACTTGAGGAAATTGGATGCGTATCTCAATGGATTCGCCTAGAACATGCTCCATTCACTCCGGTTTTGACTGAAGTCTCGATTTTTGCCTTTGGTATCATCCCAGCTGCGCGTACATGCCTCACACGGTCCACTTCATTTCATTTTCCTTGCCGATCGAGGACATTTCCCACCCGCTCTCCTGCACGTTGTGTTCCATATTTCCTCAACAGTTCTGGCGTTCCTAGCTCTGTTCCCTGTTACTGACCAACTAGTTCAGTTGAATTTCTCGTTGGTACTTGTAGTATCTAAGAAGTACATGGAGAAAATCTTATGAGAATCCGTGCACGCAGTCCGAACACCGTGCGTCAAAACAAATTGTAATTTTTCTTTCTTCTCACTGTAGTCACTGTGCACACATGGACGAACACACGCAGTATCTGCAAGAGGTGTGCCGCTTAGGCGGCAGGAAATTCTCTTCCTGTAAGCAGCCAACCCGTTACAGTGTGCAGAAACACGCTGACACTCTCCTGTCTGCCCTAAATGTCAATGTGTCACAGGACAACCCAAACATACATCCTCCATATATATGCAGTCTGTGTGACAAAACACTGAAAAGAGCAAGTGGCACATCCAAATCCTGTGGTGGTGGTTGTGGTCCTGCCGTGAAATGGCAGCCCCACCACCGCACCCACTGTGATTTTTGTTTGAATCACACTGCCAAGACCAGGGGCAAGCATCAGAAGAAGAAAACAGATTTACGAGGTGCGGCAGCGCCAGACGCAGCAGACGCACACAGTGGGCACGCGTGCGCAACACACAAGAAAACAAGTGGAACAGATGACCTAGGAGCGTCATCTAGAAGTGGCTTGGATACATCCGTGGACAGTGTGCGAGCCATAGCCAGCGGCATGCACAAAGCAAGCGCCGAGCTAACGAAGGAGAGATTTATTGATGAACATGCTATAGAAAAGTGCACTGTATGCAACAATGTTATCGACAATGTAGTCGAAGCAGCATGCTGTCAAGAGCTATTCTGTGTAGACTGCATATGCACATGGCTAGCCAGCAGCAGCCAGTGTCCAGTGTGCACTGCACCTATGAGAGCGTCAGAGCTCAAGCAGCCAGGCAGAGTTCTTGCAAGGATAATCGGCAACTGGTCCGTGCGGTGTGACTTTCACATGCAATCACTGCAAGGTTACCCAGCAGTTGTACCCCTCCAGAGTCTCAAGGAGCACGTAGCAACTTGCTCCTTTAACCCAGCAACAGATACGCCTCCAATTCGCACAGTACGACCGCTTTCAACAGTTGAGGATGTGCTGTCTGCCTCGCCTTCTAAACTGTGCGGTAATGTTGCCGAGCGTCTCACGAATCACTTGGTAGCATCGAAAGTACACGACGGCAGGCTGACGGTGCAAACAGGCACACATGGGAGACCGCAAGTTTATCAGCGCACTGTGGTGAGTAGTTGAGGTGGTTTCCACTCGTTGCCAGCAGCTCGTTGCTGATGCAGAAATCTTGCAGCAGCGGTATCATAGATTGTTTTCGGGATATGCCGACTGCAGCCAACGCTTCAGCCATTGCAACAGCATGTCAGAGGCCGACATCTCAAAGCTGGCTGACTGCATCCAGCTGTTTCTTCAGAAATGCAGAGAATCCATTATCACCCGGCAGCTCGGCAACATACCTCCGAAACTACATCTCTTGGAGGAGCACACAGTCCCATTCACCAGGAAATTTGGAGTCGGTCTGGGTCTACACGCCGAGCAGCGCAGCGAGTCAATTCACGCCAGATTCAACAGGCTGAGCTTCGATTATAACGCCATTCCTGGGACTCTGCAGCGCCTCACAGCAATGTGCCAGCAACATCTCGTCGGGACACTGACACAACATGACGCTGTTCGTCCCGCCACGGCATCAAGAAAACGCAAGGCATCCGAGCTCGAGCAGTGATCCTCAGGCCCTGGACGCAGCAGCTTGGCCATTTCAGCCCTGATCCAGGTAAGAAAAATAACAACGGTACTGCTGACTCCTATTTGAGCTCTGTAGTGACAACAGGAATAGACGTCGTCCAGCAAAAACCTGCTGTGCATGGCTGTCTACCTTCCCCATCCTTTTCTTTCCTTGTTTGTTGTTGTCGAAGCTGAACACTTTTTGTTGTGCGACTTCGAAAGTTTGAATCCTTGTACCCGATCGCGGTGTTTGTTACCTTGACAAATCACAGTTTTCGCGTGAATCCCACAGGATCTTGAAATCTTTTTCAGTTTTCACTTTTCAGAATATTTTTGAATTTCACCGTAAACCTGGGCGAATGCCGCCATATTGTTAAGTGGTGGCCGCGAAACAGCCGTGTTGTGGGTCTCTTACCTCCGCACCTTTGTGGGTCTCTTACCCCCGTACCTTTGTGGGCCTCTTACCCTGTACCTTTGCGAGTCTCTTACCCCTGTACCTTTGTGAGTCTCTTACCCCTGCACCTTTGCGAGTCTCTTACCCCCCCACCTTTGTGAGTCTCTTACCCCTGTACCTTTGTGGGTCTCTTACCCCGTACCTTTGTAGGTTTCATACCCTGTACTCTCTCTGAGTTTCTTAAAAATCCAATGTAGCATGGGCAAGAATACATTACTTACCAGCAGTTCAGGCGGAGCAGGACGGCGACTCCCGGACTTCATGCCAAAGTTCCAAACCTGTGCGAAAGAACAATCACAGCGAACACGCGTTGCATCACGGCTTGCGAGAAGAAGGCAAAACACGCCGTAACACTTTGCAATGCAATAGAAGCCAGCGCACCCAGGTTGTTCGTGCTTCCCCTAGCTGCATCTCATGTTTGGCATTTAACCCTTTCAGGGTCACAGTGCATTTACTACGTCTGGGCACTGAAATTCAGTGCATCAGTACAATTGTGGAGATAGCAACAAACAAATTGTCACAACATTTTTGTTTCTCAACGGATTTTCACAACTTATGGCTTACTGGAAAGCTCCTTTCCTGCTCGTCATCTTCCACGTACTTTCAGAGCATACAGCACCTCAAGGACGCCCCTAGCCTCGCCAACAGTGTCCCTACCGTGCGCCAGTTTGGCATCAAGACCACGCTCAACTATTTCCTTCGGTTTGGGGCTCATACTCAACGTAGAACTACGATTCAAACTGCATCGAGCTCGTGAGATTCAAGCGATTCAAATGATGTACACATACGTCATGCTGCCTTTCACACGTCATTGGGAAATCCCCTTGAATGACTTGAAAGTCGCAAAAATATCACCAGACAGAAAGTAAGAAAATGTTCAGATCGAAATCGCACGTTCAATTTATCGCCGCTCGATCATTTGTTGAGCTATCGCCACACCGAAAACACCTCTGGAAAGCCCTTTCCAAGACCTTTCCAATGAGCTATAGATCTTCGCGATGCGATAATCCGTTCCAGAGTTATCGCTGTTTGTACAGTGATCTATCAGTGCGTACGGTACGTGGACTGTACAAAAAGTATAGCGCGAGTATACTCGTCATTGCCCAGACGCGATGGGGCCTGCATGACGAGTATACTCGTCATAAACCCGGAAAGGGTTAAGTGGTCTTTGTAAAAATAAAAAAATAAAAAAACTTGGCTGACAAAACAACATACACTTAAACTACATACTATAGCGCCGTGCTGGCCAAAGAAATCCAACCTCATGAATAAAATAGCGCCGGGTTCTACGCAGCCCTAGCACCACACACACTGGTCTGTGCACTCGAACGTGGCGCTACTTTATTCATGACGTTGGATTTCTCACAGTCAAAAATATAGCAGGTGTCAGCAGCTGCAAGAAGAGAGCTGAACAATCGAGTCAACATGCAAAGTCGCAAACACAGGAAATGAAACAGCTCACTTGGACGTCGTTACTACCCAGAGTCACACGCAACACTTAATGCGTATCCAGAGTACTGGTCAACGACTCACCTTGACTGTAGAGTCCCATGATGATGTCACAAGACGCTCATTGTTCCAGCACAGAGACGATACTACAACATTAGGGTTAGCACAGATACGCAAAGTTAATACACATAGCAGGATAAAAAAACAAAAACAGTACCAGGAACAAGAACACCAACAGTGCCAGTAGTAGATAACTTTCGCAGGAGAAGACTCAAATATGCGCTCAGTGCACCCAACCAACAGTGGGCTACAGTCATGTTATAGATTGCTGACAAACTGAAAGGGTATAATGAACACGATGACAAGACCCCATACCCCCATCGGCTCACCCACCCACCCGGCGGCCTCATATATGCAGATGCCGTCAGATAGGCACTAGGTTTGCTGCAGTGAAATTCAAACACCGTTACATGCTATCAAGCATACCGTTACATGCTATCAAGCATATATATGTAGTCGCCTGATGATTGCATTGAGCAAGAAACTCCGAGTTGCGACAAACCTGTAAAACTCCATTGTGCCTTTTGTGTATATACTGTAGTATATCTATATATTATATCTCAGCTGCACATTCTAGGATTTTGCTGCAACCCAGCCTCGTGCATGGAGTTGCAGGTGTGGACTTTTGTTGATAGTGAGACGAGCTTGTACGTATAAGCTCACATTCATTCCAACAGACAGACACACACGCACACAAGCATGTGTGCACATGTTGGGTTAGCTTTTGGGCTAACCCTAGTTAGCGATAGGACCGATGCACTGCTCTCTACCTCATGCTGCGACTGAACTGGTTTTACGCGTGCACTCAACTGCTGCGCATGCGCGCCCAAATCGCCTTGGGTAGCTCTTGCTGCGCTGACTTCGGCTTGCGCTTTCCTTTGTAGTGTCACTGAGCAGCCACCGGAATTTATTTGCACACAGACAGACAGACACACACACACACACACACACAAGCGCACACATAAGCACACACACACACACACACACACACGCGCGCACAAAAGTACACAAGGGCCCACGCAGACGGAGCCTTACCTGCATCATCGTGTGCTGTCGATGTACATAACGTGTGTCCATACTCCACCGAGTAGACATATCTAGACACACACACATGTTCACATGCGCATACATGCACATACAGGCACACACACACACACACACACACACGCACGCACACACACACACACACACACACACACACACACACACACACACACACACACACACACATGCAGGTACGCACGCCCACATATCTTATTGACCTTTATTGTAGTATTGGAGATGGTACATGGTAGTTGGTATTGTCTTGCGCACACAATACATGACGATTAGAAATGGAGCGCGGTCATGGAAACCATTCCACGGGAAAATATTCAAACCATGTGAAGAATTCAAACATTGTTCATGAGCCGAGAACGAGTTTGTCAGAACGAAGAATTGTGAGAACAAAGAGGTTGCTTGTAGTTGTAGAGTAGCATTGTTGTCGCTGGTGTAGCAGATCAGGGTACTGCCTTGTAATGCCTGAATAATCCCTCTACAGACTTGTACCGGAATACGGTACTACGATGTACTCTGTTCCATCATGCATGTGCTGCTGCCTTGTGCGCAAGTGCACGACTTGGATGCGCCTGCGCACATATGGTTTGTGATGTTCTTTGATTTGTTGTTCTTTCTTATCGTACTTCCCCACATATAAGCCCATGGGCTTATAAGTGAAAATTTGCTACAAAAAAGATTCGTTGCTGTGTGGACATGTTCGGGCAGAAGCCCATGCGCTTATATGTGCAACACAGGTCTGTCTGTGTCCTAAACAACGGTGTTATCACAATGCTTAGCAGTATATTCAGCTTCCGAGTGTTTCACCAATAGTGTTCAATTATAAGCGCATGCGCATATAATTGAGGGGTGCGCTTCTGTACGGACATAAGCACATGCGCTTATATGTGCGGAAGTACGGTATGTTCTCGAGTTGAAAGGAGATTGAATCCTTTGACAATAATGCAGTAGTTACTTTCTTGTTTCACATAATGACCAGTAAATACAGTCTTATCCTCCCACAGCCTGCTCATGTCAAACAGCAGGCGATGATGATACTGCTGCTTTCTCTGCTGGCAGGTATCATTGCAGCTGCAAAACTTCATTTAGCAAATCTTGAGTTGGAAATGATCCCGCAATCATCTTCTCCAGAAGGACACTAATGTTATCAATGACTCAGGCACACGATTGATACGACGAAGTGCAGGGACTAAAGAACGCAAATATGGGGTACAAGTACAACCAGGCAGAACGGAAGTTTGGTGGCATAATCTCTCATAGTGAGCGTGCACTACTGGAGGATGAAGATCCGATTCCCATATTCAATTTGGGTAATCCGACCTATCCCATGATGCTACCGTACCTTATGAAATAGTGATAGCAGCAGGGGGAGGATCATCTGTTCAAGACCAGTACTTCGCGATTTAAAGTTGCCCAGCCAGGATGGTCAGAGAATGTTAGATCGTTAGGGCGCGTTCAGACTACCGATAAAAAGTGACCGATTGGGAAAGTCGCCAAGGTGATTAGATCACGTGACGTTACTGGCACGTTACCGGTGGGAAAGTTTTACTGCCGCGGCTGCTGCGGCAGTAAACTTTTACCGGCAGTAAAAAAGTGCTCAGGCTGCATGCGCGCTGCGAAAAAAAGGGAAAATCCCTCGTCAGTGCCGCGGTGAGAGCTGAAAACTTCACGGTAACGTTAGTTTGTTATCGGTAGTGTGAATGTCCTTCACGGTTTATCGGCATTCACGGTTTGACGGGGTTCACGGTAGTCTGAACGCGCCCTAAGGCTGAAAGGCAGTAGCACTTACACATTATTATCCCAAGACCCAACCACCACCGTCTTGTCGTCCGGCATGACTGCTAGCGACGATAGCGCCTGAACGAGAACGAGAGAAAGTGTACAATATGATTTTTTACCAGTGGAGCGACTTCAGCAATATGGCATCGTACTAGAATGGCTCTACCAATATACACAGGGCAATCAGGATGGGTACAAGATGCCAGGTGACTCGAAAGACAGCGCACCACTACACTGACCATAGCCGAGAGGTTGATGCTTCGCAGCTGCTGCTGGTCCTCAATTGAATAGACCTTGAGAGTGCAATCTGAGCATAAGACACACACACACACACACACACACACGCATGCACACACGCATGCATGCACACACGTTCACACACACACACACGTTCACACACACACACACACACACACACACACACACATACACCACACACACGCGCGCACACACGCGCGCACACACATACACACACCACACACACGCACGCACACGCGCGCACACACACACACACACACACAGACGATAAGGTACTGACCTCTGACTGGTCTCCTGAGCAGAAAGCAAGTCAAATCAGGTACCTGAGGAAGATGAACAGATATCTCCAGTGGGCATGATAACGTCCGGACATCGGACATTTTCCAGATGTTTTCGGAGGAAATCCGACCAAAAACACTGGGTCCGGACACTTTGACCGGGCGCTTTTGAAAAAATCGAACTACTTCAAAAGCACAGTGATTTGTGTGCATGCTCGCGATGTGTGCTTGTTTTCAAGTGCGCGCGTACATGTAGTACTAACTAGTACACCCGTACCATGAGTCCGTGACCAGGGTTAGGGCTGGCTTGGGCCGGCGTGGGTGTCATGCGCCAAGCCGGATATCAGGCCACGCATGCAGGCTGGTTGAAGCGCGCTTGCACTTGTCGGTTGGTGTCGAGTACACGTAGATCTATAAGTGTACTGAGACTACAGTACTTTTGCGAGTACAATGTAGTCAGTGCTTGCGAGTGTTCAGCCTAGTGAGAGCCATGGTTGCTAGTCTGCGCGGCTACCGGCGCTCTTCAGTGCCACTTCCAGTTCACTCGGCTGTTCTGGAGGCTGCTGAGTGTTCACTGTAAGCGTATGACACAAGTACTGCTGATGTACATGGAGTTGCTTACCTCTCTTTCTTTCTTATCTTTTCTTTTCCTTCTTCTCTCTCTTTGTTTGCCACGGCGACCCCGTGTGCTGTCTGTGACTTTGAGCCTCATTTCACTGTACTACTTTTTTCCCTTTTACGTTTACTTTATACCAGGCGTGGGCCATCCCCTGAACATAGGTGCCACCATTTTTCTTTGTTTCAATAAATGGTACATTCTGTTAAAAAATAAAAAACTTTGCGAGTGGTGAACGAGAGTTGAGCCGTTGTCAAAATGTTTGGAAAGAGGAACGGTGACGGTGAGAGCTCTGCTCCGGCGAAGAAAGTAGCACGCGGAGTGAAAACGTCTACTTGTGACAAGTGGGTTTCCAATAGTGACAAGGAACTGAGTACCTCCGTTTGGCTGAGGTACGAGCGACAGAAAGACGACCGGGGCAATTGGTGGAAATTCTGAAATGCGCGGTGTGCGTCAAATTCGAGGAGCAAGTGAAAAGCAGCAAGAATTTCAGCGAGGCTTTCATCGTCGGCTCAAGAAATTTGAGGACGTCCGGACATGTCTGGCCAAAAATGGAAATGAAAGGACATGCCGTCCGAGCACTAATTTCTTATCACATGCCCTGTATCTCTGTCCTCCATAATCACCAACTGTCCTCATCATAGATGATGAGTCGTATTTTCCGTATCGGCATGGTGACTCTTGATGAGATGCCAGGAAACGATGGTTTCTTCTCCGACAATAAGGAAAACACGCCACCAGATGTAAAGCTCAAGCAAAAGCCAAGATTTGCTCCTACGGTTATGATCTGGCTGGCCATCAGCGAAACTGGTCACTTGGACCCCTGTTTGCGAAGCCGTCAGGGCTGGCCATCAACAGTCAAGTGTACATTGATGAGTGCATTCGAACCCGGCTGCATCCCTTTATCCAGGAGGTGCATGCGAATGATGAAGTTCTGTTCTGGCCAGACCTGGCGAGTTCCCACTACTCGAGAGCCACTCAGGATGCTCTCGCAGAGCTCGACATCGACGTTGTCCCGACGGACATGAACCCTCCAAATGTCCCACACCTTCGGCCTATTGAGAACTTCTGGGCAATTTTGAAGAAAGCAGTGTACGCCAATGGCTTGGAGGCAAATCTGAGACACAGCTTGTCGCCAGGATCCGAAAATGCCTACAACAGTGTAGCAGAAATTGACTGGACACCTGTCCAAAGGATGAGGTCGATGCTAAAGACAAAGATCCGGAAGGCAGCCGACACATCCCCCAGATCAATGATCTACATGCACTATCAACTCGTTGAACAGGGTCCCCCCGACAGACTCATTCTCATGATCAACTCGTTGAACAGGGTCCCCCCACCACAGACAGACTCATTCTATCAACTCGTTGAACAGGGTCCCCCCACCACAGACAGACTCATTCTATCAACTCGTTGAACAGGGTCCCCCCACCACAGACAGACTCATTCTATCAACTCGTTGAACAGGGTCCCCCCACCACAGACAGACTCATTCTATCAACTCGTTGAACAGGGTCCCCCCACCACAGACAGACTCATTCTATCAACTCGTTGAACAGGGTCCCCCCCCACCACAGACAGACTCATTCTATCAACTCGTTGAACAGGGTCCCCCCACCACAGACAGACTCATTCTATCAACTCGTTGAACAGGGTCCCCCCACCACAGACAGACTCATTCTATCAACTCGTTGAACAGGGTCCCCCCACCACAGACAGACTCATTCTATCAACTCGTTGAACAGGGTCCCCCCACCACAGACAGACTCATTCTATCAACTCGTTGAACAGGGTCCCCCCCACCACAGACAGACTCATTCTATCAACTCGTTGAACAGGGTCCCCCCCACCACAGACAGACTCATTCTATCAACTCGTTGAACAGGGTCCCACCACCACAGACAGACTCATTCTATCAACTCGTTGAACAGGGTCCCACCACCACAGACAGACTCATTCTATCAACTCGTTGAACAGGGTCCCACCACCACAGACAGACTCATTCTATCAACTCGTTGAACAGGGTCCCACCACCACAGACAGACTCATTCTATCAACTTTACCTATACATGTAACTGTACAAACCGGCGTTTTATAACGATTCAGATTTTGTGCAAATTTTTGGGGCTGCCCTGTTAATAAGCTACAATGCACTGTAGAGCATGCAATCTGCCTGAAGGCTACCATTTTGCCACAGCATTCGGAAGTTGTACAAGTTTCGGCTCCACAATCCGGTGTGCTGCTACTATTATATATAGCTTCCATGGCCGAAATTGTTGGTATGTCTATTGGCTTTGGGTTCCCAAGCACTCAGTTGTCGAGGTTGTATTGGTACAGTAACTCCGGTTTCACTTCAACGTAACAGCGCAACTAGTATAGTATGCATTCATTACAGCAGCGTGCTGTCTATTCTGGTTACCTCAGTAAGTGTAGAACGTCCATAGATAACTGTCTGGGCTGTTTTATTCCCATTTACTAGTACTCCGTATGGTGTAGACCAGGTGTGCATTGGGGGTCGATTCGAATGGCTTTCCTAGTTACGTGGATTGAACAGTAGTCTGACAAACGTCTTGATTTCCTTCATTCATTCATTTGTGCAGCAAATTTAGATTAATTAATACTTAGCAACCCAAGTCGACAATGTAATTATCATGCACCCCCACCCCCCACACACACACATACACACGAGTAAAGCTTCGGCTTACCTTGCGACACAGAGAACACACTTTTGCAGTCCGCCGAAAGCTTGAGGCCGGTAATTACACTGAACAGGCACCAAAGTAAAAAAGAATGCCAGATTGAGACGAGATAACAAAGCGGAATAACTGCTGTGACAGTCAGATGTGGCAGCTTGAGAGAGCGAGAAGAGATGTAACGGAACCAGCTTCCGAGCATACAAACACACACATACACACACACACACACAAAGGGCAAACGGTGGAGGCAGCACTGCACTCACTCCCTGTGAAGCTTCTCAGTGCGCACACACTTGAGCTGCTCGACACGATTCCAGCCGGACACGGAGGAGTCACGCTCACTGCCGTCCGTCTCGTCCCGTGTTAGCTCTTCACTGGTCGCCGCCGCCTGGCTCTTGGTCATCATACTGTGGCGTGTTATGGTGGGTGAGTGTGCTAGCTCTGTGGACAAATGCGAGGACAGTCGCAGCGCTGTCTTGATGTCCTGTGGTGTTGAAACGGTCTGAGCACAGAGCAGCAGCAGCAGCAGGAGAGAGAGAGAGAGAGAGAGAGACAGAGAGACAGAGAGAGAGAGAGAGAGAGAAGAGAGAGAGAGAGAAAGAGAGAGAGAGAGAGAGAGAGAGAGAGAGAGAGAGAGAGAGAGAGAGAGAGAGAGAGAGAGAGAGAGAGAGAGAGAGAGAGAGAGAGAGAGAGAGAGAGAGAGAGATGAGACATAGCTATAACTATACATGTACAGTCTACACAATCAGTGGAGCAGAATTTCCACATTGAGAAACTCACTGAACTTGAGCAGTCATTTCGTTGCAAAATTTAGACAGTGCATCAACACTTGGTTGCAAATTTCCCTTCAACCGGCTACTTCAACGTGCAGGTAGGCTTGGACATGGCGAAGGAGTATACTAGAGCTGTGCACTGTGCAGCTGATGAGTGATTGTATTGACTGCCCAACATTGTGATTATTGCTATCAATACTTCAACAGTGCTGTAAATATTGCTGCACTGACCGCTACAAATACTGAAGTACAACGAATCATACAATCATGTACATGAGCAGGTACAGCAGGAGTGTGCATAGGTATGTCAGTCTGTTCTGGACTTCGGGTACAGTGCATTCTAGCTCCAGTACCCGAGGTACTGCTCTACTGTGTGTGAACTCCATGGACCCTTTTGACACATTGAAATGTGTTGAAGACAATTCACAACTGTGGACAGGGTCCAGTCCTGATAGGCCAGACAAGGGGCGTCTGAGTGTATTTCTCAATCTCCTAGACTTACTTTTCTTGCGGGATGCGGCGACGTGAAGAGCTGCTTGGGCGTCTGGCCGAACTCGGTGATCTGCACCTCCAATGATGCCCGCTCGTTGGGGTCCGTAATACTACAGGTGAACAGGAGATAAGAGTGCACGTGAACAGCAAATGAAGTTTCCGAAAGCAAGTCGCACCAGAAGGCTGTGTGGTACTTAGCTGGTCAAAAACACATACTGCACAGCATATACCGGTAATACAGTTCTGGGCAGAGAAATCCCACGTCATGAATAAAGTAGCGACGCGTTCGAGTGCACAGACCGGTGTGCGTAGTGCAAGGGCTGCGTAGCACATAATAAAGTAGCGACGTGTTCAAGTGCACAGACCGGTGTGCGTAGTGCAAGGGCTGCGTAGCACCCAGCACAAGTTGATTCCTGCGGTCGGAATTCTTTGGCCAGTACTGTATATGCTAATCCGCATGTATTCTACGCAGCAATCACTGTACATACACGTGTAGACAGGTCAGGACACAGGTGCACTGTACTCAGTGTGTGTACATAGGATTGCTCAAGCCTGCATATACATGTACACACACGCCTGACGTCGGCGCCACGTACCTGGCCAGATCCACCGCGCCTTCGTACGTCAGGTAATAGAACACTACACAGCAACACATAATCACACAGATAAACATATGATAGAGATGAGCAGCTGGAAAACTATGACACTCTAGTTACACATATCACACTCAGCACAATTCTTCCAGGGTTCATGGTCTGTAGCCACTAGCAGTGTTCTTACACCCAAGCTTGACTACACCAAAACAATAGCACAGTGAAAATACCAAAGTGCCATAGTGTACGCCCCACAAAACACATCACATCACCACAGCTTGTGCAACATACAATTGTCCGCTTTGACAGCCTCTTCGCCGCGCTGTTGATAGCCAAAGATGAGGTCGATCCACTCGTGGATGTGCTGTGATACGTATTCGCACTCCAGGGCCTCGCGCATCTTTCTAATGAAGTCATCTCCATCTGATCATCAAACACAATACAACAGCAACAGCAACAGCAACAGCAACAACAACGACGACGACAACAACAACAACAACAACAACAACAACAACAACAACAACAACAACAACAACAACAACAACAACAACAACAGCAACAGCAGCAACAAAATGTGAGAATAAAGAATTTCAAACATACAACAGCTGTTTATGTAGTCAAACATGTACAGCCTGCATTCAACTTGAAAGTAGCCAACGCAACATCTGCACGCCGATCCCAAGATTGACAGAGAATTACTCTAGTGCACACATATCATCTCAAAAGAGTAGAATTGATCAAGTGTACTGGCACCGTGCAGGCAGGGGAAGGAGGAAGGTGATTTGGCATTTTACCTTTTGCCCAGGGTGGCAGCAGGACATCATCGACTTTGGTACGATCTTGCCGACTTCCAAAGTCTAGGTTCTGGAGAGAGAGGGTGAGAAAGAGCGAGAGCGAGAGAGGGGGGGGGGGGGTATATTAGACAAAAGCTCATGCACGTCACACAATATACAGGCGCGCAACTGCCAAAGCCTGGGTCTGCTCAACAGGAAGACACATGCGGTAGGCTAAACAAAATTACAGCTGAACGGCTGGAAGCTATCACAGATTCTTTATTCACAGCAATGCATAGGGAATCAGTAGATGGCATATTATTGAGCACTGCTGCAGGTCTGCAACGGGTCTGCGTACCTGAGTATTGAACATGAAGTCACTTGGTAACGAGTAGAACTCCGGGATAAGCTGGCAAGTGAAGAAACAGGTGCACACGTACATACACATACCATGTCCACACACACACACACACACACACACACACACACACACACACACACACACACACACACACACACACATGCATGCACACACACACACACACACACACACACGCAAGCACACATGCACATAAACACATCCCCACACATACAAACACACACACAAATGTACACGATAACACAAAGGTGTTCACGCACACATGCACATGCACACACACACACACGCGCGGGCGCGCACACGTACACAAACACCTACTAGTAGAACAGAAGCAAAATAGTACACATGCAGCAGTGGCGAGTGACAACGCAAGGACGATAGCCTGCATACGTTCTACCTTTGTCATAACTCTACATGTACTAGTACCCACAGGAAACCAAGTCTATGAATGGGATTCAAATACATGCAGCGCCAAAGAACAGCTGCAATGCACGGTTAGTAGCAGCAGTAGCCACAGTACGTAACGTACCTCCTTGACATCAGCATTGCCACACAAGCAATTTGTCCATGTTTCTCCAATGCTGCATAGACACACAGACACACAGACACACGCACACACACATACCGTAACTCAGTCAAACGCCGTCTGTCCCATTGGGAAAGTCAAAGTTTGCACGTTAGGTGCTATTTAGCGCTGTGTAGCTTTAAATATATTTCCTTTTTTACGGCTCTACCATCGAAATGACCCTGCACCCCCCCCCCCCTGAAATTTAGAGTGCCGGTTTTAGTTTTTAATAGTGTATGTGTCACGCATGCATGAACGGACGTGACAGACACAGACACACATACGCTCAGGGTAAACTCTTTTCGTCTCGTCCTGCATGCCGTCGATGACTCCTTCGCAAGGCCTCGTGATGGGTCCAACAGCAGAAAACAGAGTCAGAGTGACGACACCCGAAGTTCGTCCTGTAGTCTGCTCTGTTGACTTTCCGCTGTGGACATCTACTGGGAACTGTCCCAGGGACGACCCTGGAATCTCAGAGTCGTCCCTGAGAACCGAAAACTAACAAAAACTAATCAAACGATGAGAGCTACAAAATTCCTAACTGACTCTTGTACAGTCAAGCAACACACACGCACGCACACACACACATGCACATGCTGCAGTATCACGGCACTGGACATACTGGTTAAACAGGCGATCAGCTTGATCAAAACGACCGTTCTGCAGGCACAGCATGTACTCGGGTGCTGCAGCAAGAAAACAAAGGGGAAAAGCAGCAACATGGGAATCAGGCCTGATACTCTGGGTACCGGTATATGCACGCCATTCATTGACCAGACATACAAGCGTGATCGGTAAAACACTAACAAGAGATATTCAGCCTCTCCGAGTAGGTTCTTGCTCCACCAACATAGAGAATCTGAACCAACATTCCCTGGGACTTCACACAGTTTTTTAAAAACATGTTCTAGTCCTCGTGCCAGAGTGGCAAAGAAGTTTGAATGCATTCCGCCAGGAGCTGAGAACTAGTGAAATGTTAAAAGATGATGCAGCGGAAGACCAGGGCGCCCGAAGAAATGATGGAATTTACAACCTGGGTGCCTATCATGCCACCGTGGCTGATTAAAATCACCCACAACACATGTTTACTAGTATTGGCACTACGCCATTATGAATGTAGAATAAAAATAAACGTTAGAAAACCAAGACTCATCACAGAGATGCATAGTCATCACAGAGATGCATAGTCATCACAGAGATGTGCGCACATACCTATTCTGACCAGATAGAATAGAACATAGCCTGGTGTCGAGTAATGAGACCCGTACAGGAACTTTGGCTCTGGCATTTCCTTGTAGCGCTCCTTGAACTGCTCCAGACGTGACTCTGTCATGGCACCAATCGGCTTGCTCAGGTCACGGAACGTTGCCGGGTTGCTTAGGTCTGCATGCAACATCAGCAAGATGCAGATGTGTGTCAATGACTCAATGCATACACATTCATACAAGTACATGCATTTACATACAATTACACATAATTACATACATACATGTACATACACTGAACGGAGGCAAAATTCATACTCTAAGTATGCTCACCTAGTTGCTTTGATGCGTAATCCGCAATGACCCACGGGAAGACCGGATACTGAGTCAGATCGTTGAAACTACGATCTGCCATGCTACACCAACAACACAAAGACAATGCCAGCATCAGAAGCATCAGAAGCAGCAGCAGTCACGACAGTATCGGCAGCAGCAGCGGCGGCGGCAGCAGCAGCAGCATAGACAAGAACAAAACACCGCAGTTGAACTATCAACAACCACTTCATACATCCGCATAGGTAGTGGCTGCAACGGGATAATACCATTGCAATGCTTTACGGGACCTGTGTCAACACGCAACTCTGTTTTCCAAACCATGGTTTTCACTTCTCCTCCTATTCTAAACTGACACTAGTGGACTGATGGCTGTTTGGCGCGTGTGTTGCCTGGAACCGGATTATCTTGCTTGGTGTGTAATCGTGCGGTGACAAGGCTACTGGTAAGAGGGACGGGACAAGCTGCATGTGCAGTGAACATCGGCAGCAGCAGCAGAGTGCTTACCTGTTTAGGTACATGAGATAATCATAGTTGGATATGACGCCGTTCTGCCACTTGAGCGTCAGGTTCTCCTGTTCCGTGTCCTCAAGGCTGATGTCCGGCTGAGCCAAAAGCTCCTTGTAGAACATGTTGCGCTCCGCTTCCGTACCAAACACAAGGTAGATGTGGAAGCCGTCGGATGAATAGATTTCAATGCCCTGCGTGACACAGACAGGCAGACAAATAGACAGACATTGAGCAAGGGCATGATTCTCCACATGAGGACACACCAGCAAAGGTTCAGCTAGGAATCCATCACGCACAGCACTAGGACCATTCTGAATAATATATATGGTCAAACTTCTCAAAACGTTTACATTCGTCAGTATTAAATCTTGGTTCGGCTACCTACTACTGATGTATGAGACAGATATTTCGACAGGCAGACGCACACACGCATACACACATAGCGTGTGTGCATAAAGCATGATCACCGTAAATCTGGAAGCTCGCAAGCAACGACCACAGCAGCGGCAGTTGATTGATGACCAACATCAGGAGAGGCAGCAGGCAGCGCAGCACTACAACGTGGTTCCTAGGAAACCCATAGCATACACTTATATCTAATATACCTAGGAACAGGAACAACGGTTCAAAGGAACAGAAACAACCAAAGTACATACCACATGCTGGAGAAGATAACGTCTCTTGATAACTCGACTGATGTCACTCAGCTTGACCTTGTGAACCGGCACCTGTAGAAAAGACAAAGAAGAAATGCCCCTTTGTCAAACGGCTGCGTGTTACATCCAGGAGATGAACTATTCAAGAAGCATGTAAAAAAACGTGCAAGCACATCTCCAACTCGGGCAACGTGAGGCTTCACATGCACAACATGGGTGTGTTGGGTAATACAATCTGCTCACACTCCCATTTCATCGTGCGAAGAAACAAGAAATGCATGGCACAACAAGCTGCTGCACATTTCAGTGCAGAGAATTCAGGGCCTGAAAAAAGATGCCTTCGTATAACGTACAAGTAAGTGCAACATAGACGTTTTATTTAAAAAACGTGCACCCCAGACTTCTATGGCATTGTACCAAGTACAGTTGTGCTCGGTGAAATCCTACCCTAACTGGCCTAAGTGCAAAACTGGCGCCCTGTACCAGTTTTGAATACATCATTGTATTTGTACATGACATTGTGTACGTCCAGCCGCATTCGTGCCACTTCCAGGGTGTCAACGGCCGTGCAAAACGAGGGCGCCAAATGTGCACTCTGGGTCGGATTTCACCAATCGCAGCTGTGCATGTAGCGTATGAACATGCACAGCTCACACCATACTACACACCGGGTCAGCGTTGTTGAACGGCTGAAAGTAGAGACGAGAGTTGGTCAGCATGATACGGCCGGGGTTGCACACCAAGGGAGTGATACGATCACCTGTAACGTGTCAACACAAAGAAAGAACATGAGAGACTATGAAATGATGGCCAGGCTACAATCGGGAACGCTAACTGGAAATTCCAAAACAACAACTTATTAGCAATTGCCAACAGCACAAGCAGGCAAGGCAATATTTAGACAGTGGCTGGTGAGTCTAACAACCTGTGCACGCCACACATTGCCTCAAGACCCTAGCAGCAATGCTCACACATGCACTATGTAGTACCTGTTGTCTCCAGCACAATCTTTTCATACAAGCTGTCCAAGCTACACAACACAGACAAGAGAGAGAGAGAGAGAGAGAGAGAGAGAGAGAGAGAGAGAGAGAGAGAGAGAGAGAGAGAGAGAGAGAGAGAGAGAGAGAGAGAGAGAGAGAGAGAGAGAGAGAGAGAGAGAGAGAGAGAGAGAGAGAGAGAGAGAGAGAGAGAGAGAGAGAGAGAGAGAGAGAGAGAGAGAGAGAGAGAGAGAGAGAGGAGAGAGAGAGAACACACACAAGAGAAAAAAGAACATGAAACAGAGCAAGCTAATATCCACAAACAACACAAAGACCTTTCTCACAAAGTGCACGTGACCTGACGCCCGAGGCGCAGCATAAGGCAAAAGACCACTGCATGGTGGCCTGAAAAGTTACACAATTATAATTTAATCTACGTTCCAACAACAATTTAACAATAGCAATAAAAAGGATAAACTGCGCACTGCTACTTTCTACACTCATCAAGGAAAAAGCTGGTGAGTACGTTCCAACAACATTTTCTTCTCACACTAGTCCATGTTGTCGGTTATTTCTGTTTTCAAACGTGTCAAAACACTTCATGTGCTACATTTCATACTTCAGCGTCCTTGGTACCAACTTGATTTCGTTTTCATAGTCTTGCTAAAATGTTACACTTTCTCTCTATATATACGCGTATAGAGGAGATGCAATGATGTCAAATCCGCCTTATATGTGCGCGAGGTGAGTGACAAAATGCCCATTTATGGGTTAACGTATTGCATATCCTCTACGCCTCTACTCCATGCGCTGCTCTTCAGCCATTCACCACTTTATAGAGATTCTCTCTATATACTTACACTGTTATTTTTTCCTTCATAACAATACGATAATTATTATTCCAACTGATGACAATCACACGAAAACGTTCTTGGAACTTACCAACCAACTTTGCCTTGATGTGTGCATAAAGTATAAATGCACAGTTTATCCTGTGCATTGCTATAATTCTAGTTCATTTTGAAGTAATTTACTGTATAGCAGGAAATTTTCGGACGGAAATATTTTCGGACAGCCGAATTTCGACCTTTCGTACGGATTTTATTTTCGTACAGTGCTGCATGCTAAATGCACGTGTTCGCATGCTGTACGGATGTATAGTGTCCATAACTTCACAGGAACAAATTTTAGTACGGAATTAATTTTAGTACAAAGGAGGCCGTGTACGAAATTATACGAAAATAAATTCCGTCCGAAAATTTCCTGCTATACAGTAGTTGTTCATGGCCATTATGTCGACTATCTCATCGTGGTGTACGTCGTGTAGATGATCGGAGTTATTTCACAACATTACCTGCTATGTCGTCGTCCTGCCCGGCCGACAGCTGTACAAATCATGCTTCAGCAGATTGCTCATGCCCCCCCCCCCCCCCCCCCTTATATTTTTAGATTCCCAAGATCAGATCGAGAACGATGTCAGAAGTGGGAAGCTTCAGTATGGCATCGCCGTGGCTATCCGACGGTATGCACATGATATCTGTGGGAATCGTTTCTTGAACAAAGAACCCTCGAACTACTACTAGTATCTACATGACGTGGACTACATCTCCACAATCGTGGATTGCAAACCCAAAGCACAAGAGCAAGCTGTTCAAGTTGATGCCAGGAAAAAAACGACTCTACCAAAGGGAGCAGAGGAAGAGAGCTGAGTCTGCTCAAGCTACTGCTGCTGCTCAAATAGAAGAAGAATTGCCTGAATCTGAACTTGTCCGTGACAGTGGAGATCTGCTGATTCCCCATGATCGGAGACCACTGATGGTCTTGTTGCTTGTACAGTATTTGGTACTCGGAGTAGGGTCATTATTAATAGGAGACACGTGTTAGTGAGGTGACCAGTGAGCTGGACGCCTACAAAGCAGCAGCAGCCAGTCGCAAGCAGTCACGTTCTGCAAAGGATCTAGAAAAGGCAAGGAGAGGTTGACTGTGTACCTGTACTACGGATCGGTGTTCCTTCTCTTTTAGGTCACAAGCTTGTTTCGTGTGGTGGTGGTGGGGGTGATATCACTGGTTATTCAGCCCAGACGAACCTGCTCGTAGATTTCGAAGTTGTTGAGTACACAGAGACGAAAAGCTCTGTAGCCATGGAGAAGGTCAGATTTTCCAGAGTTCTGAATTGTTGAAAGGAATCCCTCGCAGTCGATGTCATTGTGACAGGCAGAGGCCCTTCTATCAAAGCCACCATACGGAATGAGCACCCTGCAATCTGCCACCAGTTTGACGTGTGGCACTTTGCCAAGCGTGCTGCCAGCAAGCTGCGGTCTGCTTGCCATCGCAAGAGCCATGCTCCACTACTGGGTTGGATTCCAGCCTTCATAAGCCAATTCTGGTGGTGTTGCAGCAACTGTGATGGCAGTGCTGACTTGTTGAAGGAACATTGGCAGTCAGTATTGTACCACGTCTGCAACATCCATGCATGGACGGGAGGACAGCTATGCAACACACGCGCCCATTCTGCATTGAAAGATAATCTGATTCGCTCTTTACACTGGCTTCCCTTCACTTCCTTCTTCAGTTACCGGTCTGGGAAACCAGATGCGGTGTAATCAGAAAGAAGAAGCAAATCACTCCGCAATAGGTATCACGGGTCGAATAACAATGCAGTGTGTAGGTAGATAGATTGAGTAAGTCGATGAGTTCCTGGCAGTGATGACGCGGCCGTGGCTAGGCTTGCTAGTGGAAGACGTTTGTTTCCAGTTCAGCTATTCTGGCACCTACTTCTCAGAGTTTCACCGGGAGGATAGTGTTCTGTCCAAAGAGTTGCCTTTAGTGCTTTTCTGGCCATCTGATGAGCAGGTTCGCTTCCACAACCCAATGTAGTTTGCTAAGTATCCCAACACAAGGGTCATAATTGTCTGTTTCGAGCTGTTCATTGAGCGTCCATCTGCTCTCCGTGTGAACTGCCAGATGTTTTCACGCTACAAGAACCATTCTACGTTCAAAGCTCTGATTGGCATCAGTCCCGGTGGTGTTATGACATATCTATCTTAGTTGATCACTGGTCGTGCATCTGACAAGTTCATTGTGCCGCACAGTAGCTTCCTTGAGCTTATTGAGGCCGGGGATAATGTGATGGCTGACAAAGGGCTCGAGATTTGGGATCTTCTTCTGCCTAGACGTGCTCCCCTCAACATCCCACTACCATTCCTGGGCCAACACCAAAGCCAGTTCACTGCCTAGGAAGTGGATGATACAAGCTGCATTGCTCCACTTTGTATCCAAGTTGAACAGGCAATTGCCCGTCTTCGGCGTTTCCGGATTTTACATGGGGCACTCCCCATCACCCTTGCCCCTATTGCCAATGGCATTGCTGCGGTCTACACTCTCGATACAAATGTTTCTGATCTTCTGGTAGCAGATGAGCACTGAGCTTCCCATCGACTGGCACTAGTGAAATAGACATAGGCTTTCATAGACTTTAAGTTGCTGCAGTGACGTTTCCGCAAGTCGAACAAGGGTCTCCCATCAACTCAGTCTTCTTATGATTGCTGCGGACAATTTTGAAACGTCTACACACCACCTCAATGAGACTGCACTGCCTCGACAAGCTCCTCGGGGGATGCCGTGTCGGGGGGGGGGGGGGGGGGGGGGGAGGAGACAGGAATATGTCTACTATACAATGATTGTTCTCAGGGCAAATCATGTACGCTCAGCACAAATCACTCAAGTATTTTTCCTTGGGCGTCATGTCATGCTCACTTTGGGAAAGTGGTCTATGGAACCTCATAGCATAAACACGTGCACCTCTCAAACAGCAAACAGAACTAGGGATATATCTGCAACACTCAGTAGTCTACCAGCTCTCTATATATGTTCACTCCTCTATTATGTCATCACCTGTTTACTTCATGCTATATGGCCTCACTTCGACTTTCTCTATATAACTCCAGGTCATTCTACTCTTGTAGTAGTTGAGCACTCTCATGTGGGGCAGTGCCTTTGCTGTTTGCATTACGCAGAGCTCACTGACTTGTCAGTTTGAGCACTCTGGCAAGGTATGTTCGGGCCTGATTTAAATCTGGCTTTGGAAATATTATTTTCATTGCTATCAGGTTCGGCCTCATTTTCTCTGTGCTGCGCTGAAGAGTTCACAAAGAACGAAACAGCATACTGTCCGCAGATTGAGTAACTCCAGGTCATTCTCTATATAACTCCAGACGCGACTTTCCCTATACATCTCCACTCAGGTTGAGACTTTCTCTGTACGACTCCAACTCAGATTGCCAACTTCTCCATACAAAACTGAGTTGGAGTCATACAGAGAAAGTCTCAACCTGAGTGAGATATATAGGGAAAGTCGCGTCTGGAGTTATAAAGAGAAAGTCGCAGTGAAGCCATATAGGCACGAAGTAAACAGGTGATGACATATAGAGACAGTGACGACAAATAGAGAAATGATGCCATACTGAGTGTAACAAATACATGTACATATTTCTTGAGAAACCGAACCGTCACTACAAGAAAGCTTACCAGCCAGTGTTGAAAGTGACGCGTGCTTGCCGTGATCGCACTATTGACTGCACCTTTACACACACACACGCACACATACACACACACACACATACACACATACACACACACACACACACACACACACACACACACACACACACACACACACACACACGTGTGCATACACATGCACATATACAGCCACAATATGACAGGCAAGTATGAAAAGCTGATCTCGAGTGCGCTGCATTCCTCTCAGAGCGTTACATTCATGTTGATAAAAGCAAGGCGGCAGGAGAGACGAATGGCATGCCTCCATCAGTTGTGAATGAAGTAATGAAGTCAGGCCAGCCGTAGGCCAGACTTAATCAAGGAGGCACCTACGGGAAACCCAGAGAAACGCCAACCCTGGAGGGCACACTCCAGCCCTGGGAGGGAACCCCCAAACCTGGAGGGCACACTCCAGCCCTGGGAGGGAAACCCCAAACCCGGAGGGCACACTCTAGCCCTGGGAGGGAAACCCCAAACCTGGAGGCGACACCCCGGCCCTGGGAGGGAAACCCCAACCATGGCTTACCATCATGTTCTGCTCTGCCGTTGGCAGCGTTGACGCCCTGTACAGCTGCAAGGTTAGCAGCAAATGACACAGAGTACGAGATTAAATGAATGAAGAATGATCACGTCAAACAGTACACTCCAATCATTCCTGCAAAAACTGCCACGTCAATAGCACAACTCTACGTATGCTCCCTGGACTTCTCTGGCACAACACAAGTCTAGATAGAGCTGCTCACTACCACTGTGGAATACTGTGCATACTCACTTGAGTGATCTGAGGGAGAACATCAGAGCTGCTCACATAGTTCAGAGCAAAGCGAAACTCCGCCACCACCTTCATGCATACAGCCAAGTGCAATCAAAAGGTGGACAAAACGGACAGAATGGCATGCACACGCACACACGCACACAAAGTTTAATTGAATAGAACACAAGTGTCATTCGGGCACTTATGTAATGGCTTGTCACTCGTACACAGATAGACAAGTACATGCTGTCCCTATTCCCAAAGTGTGCGGCTTATCGCCGGTTGGCTGCATGAGTAACATACACACAATGCAAAAATACACTTCAGAACATAGCTGCGCATCTTGTAGCACTAGTTGTGAGCAGCCGAAATTGCCTCAGCTCGAATCTACAACCTTTCCAGCAATGTTCATATCCGAAAATGGCCGTGAAGAAGTTCGAATGCTATGATACAAGCATCAAGACAGTAAACACATGCCGTAAAACTCGTTTCACCCACGTGCACCTCACATTCAAGTGTTGGTTTTTTAAACATGCAATGCACGACTTTGCATCAGCTATTCCCAGTCAACTGTAATGCACGTCGTCGCAGACACCGGATAGATGGCTGTGGCCTTTCAGTAACAACGACGTTTGATAGGAGTGCTTTTGATGACTGATGTTGAAACGAATACCGTATTTTTCGGAGTATAGTGCGCACCTTTATAACGCGCACCCCAATCTTCATTGGGGGTGCGCACTTCAATCTTCATTGAAGTACATGCATTTCATATTCGGAGCATAGTGCGCACCTGCGATTTAGGGCCTAAAATAGCACATCTAAAGTGCGCACTATACTCCGGAAAATACGGTACAGTATTTTGACAATACTGGCCGAGGCGTTTAGTAGTTTGTGAGACCTGAAATTTCACCCAATTTGAAAAAATCCACACAAAATACCTGAAATGATGTGGCGTTTATTTCAGACAGGCGCTTATTTCAGACAGGCGCTAATTTCCGAAAGCACGGCAATAGAATAATCTAGAATGTTTGTGAGTTGAACGAATACTCGAATAATCGTAGGAATTCGCAGAAATCGAAAAAATAGCTTTGTGCACGAGTCGAGTTCATTATGAATGTGCTATCCCCGCGCGCGTCCAGCGCTAGCTAGTTGTGTACATGTACGGGGATCGATCTGCATGCACGAGTGTACATGTAGCAAAACAGTGACTACAGGACCAACAAAGACAAAAGAGAAAGAATCCTGAAAAGTGGTCGAATCGTAGATAGTTGTTTTTACTTGCTGTTGCTTGTCGCGAACTGACCTTGCCCTCGGATGTGTGCTGCGCGACTCACAAGCATGTCAACTACAAAGCAGAGTTCTGTGTGGAGCAGTTTCGACAAGTTTGATGACGGCAGCGGGCAGGCTGCTGCAAGACAAATTTCCAGAGGTGACTATGACTCGCAGTCCTCATAAAATTTGCCGTCAATGTCAATTACACTGAAGAACACGTTGTGTATCTACTTCTAAGTATGATGTTTTTCAGGGTCAATGCCTTAGCCAGCAGTACTGACTGTGGCCTGTGCTTGCCACCGGCTGCAGACTGGCACTGCGCTGCGCCACGTCATGGACTTGCCGGATGTAAAGAACATCCTCATTGCACGCTGCTGCCTTGTTGGGTACTTTAAGCACAGCAATGTCGCCAGCCATGCTCTTCGGGAACGGCAAAGTCATAAACAAGCAAGCTCTTCAGCTTGTTTCTGAGATGGCAACTCGCTGGAATAGCTCCTATGGCATGGCTCAGTGCATGTCCGTGCTCAAAGACACAAAGTGTGACAAAAGCCAGCGACCATGCTTTGTGCCTCTCACCAGCCCAATGGACGTGCATTGAGGAGTTGTGTGACCTGCTGAAATGTTTCAGGAACGTTACTGTGATGTGGTCCTCAGAGCGAGATGGGACAATGTCCACCGTCCTGCCAGCTGTGATTGGCCTGGCTGAGGAGTGCGAGGCTGACGATGGTGACTCCCTCTTTGTGGCTGCAGTGAAGATCAAGCTGAGGAGTGAGCTGGAGAGGAAGTTCAACTTCTCCAACGTTGATCCGGACTCGGCCGAAGCACTGGCCGCTGCACTGGATCCGCGGTATCACAGCCTCACATTCACGTCACACGATGACCGCCAGGCTGTGCACAAGCAAGTTGAGCACTTGGCCCGCGAGCACAGTGTGTCCCGTGTCTTCTCCACGGTATCTGATGCCAGTCAGGAGGTTGATGTGGAGCCAGCGGCCAAGCGTTCCTGCATTGCCGTGGGGCTAGCACCAACCAGGGCATCTGTGCTTGCCCGCCTCACCGGAAAGCACAACTTCCAGGCTGCATCAAAACGGAAGGAGAACTTCTCTGTCGCAAAGCAGATGAAGCTGTTCCTAGAAGGCGACGTTTGTGACGGGGACAGCAGCCCACTTGAATGGTGGAAGGCACGTGAGGCTACCTTTCCTGACCTCGCAGCCTCGGCAAGCAGGTTCTTGGCAGCTCTCACCAGCTCAACTGCTGCAGAGGAACTTTTCGGCGACAGAAATATTGACGGACAAGCGGAGGGCAAACCCGGGAAGCAGGAACATTAATGCCATCTTGTTCCTCAACAAGAATGCTAAGATCTTGAGGTCAGTGATGGCATCTCAACCAGTAGCCACCTATCCCGACATCGTTCCGCCATCGTCTCAGCTAACCCAGCTCACCTCCGATGACAGCGACTGCGAGGTTGTGCAATGGTCATTCGCCAGCGACTGATTGCTGATGTGTTGCCTTCCTGCCAGCACTGGGCAGCACCACGACACTGCTACGTGTATATGTTTCTTCTATATTATCAATTTGTAGGACACAGTGCTCGGCGCTGACCCTATCATTGTTTGCACAGCGTACTCATAGTATTACTTCTCTTCTTGTCATACTGTGCTCTTGTTGTGTACACCGGCTGTAGGTGCCAGTGCACGTACTGGTATATGCATGTGCAGTCATGCACATCAACAATACAAAATTCCAGCACGCATATAATATTATTCGTTCGACGAATGGCAAAATTATTCGATCGATTATTCGTTCGAAGAATTTATATTCGGTTTAAACACTAATGCTGATGGCATACAACCTACCTTTTTAAAAGTGTAGGGTCCAATGACATTGCCTTCTTTCATCTCAATGACCTGCATAAGTCATGCACACATACAACAACAACAACAACAACAACAACAACAACAACAACAACAACAACAACAACAACAACAACAACAACAACAACAACAACAACAACAACAACAACCAACAACAACAACAACAAAGTACGCTCATACAGATTACAAACAACCGGACAGGTGCGTAGGGACTCAAGCTTCCTCACAAGCTCTCATATCTGGCTACAGCGGAGGCTGGTAACAACACTTCCTTGGGAAATGTACTAAGTCACTAAATCCGATCTTTGGAAAGGACTTGCTAACGGTTACAAGACCTGGGCAACAGAAATTAGTCGGAAAGCGCAACCTGTTGTGATACGCAGCAAGATGGTTATATCCAAATGTCCGCTGAAAGGAACGGAGAAAAGACGCAAGCATTTGCTGGCATGACTAAGATTGTGGATCTGCTACAGCTCCTGTCAGTAGGCGACGTCGCTAGACTTGCCAACGAAGCCACATGCTTACAGAGGCACTTTTAAAACAGAGCACCCACAAATACCTGACCTGCAAACCATACGCACCACACACGCATACATACGCACCACACACGCAGCTCGCAAAATATGACACAACGTAGCACGTGCCCTCTACAGAATTGACAAGACAACCACACATCGTAAGGAACAACACTATGTGGCTTCAAACCCAGCCTGCTGTTGGGAAATCTCTGATTGGGATAACACTGCCTAATATCACACAAGTCAAAACACATTGGTGATACAGCTGCTGGAGTGCTAGTAACTGAGAGGCTCTGCTGCAAACAAGAAGCACATCTGTCAACACGGTCAGCTATGGTGATGATGCTGAACTTGCCTGCTTTGAATCAATAGAAAGAACATCACCCTCCTGCCCGAGCCTGCAACATCAAAGACGACGTGCATAACATACACCAGACAACTCATTTCAGCAAGTGCAGATGTAAAACAATTCACGGCTTGCATTATGCCACATTGCGGCAGGATGCGACAAAACGCAACTACAAGCGCGACAACACTCATATCTATCTCATCTGGATCTCGAAGTTACGGGTCACTCCGTATACCGGGCACCCAGTGGGTGAGCTAAGTAGAAATTTTACTACTCATCTGCCTATTTTTGTGGAAATAGTGACGTGATATACAGTGTACCAGATCCCTGGCCCTTCCCCATAGAAACTTATGTGATTCAGAGATACGGACATTTCAAAGTGGGGGCAGTGCTCGTTACCGGATCGCCTGGATAAGAGAGATATGAGTGTACATGTTGAAATACAGAAGAGCTTCTCTTATCTGGCTACATTGGACTGAAGGGTGCTATTATCTCAAAATCACCAGTGGCTCAGAGACACATTATAATTATTATGAATTATAATGGATGCGACACTTCATTGAAGTTCATTCTCTTTAGCTTGGCTCACAGGACCAAGATCAATACCATCCACACACATACACAGCTGGAATGCAGGGTCCAGCCACAACTTGAGTCTTACGCCTCTCTGATATTCATCACGCAGCAACAGACAATGTAGGATCATGCTTCACTACTGCATGCATATCGAACACATTGCA